AATCCAATTTGCAGTTTCCAAGTATCGATACAATCGATTATGTACCATTTCAATCGATTTGTAATCGATATATGTCGTCCGGAATGCCGATTTGCGGAGCACAGATCGATTCAGTTGGATCGCAGGAATATAAATCGATTAATCGATTCAGTGAATGAATCGTTACACCCCTAATACATATATATATATATATATATATACTCCTTTAATATGTTGTTCTTTTAAACTGTTCAATAGTTAAAATGTGTTCGTACTGAAATCATTTGATTTGTTAGTTGTGTATTCATTTCATGCAAATGTTGATACATCTCTATTCCTCTATCGTAGTCACATTATGATCTTCCGGACCTTTGTTTCTAGAAATTTTCTCTAACTGGACCTCTTCACATTTTAGTTGATTACCCCTGCTCTAGAATAAGCAATCCCTAACGATTGGACATCTGTGGAACATCATAGATTTCCCTTGATGAGCTCTTCTTGAGTAGAACATGTTTATTCAACGTGACTGGCTTGCTGTCCTTTTGTTCCTCTTTTATTTTCCATCCTGTGTCAAGTCTGGTTTGACGCCTATCCACGTAGCAGCCTTCATGGGTCACCTGAACATTGTCTTGCTGCTGCTGCAGAATGGAGCCTCACCCGACGTCAGTAATATTGTGAGTGAAAGTCATTTTGGATTTAGTTATCCTTAATTGAGAATAGTGTTTACAAAATAGAGTTACTGGTCGGCTGGTTTTATATGTTTAAATATGTGTGAATCGCCCCGCTCGCCCCGACTTGTATGTTGTGTGTACAGCGTGGGGAAACAGCGTTACACATGGCAGCTAGGGCAGGTCAGGTGGAGGTGGTCAGATGTCTGCTGAGGAATGGAGCAATGGTGGACGCAAGGGCACGGGTGAGTTTGCTGTTATATATATAGCAGCAATCCAGGCAATACTTTTTACTTGTGTGTTTGCCACCATGCAGAATAGGCTACAAAGTGTTCATTCTTATTCCACTGTGCTTTCTCCAGGAGGACCAGACTCCCCTCCACATTGCATCCCGTCTGGGAAAAACAGAGATTGTGCAACTGCTGCTGCAACACATGGCCCATCCAGATGCTGCCACAACCAACGGCTACACCCCCCTCCACATCTCCGCCAGGGAGGGGCAGGTGGATACAGCCTCTGTCCTTTTAGAGGCCGGCGCTTCACACTCACTGGCCACAAAGGTGAGGAGACATGTTTGGTCTTGAATTTCACTACTTTTTACTTAAAGTAACTCCTAGAAGCATTCCAACACTGACTTTTAAAAGTGGTTGACGTATCAGTTTTTGGTTTGCCGGAACTAAAAATATAATGCTACTTTGTCACCATATATGTTTAGTAATTAAGATTATTTTCTTTTCCACTGTGAGCAAACAAATCCGCACACGTGGAGCAATGTCTGGTTTTGTTTCTGACTGTAACTGCTAACTGCTACAACAAAAAGGGCCTGATTTAATTGAATAACGGCAAAGTCAAAATGCCTCCCAACCATGTGAGGAATACACCTATGATGAGAAAGTGAATATCCATTGAGTTGTAGCAAGAACGTTGTTAGCTTAGTTTAGCATACAGAAATGGAAACAGTTATCGTGGCAAAATGAAGAGCTAATACACAAATCCAATCACCTGCTACTCATAAATCAATCCAAAGTGCATCAGATGGTAAAGAAGGTAGGTTTGCAGGTTGCTGTCTGAAATCAGTTTTGGGTAATACTTGACGAGGCTGTGAATCTTTCCTCTGAAGGAATGCAGTCAAACGTGGAGACTGCTCAGCCTCATCCAGTCATGGACAAATTAGTCCTCTAATGTATTCACATACCCTAAAGAGTGAGCTAAAGCTCTCTTGTGATGCCTTTGGTGTAGTAGGGGTGTGGCTGCCGCTACGGAAACCAAAGGCTTCATCTCATCCTTCTATGCATGTTCACAATAGCCCTTATCTATGATTTGCGTAAAGCAGCGATTCCCAAAGTGTGGGCCGCGAAGGTACTGCAGGTGGGCCGCGAGAGGTCATTTACAATAAATAAATAAAGTTTTTTCATTTTCAATTTTTAAAAGTTGGAAATTAATATAAAAATATTTATGATGCGGCACATTAGTTATGTGAAACATTAGTTGATGAAGCACAAACAATTTAAACGGACAGATTAATAAAACAATAAGGCTCTCGCTCGAAACGGCTGCTCTTGTCCGCCTGTCGTTGTTCAACAAATGGGGCGCCCTCTTGTAGTATTAAAGTAAATATACCGCATTTACCGCACTCCAAGGCGCACTTAAAAGGCTTTAATGGATCAATTGGTTAATCGGTTGATCCATACTGGTTGTACACGGCGCTCAAGGCGCTCTGCCAAACATGCCAAAGCTCGGTCTACAACGGCGAGATGCTGAGTGGGCGCTCAAGCACGTGAGATATGGAGCTTGTTTCAGGGCGTGTCGGAGAAACAAAGCTGTCGTTCTTGCCGAGCACTTCATGAGATTAAAGAGCGAGAGACGGCGTCCTTTTCTTTACAGTAGCTGAACCATCTTAACGGGGAAAATAAGTAAAAATAAGTGTCCTAAATAAATAATAATAAATAAGGAGCCGAAGATTTAAGGCGTGGATGGCGAGGGGGCGGCGGGAGCGGACGCACCTCGCAGCAACGATCGGACCCTGAAAGCACCGTCTCCACCTTACTGTCAAAAAGAACAATAGCGAGCGCGTAGAAAACTCCTTCGAGCGCGAGCAGAGATTCTCCTCGCGAGCAACGAAGTTCACATTTCGCAAGCGAGCAAATACCTCACGGAGACGAACTTTTGCTCGCGCGAGACAGACTTTTGCTCGCGGATGTTTGATTTTGGTTAAATTCTTACGGTCATTTAATCATTATGTTTTGATCAGAGTTGTGATTAAATGTTTGGGTGGGCTGCGAAAGATTTTCAGATTTCAAATTGGGCCGCGGCATTCTTGAGTTTGGGAACCGCTGGCGTAGAGATTTCCACAAGGCCCGTTGCTTTCTCCTTTATTCATCTCCTGTCCATTTTTTCTTCTGTTCTGTCCAGTTACCTATTACATCAGATATAATCCATGGTTTGACAATCAAAGGATGGTTCCATTAATGGGCAGGGCTTGGCCATAAAAACACTGAACATGTGATGCCTCTTAGCTCCATGCTAGTCATAATATATACTTAAAGGGCCCCCTCTGCTGGATTTATTGGTAAAGGATTTCATATTTTTGGTTACGGTTACATACAGTTGTATCAGTATGTCAGTACATTGATGCATTTATTTGTATTGTTTTATGCCACTAAAGAAAGAAGAAAATAAATCTTGATATTTAAAACATTCCGGTCTACTGACCTATTCTGCATGTTGCTGGACAAATCTTGATGGCTTGATGGGCCTGGTAACATAAAATGAACAGACTTTTGGATTCATGTAAAAAAATGAGGGAAATAATACAAATCAGTTTGAAAATAAACTAAGAGATGTGATTGTGTTGTACTGTATTGAAAGACTATTTGTGTAGAGGGACATCATAGGCACTAGTAACAGAAATGTATGTCTTATGTTAACCTGAGATAATATACTGTAGTTTGCTGTCTTTAAACCCATTTCTTGATCTCCCTTCTCTGGCTCACAGAAAGGTTTTACCCCCCTGCATGTGGCCTCTAAGTATGGAAGCTTAGATGTTGCTAAACTTCTGCTGCAGCGTCAAGCTCCACCTGATTTAGCTGGAAAGGTAAGAATTCAACCCAAAGGCCCTCTTAATCTTTATACTTTTTTAAAAGTAAAATCTATGAGATGTGGTTCATTATCCAATATATAATTTAAATTATAGTGTTCACTCACTAAATATTTTTGAAATATTTTTGGTTAATGCTTTTCCTACATTTAAATGTGAAACCATCTATATTCCAAACGAGTTTTGCCATTTTTCTGTATTTGGGCTAAGTTGACTAGAAGTTGTAAAACAGTTGTAAGCCTAGTTTCACCTGATTTGATTAACTGTGCTTACTTGGATAACAAAAGGATGTTTGCATTTTTTCTTTGAATATGTTCTTTACGTCATATTTAGATTGCCTCATGCATCCTTTCAGCTTTTGCTGTCAAGTTTGTCTCTAATTCATTTCAACAGTCTAACCCTCTTTCACAGATGCTCTTAACTGCATGTTTTTGTATGTCTGGCAGTATTGTCTTGCTGCTGCACTAACTGCTATCTAAGCCTTTGGCGCTCAACGTCCTCCCCTCTAGAACGGCCTCACCCCGCTCCATGTTTCAGCGCATTACGATAACCAGAAGGTGGCACTCTTGCTTTTGGATAAAGGAGCGTCCCCCCACAGCATGGCCAAGGTGATAGTCCACAGTAAAGTGCTGAAAGTAGCAGAAAACTAATGGGAAGCGTAAGATGTTTTAAATAGTGTACGGTTTAGCTTGAAGGTACAAATACGATTGCAGGGTTTGTAGGGTCATGAAAAACCTGGAAAGGTCATGCAATTTAAAAGTTGTAATTTCCAGGCTTGGAAAAGTCATGAACATTTTATATGTATATATATATGTATATATTTAAGATATGTTTGAAAAAATTCATATGGTTTTAAAGAGAGACGCTCAAAATATATATATCTCATACTCGCAGCGCAAATTATTCGCATCGTGGTTGTGTGAACGCACCTTAACTGAAAGGTTTGGTGGCTGTAAAAACAGTAGCTAAGGGATCATGGGAAGTGTAGATTTAACCATGGTTGGCTACATATGGAAAAGTGCATGTCATGAGTAACGACAAACAAAGACCCGGGACGGGCAGAATGTAAGTAATGTGGAGGCAAAACATTAGCTATTTCAAACATGGGAGAGTGGCATTAACGAGCCATGCTAAAGGAAGCAGACATCAGTGCGCTGCTGCTAGCAAAGCTACTGCAGAAACTCCATAAGAGGGCTGTCAAAATTGCTCAAAAAGTACGTTTGAATATTCGCTTAAAAAACCCCACATATATTTTAATATATTCGAATATCTGTTTGCTCAATAACAGGACAAATTCATACAACGAGACATAACTACTTGTATAGGTAATATAATTAATTTTAAACATATTTAAGAACATATTACCTACACAAAATTAAGTAAATTAACTAACGGCCAAGACCCCAGACCTCTCGCTCGCACACACACACTCGGTCTCTCTCTCTCTCTCTCTCTCTCTCTCTCTCTCTCCCGCTCTCTGCCTAAAGCGGTTTAAATAAATGACAACAATAAACAAATGCTGAGTGCTGATCAAGTGTTTTGTGCAAGCAAGTTAATGTCGCGATTCTTGTCCCAAATACGGTAGGCTTCATTCAGTGATTGAAACTGAAAGTTTTACAGTACCGACATTGAACACTCTGAGCGAGCTGGGCTGTAAACACAGAACTTTTTCTTTGCATGAAACGGCAAATAATCAAACCAGTGCATGAAACTGTTGTAGCCTATCTAGTCTATTTTATTCATGCGATATAGTCAGTACAGGCGCGCGCCCCCCGCTAAGCCGCGCAGCTGCCGCTGTTGTTTGTTTTCACATTTGAATAGTTGTTTTTAGCAACTATTCGAATATATATTCGAATATAGAACCCTAACCCACAGGCATAAGAGACTGCTACAAGAGGCACAACTCTTTCTAGCAATTGCAGTTTACTGAGGAAGAAGAGATATGGTAGACAGCCCAGCAAAATGTACAAGTCATTAATGTGTTTGTTTTCATTTTTTATTCTAGAAATATACTGTAGTTTCATTTTATACAAGGCTTAATTCTTGAAACAGCTGGTCATTGTAGTCTTTAAGAAACTTTACTCAGCGAAGAGCAAATAACATACTTGTTGAAGACTATTTTGAGCAGAGCATTATCACACATTTGCTGCTGTAGTGACTCTTTGGGGTAGCAGGTGTGTGTTTGTGTGATTTAGCCCAAATAAACTGCAGTGTGATCACAGTGATAAAGCAAGATGTAACCTTGTCCGTCAATGTAGCTAACTGACTTGTCTTAGCAACAAAACAGCTCTACAAGTTAAAGGGAGACGAGATATCAGGCTAGCATACACAATACGTGATTTGCCTGCACACATGAGATGTGTTAACAGTGAACATATCCAGTCTGGTCCTCTGATAGTAGCCAAATCCCTCGGTAAGATGTGTGTTTTTGTAACATGCCATGTCCATGCTAAAAATAACGCTCATTATATTAGATATATAAAACTTTTAAGATAATTTTACAACATTATAAGACAACATGAATTGACACCAAGGATGTCAACTATAGTTCCTAAAACATTTTGGTCTGAGAGGCTGTCTCAATTAATATTCTGAACTGAAACTTTCTCTCATCAACCAGAATGGCCACACTCCGCTCCACATTGCGGCAAAGAAGAACCAGATGGAGATTGCCACAGTGCTGTTGCAGTACGGAGCTGAGACCAACATCCTGACCAAGCAAGGTGTCACTCCGCTCCACCTGGCCTCCCAGGAGGGCCACACTGACATGGCTGCCCTGCTCATGAGCAAGGAAGCCAGGGTCAACGTCCAAACTAAGGTACTGTGGAGCAAACAGTTTTTTCCTAACTCTAATATCCCATTGGGTGAATTGCTATAAATCATTTTTCATCTCTGGTAGAATTTTTTCAACTATACTTTTGTGCCTTTTAACAGTTAAAGAATTCAGAAATGTCAAAGTAATGACATTTTCATACAACCATCAAAGATCGTCTTCTATTATCCTATCAATCAAATATTTACATTTTATGACAAAGTTTATCACATATAACATTGTCAAAGTAGCCACATCAGCTTATTTGAGATGACAGAATGTGGTCTGAATGAGTCTGTTATAACATTGTAAGTGTTCTGTTTGTGTTCCTCATGCAGAGTGGTCTGACTGCCCTCCATCTGGTGGCTCAGGAAGACAAAGTGGCTGTTGGGGAGATCCTATTCAAACACGGAGCAAACCTCGACCAGCAGACCAAAGTATGAACATACTTCAATTTTCTTTATTTCCACCCTTCTGTTTGTATGAGGATATAATGTCACCAATTCACCAGGTCAAATTCCTCTATGTATAACATATGTGTCAATAAATGTCTTCTGATTCTGATTCCATGATCTCCCATTCTGCTGAAATGTTTGCCCTCAATAACAGTATTCTGACAATGTTTTCTGTTGTTCTGCAGTTGGGGTACACCCCACTAATTGTAGCATGTCACTATGGTAACGCCAAGATGGTCACCTTCCTGCTTCAGAGTGGAGCCAGTGTCAATGCCAAAACCAAGGTACTGACACTAAATTGAAGGGCTCAGATACGAATTTAATATTCATTATCATTTCAAATTTATGGTTTTATTATTATAAAATGTAATCACTATCACTAGTGATCATACAATTCAGTTATTTTCACACATCACACATGACAAATTTTCCCCAGAGGTATTTAAGATCTGCTCACATGCGACATCCTCTGTCCTAAAACCCTCACATCAGCACAAGAAAAAACACATATGTTGCATCTGAAAATGTGAAACTTCACGCATTATTTCATATCTGCTGCTTGGCTGACATGAAAGTGAACTTTGAATAATCCATTTATTTAAAACATTTTCTTTCCTTTCCAGAATGGATACACTCCACTCCACCAAGCAGCCCAGCAAGGAAACACACACATCATTAATGTACTGCTGCAAAACGGTGCCAAGCCCAATGCTATCACTGTGGTATGTGAACCGCCACAAAACACACAGACACGCAGACACACACATACAACACACAGTGCAAAGACACACAACTCAACTACTGTGCTTTCTCTTTCAGAATGGTAACACTGCCCTGGGTATTGCTCGGAGGCTGGGCTACATCTCTGTGGTGGATACGCTGAGAGTCGTGACTGAAGAGATCATTACCACCACAACGGTATGGAATGCCGTTTTAGTCAAAATTAAATAAATGAATAAATACGTAAATACATGAAATATGCATTTGAAATACATCATGAAATAAATAAATGAGGCAATAAATACATAAATATTAAATACATTTAATTATTTCATGGTACTTTTATTTCGTAATGCCACTTTTCATTTCATGGTACTTTTATTTCATAATGCCACTTTTCACCTCTTTTTAAATGAAGAATGAGACTTTTATTTTGAAATGAAAGTGTTTACTACTGGCCAATCCCAATATAACAGATTCAGTTTTCACTACAAAATATTCCTAAATAATCGCTACTAAATGAAACTGCAATGTCAACACCTTCTCTCTGCTATCTGTAAGTGAAGTATTTGTTGCTTCTTACTCAGCATCAAGTGTTGCCATGGCCACGCGTCAGCTTCACTTTAAGCTGTAATGCAGAATGTGATCCAGTTATTTACACCTTAAGTCTGTAGCTTACAGATAATATTTACCAACCGCTTTACATTTATCATTTCTATTCTATTATTGGCTGTTTTTTTGTTTTCCTGCAAAAATGCTTTACCAAACACAAATGTTAATTGTCCTCTAATACACACACACAGACACGCACTTTCACACTGTTTCACACTTACGCGCACCCGCACAGTGTGTGGCAAGAGATCCAAGTAAAGAAGTGAACCGTAGGGCTGGTACTACAAAGCGCAATGGTTCACCCAATAACATAACCTGCCTCCGGATGAAGAGGACAAGTAGATTTAAAAAAGATTCGAGTGTACCCTTCGAAAAGTGTATGTCTGAGGTGATGTCCTCTGTTTTGTTTTCTTTCCAACCGTAGAATCGTGTTGTGGGGCTTAACAAGCGATGCCTCTACACATTAATAATTAGGGTTTGTTAGCTTGTGCTGTCAGGTGTGGGGAACAGCTGTTTTTCTCTTAATTAAAACCTTACACACCACTCCAGCTCTCGAAAAAAGGTGATTGGTGCAGCCAAGTCAATTTAATAATATGAAAACACCTAACTGTTGGGACCGATGTAAGCTTGATTCACACTCCAATTTAAACGTCAAGGACATAGTTGCGGAGCTGGCACACTCACGGGTAAATTATCACTTAGTAGCGTCGGTATACCTAATACAGGTGCCGGACGCCCGCCTCTGGATATTCCTGGCGACAGGCCGGCTACCGTTGTATAGTATGGCCTAACAAACCGAGAAATCCAATATCCAGGAATATCCAGAGGCGGGCGTCCAGCACCTGTGCTTGTAGTACCAGCGCTAATCTCACGTCCCTTAGCCAGCCTTCTTTTGCACACGGCTCTGTTGTAGCCACGCCCCCTGATTTGCATATAAGAACGTGAAATGTAAAACGGCATTATGAAATCAGTCTCTGGAAATGAAAAACGGCATTATGAAATAAAAGACTCTGGAAATGAAAAGTGGCATTATGAAATAAAAGACTGGAGATGAAAAGTGACATTATGAAATAAAAGTACCATGAAATGAAAAGTGGCATTATGAAATAAAAGTACCATGAAATAATTAAATGTATTTAATATGTATGTATTTATTGCATTACGAAATAAAAGTACCATGAAATAATTAAATGTATTTAATATTTATGTATTTATTGCCTCATTTATTTATTTCATGATGTATTTCAAATGCATATTTCATGTATTTACGTATTTATTCATTCATTTAATTTTGACTAAAACGGCATTCCATACAACGGTACACCAAATAACATTTTGATCTAAATTTCAAGGTTCAGGAATCTTTGTTGGAATGTAGGCTCTGATGGCAAACGATTCCATGGATAGTTTTAAATCAAATCAAATCAAATAAATCAAATCAAATAACCAATTATTAATTATTGTAGTTAGGTGAGAGCCCGAGATCAGTGTTGCACCATTAAAAACGAGCCAATCTATCTTAAAGCAGCACCACACATGCTTTAAAATAAATATGGTAATACATCTTCCACTAACAAATGCAAAGATGTATTCATTAGCAATAAAACACACCCTTACGCAATATATACTGCTGTTACTGCTGCAGTGATTGATCGTTGCTTTCCATTCCCATATGTATGATAAATAATAACTCGTAATTGCAGTTTCTTCATTTAGAACTAGTTTTTAATGCCATACAGAACCTTAAAAGGTTTAAGCAGGGAATAGTTTTCCTTTTTACGATTCCCTTTCTCCAATACATACATCAATACAGCTTCCATAATGTGTACGGTTTCAGCTCGGTTTACTAGCAAACAGAAATAACTAAGATGTGAAGTAGAGTTAATGGGATCTCCTTCCTCCCTTGCTAGCAGACGGTGACGGAGAAACACAAGCTGAACGTGCCAGAGACCATGACTGAGGTGCTGGATGTCTCGGATGAAGAGGGTAAATCCAGTTGTACATTAAGCCTGTCAACATCTACCGCCAGTGGAGCTTAATTCAATTCAAATCATTTTATTTTGTTGAGCCCAAAATTGCAAAATACAAATTTGCCTCAGAGGACTTTACAGTCTGTACACATCGGCATAGGAAAAACACCTCGAAAAATGAAATGATATGACTTAAGTCTGTGAACTACACCTGTTGTCCAACAGGAACATTCCGTTTGTGTGCTTGACTAGAGTAAACTGTACTACACGAACAAAATACACTTTCCGCAGTAGAGAGTAAGGGTTAAGTTCTTGGGTCTGATCTAGCATGTCACAGACCATGCACATGAAGACAATCCCTCACTGCATTAGTGAGATTTTGGTCCAAGTGAGAGAAGCAATCTTAACTCAAAGATGTTCCTCAGTTGCTGAGGGCAGTAGGCACATGGGATGTGGCAGATTTTGAAGGTAATTAATCACCAGTGTTCCTTCGAAAATTCAATTCAATTAATTTTATTTTGTATAGCCCAAATTACAAATTTACCTCAGACGGCTTTACAGTCTGTACACATGAGACATCCTCTTGTCTCGAAACCCACACATCGGCACAGAAAAAGAAAAAAAAAAAAACCTTAGGGAGAACGTCAGAGGAGGGATCCTTCTCTTGGACGGATGGACAGACAACAATAGATGTCTTGTGTACCGAATGAAAAATGTAAAAGATGTAAAATACATTCAATTCCTATAACAGAAATGATTCAAATAATTGCGAGTAGCAAGCCAGGCGTACGGCAGGACCACTGCAGGGGCAACCACCATCAGATTTGATAGAACCACCATCCACAGAAGCCTGTGGGGAGGGAAAGCACAAAGACCTTAGGAAAGGGTAATGTTGGTTTATGATGACAGTAATAGTAATATGATTAATATTTAAAATAATAATAAGGATGATGATAGCAGCAGCAAGTGTCAGCAGGGCCACAGCAGGAGTCAGGAACAGGGTCGAGATGGAACTACGATCTATGGAGACCTGCTAGGCGAGAAAGCAAATAAAAAACTCCCGGAAAGAAGCTGAATTAGTCATGTGCATTAATAAAACGTGGATTGTAGGAGAAGGAGTGAGAGTGAGAATGGAGCTTGGTGTGTCCTAAGAAAATGATGGCAGTAGATTCACGGTGCAATGAGCGAGGAGAGGCGGCAAACTGCAAATAAACCATGCCAGATACATGCGCATTACACGCCACAGTACACACACAATAACCGCTACTGTCCTGTCAGACATTAAATACATGTTTCGGTTAACGTGACGTTAACAAGTTAACGTGACCTCCCGGGCCATCCACAAAACAGGAGGAAAAATAGAAACAGAAATGGCAGCCTTACGCGCTTCCCACAGAATGGTAGTCTGCACTCACACTATACACAGAAGGTGTGCTTGTTCTCAGGAAGAGACCACACAGAGAAGAGAACAGAGAGCACTGGGTCAGGGAGCCTTTATCTAACGTCCCTGTCTCCTGACGCGGACAGCGGAAGCCATTATATGCCGGACCTGTACGCTCTTAATTTGCCGCTTTTTCCGGTCTTTTTTTATGGTTGATCGCCCGCGAAACGTAAAGCCTAGTTTATGCTTCTGCGTTTTCAGAGCGATGCAAGGAAACGCAGACGCAAGAGCCCCTTGCGTGTCCCTTGCGTGCCTTTTCACACCTCCTTGCGTGCTTGCGTGCGTCAAGACATTTTTCTAGGCTTGCGTCCGAAAGCGACGCAAGCCTCCTGCAGCGCACAAGGCTGTGATTGGTCTGCTAACTACATCCTTTACGGAGTCTCACATTTCCGCTTTCATAGCACAATACCGCCATTATTAAAACGAAGAATGTTTACGAGAGAACGGATCAGATTGAAGAGATTTTGTCGGAAGAAATGCGTAAATATGACCACTTCTACAAGCCGTCATTGGCGGACTATAAGGACGCACGAATGGCCTCCCGATTCATGGAGGGAGATCTCCGCAAACGGTTTGCCGGTCGAGGGAACAAAGTTCACAAACAAATGTGTCCGTGGTGAAAAGCAGTGGCGATGCACGGGGCATTAAAGTCTATGATAAATAAAGTACAAACAAACAAACCAACGACTTCCACACACAAAGACGTAACTCTCTAGGTTGTCTTCAACAAAACACGTTACTCCACCTGTTGTTCTGGCAGTAAACTGTTCTGCAACACACGCAAGCCTTTGTTTAGCTAAGTCTTAAGTAATGATAATTCATACATGTCAACAAATCTATGTGTCAAATCTCATGAATATATATATATATGTCCAACTACTGCAGGAAAGTTACTTTGATGAGCGAAAGTAGTAAGACTCACTCGCGCGACGGTTGGGCAATGCTTGACGATGAAAGCGCTTTCATCGCGCTATTTGGAGGTGTTGAAGCGGGATATCTTATTTTGAAAGGCCAGAATTGGTTTCCCGATATGTTGTCAGCATCGATGGTAATTTTGGCAACCCTTTACCTCCGCAAAAAACAAATGTTTACAATGACGATGGACGTCCGTCCGGTCTACATTGAATTAGCAGCGCATGGCTTTTTTTTTTTACAGACTCTGCTTACAAATTACTTTTTACTTTCATAATTAAAACTGTATTTGGCTCAAAAGTTAATGAGCTAACGCCTACTTTTACACCGTTAAATCCCCTGAAAACATTACACGATCATTTTTATCAATAGTTTTACCAGATAGTTAGCTAATAACTCTCCGCGTCAGGAGACAGTGACGTTAGTCCACTAATTGCCTGATGTCTCTCAGGTGGCGCTGCTTCAGGTGAACCATATCTGTCTAGCTACAGTATTTTTTAACTTGCTGGCAAGTATACTGCTGTCTGCTAAACGAGGGCCAAAGAATGTTACTTGTGTTCTTCACTGAAGTCGGTTTCTTTGTTTTCATTCACCTCCAACCCTCCGTTTTCTCCCAAAGGAGATGACACAATGACCGGTGACGGAGGGGAGTATCTGAGGGCCGAAGACCTCAGGGAGCTGGGAGATGATTCCCTACCAGGACAATATCTGGACGGAATGAACTACCTACGCTTCAGCCTGGAGGGGACACGCACTGATAGGTACATTAAACTCAAACTTTACCAACGAACATCTCAAAAATGTTGTGCTGTAAGCCAGGGGTGCTCCAATAGGTTAATCGCCAAGGCAATGCCAGTAGATCGCCTGCCTTTGGGGCAAAAAAAAATCACGACGGGTCACGTGAGCGGTCAACCCGAAGCTAATGGAAAACTTGAAAAAGTGTAGGCACCGCTGCTGGAAGCTGTTGTTGTTCCCATATTAAATTGAAATAATTAATATTCATGATTTGTAAAACCAACTTTTCATCCTGTACTAATCAAAATAATATTTCCTGTGTATTGTTGCTCTAACTTTATCATCACCATTCACGCTAAGGACAAAGCTAGCTAACTCTCTGTATTTGGATATGTGTACTGTGTGTATTCACTCCTACTCATACTTCATCGTTGGCCTTCCTTGTCATTTCTTGGTAGTCAAATGCAAAGGTATGTACTGACGCTGGCCTCTTACATCTTCATCACTGCAGAAAGAAAATCTGTTTAACTATGTAACTTACGTTTAACTATCTTAGTTAAATCCTTAGGCTGGATATTGCCCTTTTTTTTGCCCAGAGAGCAGACAAGGGGCGGGAGGGAGGGAACGAAGAGACGAGGGTCGGGCCACCCGAGGGACCCTCCGGGGGTCGGCCCGGCAGGCGGCCAGAAGTCTGGCTCGGGGAAGGACGCGGGAAGCCTCCGGGGGCGCCGGCTGGAGGACGCGGGAAGCCTCCGGGAGCGCCGGCTGGAGGACGTGGGAAGCCTCCGGGGCCGCCAGCGAAGGCGGGAAGCCTCCGGGGGTCGGCCCGGCGGGCGGGCCAGAAGTCTGGCTCGGGGGAGCCGGCTGGAGGACGCGGGAAGCCTCTGGGGGTCGGCCCGGCAGGCGACCAGAAGTCTGGCTCGGGGAAGGACGCGGGAAGCCTCCGGGGGCGCCGGCTGGAGGACGCGGGAAGCCTCCGGGAGCGCCGGCTGGAGGACGTGGGAAGCCTCCGGGAGCGCCGGCTGGAGGACGTGGGAAGCCTCCGGGGGCGCCGGCTGGAGAAGGCGGGAAGCCTCCGGGGGTCGGCCCGGCGGGCGGCCAGAAGTCTGGCTGGACTGGTCGAGTTGGGGGAACGAGTCATGGAACCGGGACTGGAGGAGTCAGGGGAACGAGTCGTGGGGGCCGGAACAAAGTTCGTTCTTCGCTGCCAAAACGGGCTCCTTATGTCCAGGTACTCTGGTCCATAATTTGGAAGAAGGTGATGGAGTATGATCGAATAACTGCCAATCTTATAGCATTCCAGGCAGCTTCAGCTATAGTTTGTTTACTGATAGTTTGCACATCTTGACAGGCTAACACAGTATAATATTATATTCTTATACACATTTTAAGTATATATTCTTAAAATGTGTTCTATTTCATCCTTACTGACTGAGGCAGTGCTTCACACTGGATTATCTTCTGTCTTGCACACACACAGACCCGTCTGTAAAACATGCTTCAAACCCTTCAAATGTGGCTAAGCACCTATCAGACAAGAAACTCCAAACTTTTCGTGCAGGCAGCCTGACAGCGAGCGGAACAGTGAGTGCGCTCTGATTGCGTGCTTTTTTTAAAGTACCGGTACTAAAAAATTTCCAAACCGTATTGCTTTCAACCTAAGGGTACTGCGGTACCTTTCTAGTACCGGTACACCGTGCAACACTAGATGACACCGGTACTTGTAGGTGACGGGAGGTCATCTGAGGTCACTGGTGACTTTGTTCGTATAAAGACTCGACCTGCGCATGCGCGAGACAGAAGATAATCCAGTGTGAAGCACTGCCTCTGGCGGTCAGTAAGGATGAAATAGAACGAAAGTTACGTATGTAACTACGGTTCTATGAATCCTGGATGACCGCCAGAGTTCTTAATCACTCGGAATCCTGTGAACTCGCGAGAAGGTTCCGTAGGACTGATCTCAGGATGACGCCTTACTTATTGTACTTACACGTGACGGGAGGTCATCCGAGGACACAGGTGACTTTGTTGGTATAAAGACTCGACCTGTGCATGTGCAAGACAGAAGATAATCCAGTGTGAAGCACTGCCTCTGGCGGTCATCCAGGATTCATAGAACCGTGGTTACATACGTAACTTTCGCTTTTAGCGCGTTTTTAAAAAAAAAATTTAAACCACTACTGCACAATCTTACTGTAGCCCTAATCTGCTTGTGTACTTTTAGACTCTTAGTCTATCTAGATAGCGCAATGTTATTTCTTCAGTTACTAGAATGTAAAACGTGTGTTAGACAATGTTAGCCTAGATAGTTTTGTATTTGGTTACCTTAAGACAACAAAAATGCAAAAAACAATTGTTCCTTTACCATAACCATTTAAATCAACGAGTATTTTTTTTTTGATAGTGTAATTATCATAGGGTAATAAAGTTGTACTGCTGATGTTCGCAATATCATATTTGACTGATTGTGATCTGTTGCACCCCTACTACTGTGAGCATTAGGCAATTTCTTAACCCTACAGAAGTTGCATACATTGTCCAACTCCAGGATTGCACATGCATGTGTGCCGTTGCAAGGAGATTTAACGTGTCCCCCGAGTACGAGAAGAACATGGAGAAGATTCCAGGAGACAGGCAGCTACTCTAGTAGAGCTGGACAGGACCATTGAAGGCCTTCTATGATCTATGGTCCTCAACTTATCAGCAGGGACAATATCTGCCAATTTGTCCAAGGAGGAACAGGTTGAGCAATGCCCAAGCCCTACAGAATGACCCCCATAACTGGTGTGAATGTCTCTACCCAAACAATCAGAAACAGACATTATAAGCGTGGCCTCAGGACGTAATGTCCTGTAGTGTACCCTGTGCTCACTGCCCAGCACCGTGGAGCTTGATTGGCATTTGCTGTAGAACACCAGAATTGGCATGCGCAAAGTGTCTTTTACAAATGAAAGCAGGTTCACCCAGAGGACTGAAACGGTCTTAAGAAGCCAAGGAGAAATCTATGCTGTCTGCAACATTGTTTCGCATGACCGGTTTGGTTGTGGGTCAGAGATGGTCTTGGAAGGCGTATCCATGGAGGGACGCACAGACTTCTATAGGCTGGAAAACGGCAGTTTGACTGAAATTAGGTATTGGGATGAACCCATGATCAGACCCTACCATCGTGCAGTAGGTCCTGGGTTCCTCTTGATGCGCGACAATGCCCGGCTTCATGTGGCAAGAGTATGCAGGCATTACTCTGAGGATAAAGGAATTAATACAATTTAATGGCCCTCACAATCACCTGACCTAAACCTGGGACATTGTTTCAGTCCATCAGACGCTGCCCGTTTGCTCCTCAGACTTTACAGGAGCTCACTGATGCCCTGAGACTGGGAATCTGGGAGGTCATCCCACAAGACACCATCCGTTGTCTCATTTGGAGCATGTTGCGACATTGTCAAGCATGTATACAAGCACGTGGGGACATACAAGATATTGAGAAGCATTTGCATTTGCAGAAATTGAATATTGGCAAAATTGATCAGCCTGCCACATGATTTCCACACTTTGAATTTTGGTGTCTCTGTATTTTGCTTGCTTTCATTTCCCACCCGCTGTGATCTTTTCAATTGTCTTGACCACTGAGCCTCACTGGCTTCAATGGTTTTCTTCTGCTACAGTTCAGACAGGTCCTTCACACCCACCCACCACAGTTACTACTCCCCTAGACATGAGGGCATTATGGATGAGATGCTGACCAGTCACCAGGTAAAGTACATTACAAGTCAATTATATTCATAGCCATTGCAGTAGAAATGTTGTATTTTGTAAAGTTTTATTTTCACAAGAACTCTGGAGGAGTTAACTATTCAATGTATTATTAGTATTGTATTAAATTATAGTTTAAATTATAGTTTAAAATGAAGGTAGGTGATTTAGTATTGAACTTCCATTAACGGCAAGTGAAGTATAATAATATATGTATTGCCTTCAGTTCCGAATGCTACATAATATGATTCCTGTTACTGATGTCTGACAAAAGCTTCTTTGTTCGACTCCAGGTCTCCTCACTTGCCAGGGAGTGTGACAGGGATTCATATCGTTTGAGTTGGGGTACCGAGAACCTGGACAATGTTGCTTTATCTTGCACCCCCATTCACTCTGGGTAAGAATTTTCAGGTTCAAGCTAATTTTTATATGTATATACTATGTACATAGTTTTGTTCTTCTTTGCTTTCCTTACAAAAAGGAATACTGATGTTAGCAGATCTTTCCACTTCAATTGAGAAATGGATACACTCAGGGCTGTAGTGGAGGGTAAACGCACGTAAACGCCGTTTACGCACCTCTGGAATTTGGAAATAGCGTTTACGCACTTATAAATAGCGTTTACGCACCCCTAAGTAGCATTTACGCACCTCAAAGTTCCCTGCGCCTTGTATTCTTCCGTTGGAATAATCCGAAATAAACTTGGTGTAATTTTAAAACAGCTAAGGCTACGTTTCCTATTGTTGAACATATAAACGCCGTAGTCTGAATCATGTTCATCTGCGCTGTATTACGGTCTGTGAGCATCCAATCAGTGCCTTGCGGCTGCAGCAGCGACACCAGTCAGGATCCAGGAGGTGTGTAAACGGATCAGCCCAGTGGTCCCCAACCTTTCTTACCTCGCGGACCGGTCGAGAAGGACCGACGAGGGGGTAGTCGTCGTTGCGGGCGGAACGACCGACGGGGGGGGGGGGGTGTAGTAGTCTTTGCGGGCGGAAACACCGACGGGGGGGGTAGTAGTCCCGCCCCCTGTGTTCGCTGGTCGTGCACGGTAAAAGGACAAGAAAAACGCCTGGTGACGCGTAGATAAGAAAACAAGTCAGTTCTCAATGTGAAAAAAAACATGCTGTAGGCTACTTATGATGACATAGGTAGTACATGAGTGTTCCTTTAACTTACCGAACTTCCTGAACGCGTTCTGGGGTTCATGGCTCCTCTGTGCAAGGCAGGACCTGACGTGGAGGACAAGGAGGCCCTCTGGGCACTACTGTGAAAAGGAGACTCCATATGTAGATAGTTTTTAATCTGCAATTGTCTTGTTGTGTTGTGTTGACATACTTTTCTTCACTGTTTTCTTAGATTTAATAAACTACAAACTACTAACACATTTATTCATTGTCATTGATGTTGTATATGACTTTTACTGATAACATAATGCAATATAGCCAGGACAGCCTTACAGAGTCGCGACGCTTTGTGTTGCGTTGCTTCGCATCGCGTCGAGGTCTGTATGATCACAAAATTCAGAGTTTACCCACCTCTAATTTTACCACTACAGCACTGGATACACTGTTATAATTCCATCTTGTAACCTTTAAAAAACATTAGGGGTTTTCAGTTGAGAACCATGGCTTCAGATTTAGAGGTGCTGATCCTATCCCCGATTGCTTCACACTTGGCAGCCAACCTCGCCATTGAGTGCTGCAAAAAGCAGCGATGAGATTTGCAGAATACCTCCTCCCACCGACAATGCCTCGAAATCCTGTCCCTGAATACCACAAACAGGATTGGTGACAAACCGCAGTCCTCACAAAAGTATTAGATGGTCCCAAGAAAACACCCTCTCACCACATACTCCCGCAACACCTCCCACAGTATCCGATTATACATTACATTACATGTCATTTAGCTGACACTTTTATCCTAAGCGACTTACATTAAGTGCATTCAACCATAGGGTACAAACTCAGAAGAACAAGAAACAAGAAAGTGCAATTTCCTCAAATAAGCCAATTTACAATTTGCTATAGATGAGTGGCGTTATAAGTACAATTTAAGTGCTACAATTTGTTAGCCTTCTCCAGGACCACAAAACACATGAAGACCGTATGAGCAAACTCCCAAGCCGCCTCCATGATCCTTGCAAGAGTAAACAACTGCTCTGGCTGTTCCACAACCAAGATGAAATCTGCATTGTTCCTCTTGGAATAAACCTTACCGGGGAGGCTGAGTAGTGTAATACACCTGAAATTGGCACACACTCTATGGTCGCCCTTTTTAAAGAAAGGAACCACCACCCCGGTCTGCCATTCAGGCCCAGACTTCCACGAAATGAGGCGTACTATTAAAGACCCCCCCCCCCCCCCAACACCCATTGCTTTCAGCTTCTCCGGACGAATCTCATCCATCTTTGCCACCAGAGAGTTCTTTGACTACCTTAGTGACTTCCACCAGACAAATTGAAGATGATCCTACCTCAGCCTCCAGCTCCGCCGCTACCAAAGAGGGGGTAGTAGTTGGACTCAGGAGTGATCCTTGCACAGTCCAATAACCTTCAGAGTTGCAGTCTTCAGAGTTCAATCCTTACTGCTTGGATGATTCCCCGTTTTCACTTTGCCGACCGAAAGTGCTTTTTCCATAGTTGCTCCGAATTCACACACTTGCTGCTTTGCCTCCATCACGGCTGAGGCTGCCGCCCTTTGGGTCTGTCAGTATGCTGCAGGTGCCTATGGAGTCCCCTGGGTTATCATAACTCTGGGGATGTCCAGTCGGACGTCTTCTCTGACGACCAGTGTCCACCACTGTGTTGGAGGGTTACCGCCACTTGATGCACCTAGGACTTTGAGGCCTACTGTGGGTATGGAATGTGTCCTTAGCCCAAGTGAAGGAATTTAAGGACCTTTGGGTCTTCGCGAGTGAGGGGTAAATGGAGTGTAAGTTTGGCCGGAGAATTGATTTAGCAGGGGCGGTATTGCACTCGCTTTACCGCACCGTTGTGACAAAAGATAGCTGAGCCTAGGGGTGCAAATAACAATTTTTTTGATAATTGGTCAAAAAAACAGCATTAATAAAAACATTAACACATTTTCCAACCCTTTGTTCTAAAACAGAACTGCAAAATCACAGTGCAAAAAAACTTCAGAAAAAGGAGGTTGCTTCTTAAACATTATAATAACATAATAATAAAAAAAAAGACAAATACAAATCAGTAAACATAAGAGCATTTGTTTGAACGTCGGAACATATTCTCAACATTACTTACTTATTCATTACCATCATTGTAGCGCAAGTTAAGTATATGTATATTATTAAACACGGCTTAAGATGGCCATGAAATGACATTTTAAACACAAACGAATGTATTTGTCAATAATAACCGATGTGGGACAGAATATATACACGACAACAGATTGACACTCTTTTAGTTTTTCTAGTGTGAAATGCTCCCACACCTTGGACGACTTGAGTCATACAGACTTCGCTGCCCGCGCCAGGTGATTCACAACAGCTGTTGCTGCTCTGTCCTTTACCTCGGCTCATTTATTTTTTGCTCTGTCACATATTCGCTGCGCCGGAAGGCATCTACCGGTCGATCGGCGTTCTTACCCTTACCTATGGTCATAAAGGATGGGTCATTATGAATAGAATTAGGTCGTGGGTGCAAGCAGCCAAATTAGATTTAGAAAACTCAGGATGAGGTGGAGAGTTTTAGCTCGAGTGATGTTAGAAGGTTAAAATTCAACTTTAGGCTAGTTGCCGCCAGTTTTTATGCTAAACTGGATTAGCAATTTCTTATAGCCTTGTACTCGACGTAGAGCCATGAAATTGTGTAGTGTTGAACTATTGTTTTTGGCAACAAATGGAACAATACACTAAATACTGATTTGAATTGCCACTATTCTTGTAGATAGGCAATATTGAAATGTAAGTGACCATGTAACATTGATTGTGTTTTGAAAGATTGATTAAGAGACTACTCTGTGTCTCTGTATCTTGATCGATCTTGTTTCTGCTTGAGTTTTTATTCCTTTCTGTCTGATGTGGTTGTTGTTTTTAGCCGTTCCTCTCCGTGCCCCGATCATGGAGACCACAGCAGGTGACCTTCTGCATCTTGGATAAATCATTCTTAATGTCATCGTCATCATGCTCTTCCTCACAGATGCACCTCTCCTTGTGGAGAGATGTATCTGTCACCGTCATCAACAGACATTGCCTCATTGATTTGGCTGTGGGTTTACAATGTTAAATCATTTAATCTGACTAATCTGACTCTATTTTCACACTGAGAATCCCAGTGTTGATCTCTCCACAGAAAAATATCATGCTATTCAGCAAGTTCAGGAAAACAAACCCTTAACCTTGGATATCTGGGCAAAAATAGGCAGTGAAAGTTGAGCACATTTTTGTGGATTTTGTCTTGTTTATTGTGCATTTCCACTAACATACCTCAGGGTTGGTCTGATTGTATGAGATAAGTATTATTGTGTACAAGATAATGGGCTCAGATCTCCTGCTGCAGAAACATACTCTGATTGATTTCTGTCAATGAGGAAAAGCTTTATTTTCTGACCATAATAAACTAAAGCACTTACTGTAAGTACTTTTCAGCAGTGGAGGACACAAATCTTTGTCTTCGAATTGTTTTCTGGGCATGAATTCAGTAATAGAGTTGAAGCTGTGTGCTCGTTAAACACTATGCTGTCTTTGAGAGTCATGAACTGTTAATGATGGAATTGTAATGTAACTTCATCACACCCATACTCCTGCTCATTGCGCTTCATGATCCATGTGCATCCTGTAGTTTCAATTTTGCATGAAGAGCGAGGTCAGAGAGTCTCCAGCTGTGAGGTTAACACATTAATGCAAGTAGACCAGAATTACAGAGATAAAGCCGTTGATGTTGGCCATTCAGTGAAACAAAAAGAGACATGAAAGTCAGAGAAATTTTGTTTTTAAACAGAAAATTACATCTTTATAATAATCATGGTCAAATAATCTGCCACGTAGCTTTGGTCACATATGATCAATGAGAAATGTTTTTAAATTTTGGAAATATCTCCTGTTCCGCCTCAGCTTCCTGGTCAGCTTCATGGTGGATGCCAGGGGCGGGGCCATGCGTGGTTGTAGGCACAACGGCCTACGCATCATCATCCCACCCAAGAAGTGCAGCGCGCCCACGCGTGTGACGTGCCGGCTGGTGAAGAGGCACCGTCTGGCCACTATGCCCCCAATGGTTGAGGGTGAGGGTCTGGCCAGCAGGCTCATTGAGGTGGGGCCCTCTGGAGCCCAGTTCCTTGGGTAAGGTGGCAGGGATCGATGATGGAATGAGTGAATGAAAGTTAGTGGATGTACAGGATTAGGAGAAAAGGAATATGAAGAGGTAAAAAAATGAAAATATATAATTAAAAAAAATTGATACAATTTAGTAAAATTTCATTACTTGTTTTTTGCATGGGTTTGGATTTTCAATACCATTTGAAATGAATTATGATAGTACCATAAAAAAGGGCTTTATATCTCACGCATGCATCTCTAGTGTGAGAGGAAAAGAAAAAAAAGAAGTCAGACCTGTGGAACAATATTTCAACATTGTTGCTATTGACACTGATTATTGACCCTTTTGACCCTGCTATTGACCCTTTCAATGGCAATTTCACAACCTGCTGCCCTTATTCTTTCAGATTGATTTAACCTCTGCCTCTGCATTACTGAAAATATTTGTGTATCTGCTATTGCTTTCTCCAAGCACCATCGAAATGTCAATCGTTGCTCTTTAGCATGTCCTGATTTTTTTCATAAGAGCTGCAGTCCAACTCGTTTTAACCTTTTTACAAAAACCTTTTCCGATTAACCCCACCTTCAGTATATTGCTTAATGATTGGTTTGATATGTGACCTAAAATACTACCCTCTGCCAGTGATGTTTGAAAAGAATAGTATAAATGTATCCATGATATTATGATGACTCCCCCGCTTAATAATAATAATAATATGAATTATAGTTATAAGTTATTCATCAACTATTTATTGCTGACAGGAGGGTTCTCCCTGACCAAAACTACTCAAATATATTCAGATTATATTAGAGCGCACATTCATGGATTAGTATTGGGCAAAGATGAGAAAAAGTAACTATTAATCGCAGAATTTTCTGCGCAATATTCAATAATAACTTTAAAACTAGTGTTTTGCACGCTTTTATTTTAAAGTAATATTTTCAGAACAGTATAACAGGCACTCTCAGAACAGCAAGTTAACATTTTCTTACTACTCTGCACCCAGCCAATTGCTAAGACACACAAGGTAATTTACATTCAGATGACAAAGAACCTCTCTCTTTCTAAACCATATGACTTGTAAGTAAAAAAACACCTTTCACAGGGTGCAGATGTTGTTAAGACTGACACCGTTGTTCAGTTTCATACAACTCGTGTACTCTCCTGGGTGAGGCTCGTACGCGCCCCCTCGTTGCGATTCTAAGGAAGCTTCCTTCTTATTGCGTTGGTTTTCCAACAGTTCTCCGGCACACCGCATCCAACGTAGTCTGCCAAAGTCTCGCTCCGCTGGTTGTTTGGGTAGCTAGGGCTTCCGGTTCAATGACATTTCCGTACGGTATGAATTTCTTCACGTACCGTTCATAGCGGTGTTACGCCATAATAACTGAGATTGCTCTCCGGCAGGCGGCAGAATTTATTTTTACACGTCATCCACCTGTCTTACGTGTGTTGAGATTGAGTCATGGTTAACTTTATAACAACAATGAATAACCCACAACAAACAGTCTTTAACATGGTAAAACACCACGATACATGGATTTTTGGCCATACCGCTCGGCCTTGTAGCTATTGGGTAATAGTAGTAAGTCAGGGTCAGAGAACTTCAGAGTTGCAGATTGCAGTCATTACGAATAGCTTTACTTTTATCGACTACACCGTGCAATGCAAAAGGAATTTTGTTAACTCATGATAAAGTCATTATCGGCGTTATTGGATGGCTTCGTTAACGCATTTATACCATGTTAACGTGCTTAGGCCGAATGTGTATATAAAAGACCTAACATTCAAAACTGAAACATTGTCTTTAGATGCCTATAAAATCTAGATACATAGAGACCCAAAGAGTTGTTATTTAAATACAATATATACTATAATTTAAATATATATGTAACACTATTTTATTAATATACTTAATACTTGTATATTAATAATTAATACAGAAATAAATATATAACCTGTAACTAATAAAACAAAGTAGGAAGGAAAACAGGAAAACAAATAATAATTTCATCTTTATAATATTTATGTTGTATGTATTGAATTATCATTATCCAATTTGAACACTTTTGGCCTCCATAGGCACGGTGATAAAAATTACCACAGTGTCAATATTCTAGTTTGCCCCATCCAAAACATTCTGTGTGCTCTTTCTTCCTCACTGCTGCGTATGGACGCTTGGTCGATTACACAGTAAACTACACCTTCCCACTGCCCCTCCACCTCTTAATGAGGGAGAGAGTTTGGTTAGCAGAATCCTCCAGCTCGGTCCTCCGGGGACAAGATTTCTTGGGTATGGTGGACATTTTTTAAATTTTTTATATAAAACAATCTGTGGATGAGTAGTGCTTTATCTTAGAACCCCTTGAATTTATTGTCATTGTGTTGTTTTGTTTGTGTGGGTGTCTAGTACCACACCTCATCTGCTACTTATGACCCTCTAGATATCACATTGTTGTGACATTACTCTGCTGATTCCATTTTATTTAATCCCCCTCTTTGCCCTGTCCTTTTTTGTGTTTATATTTTCTTGCTTGCTGTTTTCTTGACTAATGTGTTTTAGAAGATTATATTATTTTTTTTCTTTTTAATTCTCTGTGAGATTTACACGGTTTTCTGGCCTCTACGTAGCTGGGGAACCAGGTGAAATTTAACAATATGGTATTAATGGCTATGTTAGCCATTAATGATGGGGCGACTGTGGGTGAGTGGGGAGCACGGTCGTCCTCCAATCAGAGGGTTGTCGGTTCGATCCCAGGCCCGGCTAACCCGCATGTCGTTGTGTCCTTGGGCAAGACACTTAACCCAACATTGCTCCTGTAGCTGTGACTACAGTGTGTGAATGTTAGTTACTGATGGCAGGTGTCACTGTGTATGGTTCTCCTGTCATCAGTGTATGAATGGGTGTGAATGGGTGAATGATGTCATGTAGTGTTAAAGCGCTTTGAGTGGTCAGAAGGCTAGAAAAGCGCTATACAAGTACAGGTCATTTACCATTTACCATGTTTGTTTTACTTTCTTTTGTGTATAAAAGTATACTTTTGAATTCTTTGCTACTTATTATATATATAGTTTCCTGCCACCACTCACCACCATTCAAAGTGTGGCAATGGCTAGTTTTAAAATAGCCTAAAAATGGCAACATTATGCATATTATTATCTACTGTCCAGGCCAAAGAACCCTCGAAATATCACATGGAAATATTATTTGCTTTATTGCTGTATCTGTCCAATGTTGGATTGTCATTGTAGCATGCCTTTTATAGACATATGTTGTAGCTAGATTTTTGGAGATGATGCATGTCAGGTAAGTATTAAAGTGACAATACTTGAATATTCAACATGATCATCCACTAAAATATTTTCTTTATTCCCTCAGGGAATTCTGCACGTGGTTACCATAGTTACCTTAGTTTTCAAATCAGAACTTTTACCTTCTTCTTTTAACTTCTCAAACTACCACAACAGCTGAAGTCACGCCTAATATTCAATACACACGTCTTGTTTCTCTCCAAGATTAACTGATTTTTCACGGGCTGTCAACTCCAATCAGTTTGCTTATGTCATCCAGGTTAGACTTATGACAATGTTCGTACCCACATGATGCTTTAGGCTACCTACAATTATTAAATCTAACTATTGTTTGAGGTACTGATGAAATAGAAAGTAAGCTTACCATTATACAACGCAGTGAGCACAATTTAAAAGACAGGAAACCTTAAATTGTCTACGAATAATGTTTGGGATTAAGAATAAAAAACGACCATGCCCAGAGATACTTGTACACATATTGTTATCATCCATGAAATACTGTACTTACTCACACTAACTGGCCTTATCCCTCCAGTCCTGTCATTGTGGAGATCCCCCACTTTGCTGCCCTTCGAGGGAAAGAGAGGGAGCTGGTGATTCTGAGGAGTGAGACTGGAGAAAGCTGGAAGGAGCATCACTGTGAACATAACAAAGAGGAACTCAACCGGATACTCAACGGCATAGACGAGGGTCAGTCTCTGATGGTGTAACAATAGAATCCACCATAACTTGATAACTAAAATCCCACTTGAAAACACTAATAGTCCGCCTACTTTATTATCACTGACACATATTCCTTTCTTCTCCCCTCCACCAGAGTTGGACACGCCAGAGGAGCTGGAGAGGAAGCGCATTTGCCGAATCATCACAAAAGATTTCCCACAATACTTTGCAGTGGTGTCGCGAATCAAGCAAGATAGTAATCTGATTGGTCCGGAAGGAGGCGTCCTGAGCAGCACTGTTGTGCCTCAAGTAAAGGCTGTTTTTCCCGAGGGTGCCCTAACTAAGAGGATCAGGGTTGGATTGCAGGTATTTGACAAAAACATCAGTAAAGTCCATACTTATATATATAATGTATACGTGTATATTATATGTCATACATTTACATCTTTAATCATCAATTGGCCCAATTGCTTTATAGAAAATGCAGAGAAAAGCATATATTTTGTGCAGATAACATCTTTTATATTTTTTCTGTGTACATTCCATATTTCAAAAACACTTGACAATTGACATTTGACAATTTGTATAATTTATAATGTGATGACCCTCCAACTCCTAGCCAGGAGCTTTCTGGTGGGAGGAGCTGGAAGACTAGCCTTTCTCACCAATTACTCTCATTGAGACCTCCAAGAAGGGAATAAAAGACTGTCTGGGGGTAAAAATTCTTAGCAGCCACTGGTTTTGACCTTCACCTATGGTCACGAACTCTGAGTTGTGACAGAAAGAACGAGGTCACTTATACAAGCAGCAAAAATGTTCGGAGTTTCCTCCGAAGGGTGGACGACATCAGCCTTAGCCTCAGACCCGCAGAAAACCCAGTACACGCTGGAGGGATCATATTTCCCAGCTGACCTGGGAACTCGGGACTGGAAAATGTTGTGGGTGAGAAGGTGCTGTTGCCATCGAGACTTGACCCTGGATAAGCGGAGGAAAAGGGATGAATGGACAGACTTGAAAACACAGTTTCTAAAGTTCGACTTTGGAAAGACATTATCCTCAGTGCATGGTTTATTGTCAAGAAAGAATAATGTTGTTGTACACGCTGACTTCTCTCCTAGTCCCAGCCAGTGAGAGTGGATGTAGTGAGGAAGATCCTGGGGAACAAGGCCACGTTGAGCCCCATCGTCACCTTGGAGCCTCGCAGGAGGAAGTTCCATAAACCCATCACCATGACTATCCCTGTCCCAAAGAGCAACTCAGACCTTGTTCTGAATGGCTTTGGAGGAGACACACCCACCTTACGACTGCTTTGTAGTATCACGGGTTAGAGAACTAACAATACATTCACAAAGCTATGAATAGACCTGCAGTACAAACACTCACATTCAAAGTTTTCAATCTTGGGTTTGTGTTCATGTGAAGGTGGAACAACCCCTGCTCAATGGGAGGACATAACAGGAACAACACCGCTAACATTTATCAATGATTGTGTATCCTTCACCACCAACGTGTCTGCAAGGTAACAAAAAAGTATTTGTTGTAGCACCACTAAATGTATCACTGATTGAACTAGCAGCAGACCTAACCTCAGTTGTTCTTTTCAATCCTCTTCTGTTTTTTAGGTTCTGGCTGATAGACTGTCGGCAAGTCCAGGAATCTGTCAATTTCTCCACACAGGTCTACCGCGAGATTATCTGTGTACCTTACATGGCCAAGTTTGTCATCTTTGCCAAGACCCACGATTCCGTTGAAGCGCGACTGCGTTGCTTCTGCATGACAGACGACAAGATTGACAAAACCCTAGAGCAGCAGGAGAATTTCACCGAGGTGGCCCGCAGTCGAGATGTTGAGGTGAGAAGGGATGGTGGGGGAGAAACATCTTGTTGTCAATTAGGATGTGCGATTTGAGCCCTGGCTCCACTAGTGTCCATGTTGATGTGTCCTTGGGCAAGACCCTCAAAACTCAAGTTGATCCCGTAGCTGTGATTACGGTATGTGAATGTTGCAAGAACGGTTAGTTATTACTGAGCTTGCTCGATCTTAAAAAACGGTCAGTGCATTTCTTACCAGATATAGGCGTGATATTTTGTTTTGACATAACATTAAATATGATGAACTGCAATAATGAAAAGTTATAGTACAGAGATTGAATAATCCTCTCAAATCTGATTTTGTCTGACAACTCTTGAGACCTCCTTGTCAATTAAGAGATTACTGTCAAAGATTAATTCAACGTTTCTACAGGTTTAGTATTTTAACAGAGACTGTTCTTAGAGTGGAAAGAACATGGAGAAGGAACAAACACAATTAACAGATTTGTTATGAAAATGTTTTGGGACATCACATTTTAATTTCCAATAAATACAATAAAAGTGGATGAAAGTTGCCTTCCTTGTTGATTTTGGACAGGACATCAATCCGCATAACAAATATTACATGCTAAAACAACTTGTACTTGTCTCTCTTTACACGTTATTTAACACTACCGGTCATTATGCACACACTGATGACAGTAGCTACCATGGAAGGTGCTTATCAAGACTATCTAATCATTCACACAACATTCAAACACCATAGTCCAGTGATTCCCAAAATTTTTCTGTCAAGCGTCCCTTTGATGATATAGAACATGGTCACCCATGTACAACATACCTTCTTTGTTTTGCATTAATTGCATTGATTATAATACTAATATAATACCTTTTTTGTGCCGTTTTTGTGGCGGTCGCGTCACCTGTTACAGTTGGAACAGAGTATCATCTGATTTGTGCTTTCCACCAGTCACAAAAATGTCCATCTTAACCCTAACCCCCACACCTAACCCTTTTCCCTCTCTTTTTCTGGTTAGCTCTGTGTCTTGTGCTTGTCACGTTGGTGCCGCTTGAACCATATATGATATAGCACCTTACAACTTGTTTGCAATTGTATTTGTTATCATTTTATTTAATTTGTTTTACCATTGTGTGTGCCTGTGTGGGATGTGGGTTGTTGGTGATGCCGCGCCTGCCGTAGTTCCCCTGTAGAACCCTACTGCCGTAGTCACAGCTACAAGAAAAATGTGTGGTTAAGTGTTTCGCCCAAGGACACATCGATATGGACTAGTGGAGCAAGGGATCAAAAGAGAAATAAAGTTAAAAAAATTGGGCACTACATGGAGGAGAAAAAACATTGATTTTTGAATATTTCTGTTGTTTTTTCTGTTGGTTATATGCTGATAATAAGTGTACTTGTTACATTTCTCAGGTCCTGGAAGGTAAACCTATCTATGCAGACTGCTTTGGAAACCTTGTTCCACTAACCAAAAGTGGTCAGCACCATCTCTTCAGCTTCTTTGCCTTTAAAGAGAACAGACTAGCACTCTTCATCAAAGTGAGAGCTATTCTTTATTTGAAACAAAGAAACAACAACCGAGGTCTTTAAACACGTGTCAACAAAATGCATCATGTCGCAATTTTCTAATTAGAGTTGACATTCTAATTATATACAATTTTCCCTAATAAAAAGTTGACTGAGTAATACTGAACTGCTTGGCTGTTGCAGATCAGAGACAACGCTCAGGAGCCATGTGGCCGTCTATCCTTTATAAAAGAACCCAGGAACTACAGGTCACTAACCCCAAATGCCATTTGCAACCTCAACATCACCCTCCCATCATACTGCAAGGTAAGGGCCCTACACTGTTGTCTGACTCAAGCGGAGAAACTTGTGTTGTTGGTGCAGCAACTACGCTGTAATCTTGTGTCTATTTTGCCTGTAATACTGTATATGCTCTATTCTATTTCCGATTATATGTATATTGAACATTGTTACGTTTACAGTGCATGTTCTTATTTAATATATAAATGTTTGAGTGATATTTAACTGGGTTAATTCTTTAAGCACCCAACATTATTGCTGAATTTCTTCTACGCAATGGCGGTCCACGTGACGTTCATAAGCTTATGGCTTATGAGTGGCTATGGAAGCTGTCGATCATTTCTGCATGGTGTTAGTCGGATACAATTGCATCAGACGGTTCAAAAAAGTGTTTGAAACAGGCAAATTTGTCTGCTACAGCCCGACTTCCCAAAAATCCCCCATATTCAGATATTGAGTCCTCCTGTTTCTCTGCCGTGAGGCCCGCACCAAAGCCTCCTCTAGAGTAGCTTTCAAGACTCGTGAAACCTTCCATGATTACTGTCCACACACTGGGCTATCACATCATGTTTTATAGGGCTTATAGGGCGGTTTGTTCTTCTGCGTTATATTGATTTATTTCTTCTATTGTAACATAAAATGATTGTTACACAACAGAAGGGTTCACCTATATGCCCACAGAAGAAAACGTTCAGAAAATTAAAGACACACCTATTACACTTGGCCCCTACTTGGAGGCCAAAAAACAGCCTCAGAGTGGAACAGATTTAAGACTGTACTAGGCAACATTGCAGGCTGGTGGCCTTAAAGAAAAGAAGAACTAAACTAAATCCCTCATATTATGCAATGTAAGTTCTTGATGGTTAATTCTAAAAATAAAAGATGCTAAATAAGATCAATGAGCTAATGAGGTTTACTAGATAATTTTGTTTTTACATTCAAAATATTTCTGTAATGCAGCTTGTGTAAGACAGACCTGTCCGGCTTTCCCTGAAATAACTCTGGTTGTCATTGTTGCTTTGGTACATTGCCGCCTGTCTTCTTTCTCCCATTAATGTTGCGTTTTTTTTTATATGCATATCTTTTTTGCTTTACGCTGCTTCTTGCTCCAAAAAGGAGTCTGATTCAGACCAAGAGGAAGAGGTAAAAGCAGCCACCGCTTCCCGCTCTTCTTCTAACTGTCTCTGCCGACCAATCCTGCCCATTCTCTTTTCATGATATTTTTTTGTTTTGTGTGTGTCATTGGTGTGTTTAAAACAATAATTGCTGTATAGGAAATGTCGAATGTTAGAAAATGTTTCAATTTGGCATATATGAGTGGATGAAACAAGACTAACTGTGGTCCATTGTACACTTTATTTTCCAGAACGGCAGGACGCTACAGAAATGTAAGACCTTTTCTTCCGTTTCATTCTACTCTATAAGATGTACTAAAATAGTTATCATCCATAGTAATACTGCATGACTTTATTAATGAAAGTACTAATATAGTGTAGTTAAGATGCACACAGGAATAACCAGACTGGTCCACTGACCCCCCCACTAAATTCTAGACATTTACATCTTTTCAACCCTTTAAGCGTTCTATATTTAAACGCACAAACTCCCCATGTGAAAGTTCTGTTTCTCCTGAGGCTTGACTTAATTTTTTCTTTTTTTTTTTCCGAATTTCACACCTGCTTGTTTGTCTTCAAATTACCTCTTCCCCCTTACCATCTAAGATCTGACATTTTGAAATATATATAATACTACAGTCACTGCAACATTAAAAGTACATATCAATGGGATGTGTGACTATTTTTATCATCGCAGTTGGTTTAGGCAGCAAGAAGGGAATGAGTGGAGGGTGATGTGATTTGTCATTACTGAAGCACATTGGGGACCTGTACTACAAAGCAAGTTCAACACAGCCATGACATCTTTTGATGATCATGGATAACTAATCCCAACAATCCCCCTAATCAGTCCTGCAATTGTGGTTAACGTCTCTAACAACAGAGCAGTATATTAAACATACAATAATCTGACAACAACCAGATTAGTGTATTCCGTTAAATAGTCCTAAAATGTATTCTTCCAGATTAGAAGATACTATTGATCCCATTCAGGGAATGAGGGTGTGTATGACAATATTTTATATTTTAAGATGAACTAAGAGCAAATAAACAATAGATATAAAACATACTTTAAGCAGGCCACTTTCCAATCTTATAGGCAAGCACGTTCAAGGGAAGGCAAGTTTATTTGTATCGAGAACATTTCAACAACAATGCAATTCAAAGTACTTCACATAATACCATTAAAACATAAAACAAAAAAAGTAAATTAAAAAACAAAACATTGAAACAATAAAAACATTAAAAACACATTAAAACAATTAAAAAGCTAAAATTAGCATAAAAGATACTACTATATTTTATTTCTTAAACTGCATTGTAACACTCACTCACTAGGCAGGCCATGTTATCAGATTGAGACTGACTGCTGGAAGTATGTAACATATATCAGTATGTATCATCTAGGTTGCTAGCTCTGTAGACCTAGCAACCTAGGATGTTGGTCGGAACATCCTTGTTTTTCCATAGATTTTCATTGAGTCGACTAAAGCTTGCTGACACCTTAGCCATGCGTGTCTGCAGTTCAGTATCTAGTTTTGCATCTGTAGTCACAGTTCTTCCAATATAAGTGAATCTAAAGAACATCTGGATGGTGGTTCAGGATATATTTTGGGTTGGTATTTACCACATATCTACATGTATGTAGAGTTCAAAGGTTTTCGCTACTAGGGCTGGGCGATATGGCCAAAACTTCATATCACAGTATTTTGTAAGATTCAGATGGTATCCCGGTATATCAAGGTATTTTTTGGAGTAAACACATTCATTCATTGACGCCGAAAAGGACGCCTGTCAACTGAACATCTGTTCTCCACCGTTTATTGTTGTCGCTCTCTCGCAACCGGCCAGCGAGTGGTGAACAGCTGTTTGTTCAAGTAAACACATTCATTTATTGATCCTGAAAAGGATCACCGGCCACCTGAACTGCTGTTCACTGCGCACTGGCCAACTCGCTCGCAACCGCCTGTAGAGTTAGGGTGTTAGCTGTTATGGCTGCTAGTGTTGCCACCAGTGGCTCAACCAACTTTGCAATAAATCGTTTTCTAATCACGTGGGACTTTTCAAAACCCCTGACCCCGGAAACAGCACAATGCTCCTCCCTTGGGCACAAGTTTTCTCTTGATTTCTGTTCCTGCTGCATAGCTCTGATTACATTATTTTATGGAGTGACGTGATAGGGGCCAAGCTGTATCCAGCATGCAGTTCGGCTGAGTAATTTTATAAACGTATAATTATTAGTGTAACAAGTTGTATACGTGTCACATGCTGTTGTGTCGTGGTGTTTTACGCTGTTAACCTTAAAAATCGAGCCAGAACCGATATTTTGGGTCAAAAAATTGTGCGTGCAGACACACAAACCGCAGCACAGCGCAATGTATCATGAACACCGCTAGGCTTTATTAGCCTTGTTTTCAACATCAGAGCCCTGGCTACAATAAGCCATAAACCACTTAAACGTACTCCAAACACAACACAACCCAACGAGCAAGTGGGGTAAGAGTAAGAACATATTTCAAGCAGATTTGTCCAGAAATTTTGGACTTGACTGAGTAAAAGTACCATATTTTTACAATGCTCAGTTCCACAACATTGGAGCTAACAGACAACATGACCAGAACGTGCCAAACCTCTAGTACACAACGCAAGCCATGGAAGCAAAAAATTACGAAATGTGTCTTACCTTTGTCGTTTTTCACAGAAATTAGGGATTTAATCCGTCGTTTTTGCAATGATGACACAGCTCAAGGCAAGATGGATGAAAAAAAAAAAAGAGGTATCTCAAGCCAGCAGTTCGTCTGACGTGAGGCCTTAACAAAGACTTTCTGTAGAACCCTAACCCAACTTCTTGTGTAAAACAAATGTGTACTGTCCATCAGGCATGTTCACAGACATTTTGGGGGGCAGGTGCTTCAAACAAAACAAAAGGGCACCCCAAAAGGGCATGAAATTAAAAACAATAATAAAATGTTCAACTAGTTAACGAGTTCAAGTAGTTAACAAACTAACTCAAATTGAAAACAGACAAAACAATGCCGTATTGTACTTAGGTGTATATTGTAATAAGGTACAAGAGCCTGTACTTTTTTAATCATGGCTGTGGCATTTTTGGAGCAGAGGCCAAAAAAGAGGCAATGCTCCAAAAGGGAGTGTTTGTTGTGGTTTATTCTTTGTTATAAAGTTATAACCATGACTCAATCTCAATATACGTAAGACAACTAGCTCCTATCGCTGCATGTTCAGTGATGAGGTGTAAAAATAAATTCTGCCGCCTGCTTGACGGTACGGAAAAAATTCATACCATGAGAAAATCATATACCGCACAGCCCTAGTGCTGTGTCATCCACAGACATCAGTTCTTTGACCAGCTGCTGCCTCGCTTTCGTCTTGGCTTATGACAGGCTGAATTTGAATAGGTCTGCACCGGGACGTGTTTGGGGGTACACACCCTTTTTGTCCGTCTTGTATGCATTTACCAACACTGCGGATAGGAAGATGCTAAATAGGGATGGTGCTAGTACACATTGTTGTTTTACACCATTGTTTACCAGAAATCGTTCAGAGATGCTGCCTTTAATGTTTAAGGCCGTTTCTGTCATGCCTGTGTCATGTCTGATCGTTTCCTTAAAGTGCCCCTTAAAGTTTTTTTTTGTTTTGTACATTTTTCCTGTCTGTCTGTGACAACACCATGAATTTCGGGGAGCCGTCCACCTTCACTGAGTCATGAGTATATTGTCAATTAAAAGCAGCAGCGAACCGAAAGGTTTTAAAAAGAGTCTCGGCAGACCTGCAGCTTTCTGGGAATGTGTTCCAGATATGTGGCATGTAGCAGAAGCTGCTTCTCCATGTTTGGTTCTGACTCTGGGAACAGAAATGAGACTTGTCCCAAATGGCCTGAGAGGTCGGGTTGGTTCAGCAGGTCAGACAGACATGTATTCAGAACTTTATAAACCAACGGCAGGATTTTAAAGTGAAGTCAGTGTAAAGACCTGAGAACTGGAGTGATGTGATCCACTTTCTTGTTCTTAGTGAGAACTCAAGATTAGCGTTCTGATCGACTGACTTTTTAGTCAGTGAGCAAATTGACTGACAATAGTCCAGTCTAACAAGTCTGAATAAGTTTTACCAAATCCTAGAGACATAGGTCCTCCTTAATATACTCTATTCTCAAGGTGATTTTGTGGTTTGTAATTGTCTTTATATGGCTGTTCAGATTGAGGTCTGAATCCCAAAACATCTAGATTTCTGGCTTGGTTTGTTATTGTTGATCTGGCTCCTAAAAGAATTACATCTGTTTTATTTTTTTTGATACTTGTATTTTTATTAAGGGAGAGGGGTTATCAAGGGAAAACAATCAGGAAAAATAGAGAAGAAAAAAAACAAAAGGGTCATGTACTTGGCAGAGGCCAGGGACGAGAAAGTGCTACACAAAAATAAATAAAGACACACTTGAAAAAAAATATTTGCACCCACAAACAATGTTGCCAGTCAGTCAGGTCATTCTTATATTTTATCCACAGTTTTATTCCGCTATTCTTGTATGTCTCAGACTTTGATCAAGGGTTATATGCATAAGTAGATGCAGAAGATCACATCTTGGTTAGGTGTGGTAGTGTTACTTTTGAAGAAAGCAAACAAGTCTGTAGACAACAAGCAAAATGATATAAGGGAACAGACACAGACCTAGACGACTAGGTAAGGCAGTCATCTGCCCAAACTCTGCCATATATTTGATCCATCCCGCCCACTTTGCCGTGTATGTACCTCCTCTTCCTTAGAAGGAAAGTCAATATTTACATGTCGTGGATTTCTTTTACAATTTCAGCCCAGTTTCCTACAGAAGGTGGGTTGGGTTGTAACCATTTACGGGTAATTGCTTTCTTTGCTGCTACTGTTTTTCCTGGTATTTCATCTGGTAGATAGTTTAAATAGAGTGACTTGCATGTGAATAGGATCTGGTGCCCAAGGAGATGCTGCATAGTTCACCAAATATTTCCCCAGAATACCTGTATCTCAAGACAGCCCCAAATTATATGATGGTGGTTTGCTCTTTTTTCCCCACATCTTCTCCAGCATGTTTGGTTTATCATAACCAAGTACGTTTGCGTTTTTGGGAAGATAAAAAAACGAACAAGGTTCCAAGCCAGTATTTGGAACAGGAAGTAGAAAACCCATTTGGTCTTCGCATTCTTGTTTCCCATTGCTGGTATCTTTTTGAAATCACTGATTTGGAGCCTCCTTTGTATACACCTACTTTTAATTTAATTATTTCATTAGGTTCTGTCGCCCCCTTTTATTAATTTCTTTGAAAAAGTACTGCCCTACGTATTTTTCCTTCAGTATCTGAAAACTTTGTAATAGGTTTTGATCCATTATTGTACAGTAAGCAGTGATACCTTTATTCGTCCTGTACTTGAATCTAGCATCTATACTGTTTGGTTTGAAATCTGTGTCATATGCAAATGCTGAGTTTCTTTAATTGGTTCCATAGTTTGAGTTGGGTTACATATGTTTTAGTTTAAGAAAATTCTGGCATATCCAGTTTTTAGATTCATTTATTGTATGTATACATCAATTATATAATAAACAAAAGCATACATTAAAGTAAGCAGAGTAAAACGGGCAAGGTTATGAATTGCCCATAACAGTACATCTACAGCACATTGATCAAATGGAATAGATTGATGTCATTGTTGTGAGATCTTGTGCTCAAGATGGGTCAGTGATATTACAGAACTTTTATAAGCCTTTTTAAGTTCATCTCCACAGAATACTAGGTGTTCAAAAATAATTATTACCATGGACACTGTGGATGTTGATTTTCTCTAACACAGAGGTCTTCAACAGGGGTACCGCAGGAGTGTCGCGAAATTTTTGAAGACAATGTTATTATATTTTTTTAATACTAATAATAATTTGTGTTTGATACTGCTCATGAGATTATAATATTACATACAATTATATCAATCCCAACAAATATACAATATCTCCACAAGATCCAGCCTAGTAGGAACTGTATTTTTAGGGTTTATCCCAAATTTACCTCTTTAACCCCAAATCCTGCTTCGTAGTACAGGCCCCTAAATTCCAGCTATAGATACTGCCTCCCTCCTCCTTATAGTTTTTTCTTACTAGAGTGGCCTCTCTTGTGCCATGTTGTGTAAGGGTTGTGCTATTACCTGTGGTAATCCAAATTCCAAAAAGAGTTGCTCTTGCACACATGCGCTTGGGTTCTGAGTTCCTGAAACAGGGTGCTAGTAAATTGAGATATTATATATTGCGATATTTGAGCTTGAGCATGTTATATCAAAAAAATTGGGGATATACGTGCATCATACTGAACATACATGCATTACATATGTATTTAATATAGAAGATAGTGATACAGCATGTCATAGCAGTAATTGTTTACCAAAATCGTCGAGATCAAGATCATTACGCTGAACATACACTTACGCCATTTGCTCTTCACTAAGACCTTTCCATCAGAACCTCCCTTTGCTTTGCATGGAAATAACTTGCCTTACATAAATGTGTAAATGTGTGTGCTTGTGCTTATGTGTATGTATGGTTCTGTTTGTGTTGTCTCTATGAGAGTTTATTCCCTGTTTTGCTGTGATATGCAGATTTTAGAATGTTTCTTCACAACAGTATTTGTGTATAGTTTTGTGCAATTTTTGATGTTTCAGTTTTCTTTGTTTATCATTGTAGATTTCAAATGTTTAAATTAACATAAGGCTGAATTGAGGAAAAATTCAATTAAAATATTAGACCTCCCTGGCAAAGAGAGATACTCCTTCCATCTGATACATGCTATGCACACATGGCTTTCTTTAATCGACCCAACTAGTAGTCTGAGTTGTTTTCAAGTTGTTGTGCGGGCAATCTTGAGATGTCTTGATGTTATTTCCTTAGTCTCCTTTGTTGTGATTTTTTTCTATTGTACTGGTTTGTTTCCTGATTACATGGTTGTTCAATCATTGTTTGTAATTTATGATTTTTTTTTATTATGATTTTCTATTCGTTTTGTTTTGTGAGTATGGGTGTTCTTTGTGTATATGCAAGTTATTTCCTGCTCATATCCTATTCCATCAGTATTATTTAGCTCTTGCTTTTCTACAGTTCCCCAGACACAGTTACAGTAGAAACCCAATTCCTTTGATATCCTGATGTAGAACCCTTTGTGAATATGTTGTCCTATGATCCCTGCAATGTGCTTCAATCATGTCCTGACCACATTCTCTAATGTCTGTCTCCTTTCATTTGAATTTTTTGATTTTCTTTATTCCTTACTTGTTCTTCTTCCATATGGAAGATGAAGAGATGCCGACATCAGTCCTGAAATCAGAGCTGATTCGAGAACCAGACCTTCTCTCAGACGTGTCGGAGATGAAACAAGATTTAATCAAAATGACAGCCATCTTGACTGCAGACTCCGCAGAGAAATCCCATTCCTTAGGAAGGTGTGGTCTAGAGAAACGGACTGAGGATGTATCTGGAGAGCCACTAGAAATAATGGAGAAGGACTTAGAGAAAGTCAAAGAGGACCTAGAAAAAGTCAGTGAGATACTGAGGAGCGGAACATATGAGGGTGAAGCAGCAGAGGAGGCAACAAAAGCAGCTAGAATTGTCGAGGACTGGGTTCTCGTTTCGGACAGTGAGAAAGAGGTGGTCAAAAAGATGGCGACCTTAGAAACTCAAGAGCCAGTCTTACGTGAAATCAGAGCTAACAGGGCTCCCAGACCTAAAGCGATAAAGGACAGTGGTGAACTTAAAGAATACCTCCTGGATGCACCAATAAGCTCTAAACTAAAAGTAGAAAAAACCCGAGCTGTCCAAGAAAAATTCACTGATGTTGTACCACGTAAAAGTCTTGAGCAAAATACTACAAACAACGTACATGACAAAACTGCTGCTAAGCCAGTCAGAAGCAAGGAGAAAGACCAGAGGCAAGCAGAGGAATCAACAGAGGCGGTTGCTCTTCTTAGTTTGCCTACAGCTCCTGGCCCAGTGTCTCCTATATCCCCAGTTGTTGAAGAAACTCCCATTGGCTCAATAAAGGACAAAGTCAAAGCCTTACAACTAAAAGTGGAGGCAGAGCAAAATACTAAAAAGATCATTGAAAGCCAGGCCCCGCAATTGTCTGTTGTAAGCAATTCCACTCCAAAAGCCAAAGAAAGACCTAAATTAAAACGGGGTCTGCCAAAATCCCCTAACGGTGAAACTGAGAAACTTGAGGAGACTATGTCAGTTAAAGAACTGATGCAAGCATTCCAAACAGGACAGGACCCCTCTAAAAGAAAGTCTGGGCTATTTGAGCTCAAAACATCCTCTAAGTCAAGATTGGAGAAAACCGACAGGTCAGACCCCATCCAGGCGAAATCCATGAACAAAGCAATAACCTCACGTGTCTCTCAAGAGCGAGAAGTATCTTTGGATTCCAAACCTCGCAGGAAAGAGACCACTTACCAAGACAGGGAGATAGAAACCAAGTCATTTGCTCCTGCTCTTCCTCAGCTAACTGAAACTGCAGACTTTGGAAATGGTGGCCTTGATGATAGCTCTGACAGCTTAAAACATGAGGGTGTGGCCGACTCCCCAAGTGCCAGCTCTGGAAATGGTACTCCTCATTTGAGCTCTGAGGACAGTGACAAACATGAGGGCCTTGCCACTCCGGGGACAAGCCCAGATAGTCTGTGTCTTTCTCCCAAAACTGCTTCTACAACTTTGGCAGCAACTGGCACAGTAGTCAAAAAATGCATTGACACGGAAAACTCGGGACACTCATGTGTAGATACCACTGGTGACCAACAGTCTAGAGATTTGACTTTCCCTGTTACTTCTAGCGAGGCTGCAGATGATCACACTACAAGTGAGTCCATATCTGTCAGTAGGAATGAGTCTGAGCCATCCAAACCTCAAAAGTTTACAAAGAGAATTTCAGAGACTCTAGAAACTTTTCTTAGCGATGATGAGAGCCCTGATCATGAGCTAAAATTGGCTTTAGTTGGTTATACAACCACTACATCCTCTTCTCAGTGTCATGAAAGCTTTGAGCTGCCTTTAAAAGAAGACTATATCAGTCCATTAGCTGATGATTCTTTAACAATAAGCCACAGAGACTCACTAGAAGATAGTCCTCTCGTGGAAGAAAACTCCTCCCATAAATCCCCAGATTCTATTGACCCAAGCCCAACAAAGGAATTACCCCCTCATGACTCTCTAGAGAGCAGCCCTGTAGAGCAAAATCCATATTTCCAATCAGCGCTAGGTCCACCTAGAAAAGCCAGTAGCCATCCAGATCCCTCTAAAGCCGTCCCCCAAGATGTTTTGCCTGGTAGGCTGCTTCGAGAACATGACGCTAGTGCTGATGATGACAGTTGTGAGCAGACCTCACAAATGACAAGTTCCGGTAAGAGTCCTCTCTCCCCTGATACTCCCACCTCTGAAGAGGTAAGTTATGAGGTAAACCCCCAACCCCCTGACTATTCATTCCTTTTTGTTCTATCCAAAACGGCTGTCATCCCTGAAAACCAAGAAGAAGAGGAGACCTCAGACAACTTTGCAGCTAAAAGAAAAATCTCTCCAGAGGAAGGGATGTTTAAAATGGCAGCCAAAATCAAAACATTTGATGAAATGGAACAAGATGTCAAGACCAAAAAGAAGTCTAGATCAAATGCCAAACTAGGGGATGACAGCTATGAAACAATAGAGCATACAAGTGAGAAGCTTTCGCAAGGTGGATGTGGGCTTGATAGTCCCACTGAAGATTCAGAGTTAGCACTTTTTGTTGATCCCAATATTAAATTACAACCTCCTTCTCCTTTTTCAGCAGGTTTGCATGATGGATCCCACAGCAAAGAGGTCAAGAGCAAAACAACAACAGCCACTATCAGTTCAGAGGGGCCTTACTCCTTCTTAACCCAGCATCATTCAAAATTCAAACTGGAAACTACACAAGCGAAAGTGGTCCAAACATCTGTAAAAGCTGATGAAGACGGTGCTGCCAAAAAGGCTTTATTCACTGAAAACAGGACTGATGAGCAAAAGGAGGAGAGTTTAAGGAAGTCAAGAGACAACAAAGGATACAATAAGGATGGTCAAGAGTTAAGTGTTATGCGAAAACAAGTTAGCAATGTAACAGATGAGGTGAAAGGAGATAAAAAGGAGCCTTCAATAGCACCACAAGCTGCCTGCAGTGCAACTGTTGCCGCGGGTCAAACAAAAGACGAGTTTAAACCGGAGGTCTGCACATATGATGACACAGAGCAGGATGATGAAGCACTGGAGCCTCCCAGAACTGAGTCAAAAGGTGTCACTGCACGGGTAGAAATTGACTCATGGTCTGCCATGCGGGAGGATGATGCCACTTTTGCAGCTCGTGTAAAAGAGGAGGAACAGAAGATACTGAATCTAGTGGTGGATCAGCAGTCTCTGCAACTAAGTCCAGACACCACACCTGGTAGAACTCCAACAGAAGAGAACACTCCTACCAGTGAACCCAACCCTTTTCTATTCCAAGAAGGGAAGCTTTTTGAGATGACCCGAAGTGGTGCTATTGACATGACCAAGAGGAGCTATGAGGAAGAGCGGAGTGATTTTGCCTTTTTCCAGATAGGCGAACAGTCTTTAGATGAGCCTCTACTAGAAGAGGCGAGGAAGGAAAGTAGGGGATCAGCAGCAGAACCCGAAGTTGGATTAAATCTAGAAGTTAAGGCTGAGGAAGCTGAGAAAGCCAAACAAGCATTTGATTCTCAGCTTCAGTCCCCACCCAAAAGTGATCATCAAACCTCAAAGGCTGATGCCTGCAAATCTAAAATCCCGAAAATGGGTATTTCCGCTTCAGCCATACCTACAAAGAAAGATCAGACATGTCCTGAAAGTTTACTGAAAAACGTGAACAAAGGCTGCTTAGATTTATACAAAAATTCCCCTGACCAAATGATTACAACAGTACAGACAGCGGAAACTACAGTCACTAGATCAGTTTACTCTGAGCAGGGCCAAGAGTCCTCTGATTCATCTCCAGAAGACCAAGAGTCAGTTATAGAAGCGCCCAAACCAACAGCCACGTCCAAACAAATTGTTCCTACTAGTGTTAAAAAGACCTCATTCAAAACACAAGCCAAGTCTGCTCAACAAAGTCGGGGGAAATCCACAATTTACTCTCCATCTCATGCGACTTCCTCTTCAAGCACTCTTAAAAAAGAGGCCTCTTTTAGTTCTGATTCTAAATCGAGAATTCCAATCAAGGCTAGCACTCCCAAGCCTGTTTCTATTGTCAAACATGATGGTTCTACCCAAGACAAGCTTAAGGTACCTGTGAAAAAGAATTCAAGGAGAAAATCCGAAATAGAAACAGCTCCCTCTGTGGATATCAAAACCAAGAGACCATCTTCCAAAGCCAAGAGCTTCTCTGAGGGGGAGTCTACCGGGCCATCTGCTAAAAAAGAAAAAGGTTGTTTATTAAGTAGTGAGTCAGTAAAATCTAAAAGCTTCCTGTCTAGATTGCCAGTCCGAGGTAAAGGTCGTCATTCATTAACACTCCCTAAAGAGAAAAATGAGACAAAACAACTGTCCATTGACCTCTTTGAAAAGATAAGCGATGAAGCAGCAAAACTTGTTGCAAAGGCAGAGACCGACAGAGAACAAGAGGTTGCTGCCGCCAACTCAAATGATGAGGGCAGTCTCCTTGATCCATCATTCATAGAAAGAGCAACTTTCCCTGGGATGCAGTTCCCACCCTCAGGAGATGTCTTTCCCATTAGACCACTGTGGGACAACCCTGTTGAGACACAGATGCAGCGAATCCCAGATGATACAGTCCAAAGTCAAGGTATCCCTGCAGTTTAAGGGGCTATTCTATATCTCTTGTACCTCATTAGTACCCTGTAGCTGTCATGGTGTCGCTTCTCTTGTATTTAAGTCCCAATATAGTTGAAGAATACACATTGTTGTGTATTTTGAGTGTGTCTGCGTGTGTTATGACGTCCCTTTTTCCCTCTGTGTCTGCTGAAAATCTCAAGATTGACTTAAAGGTTTATGGAACTTGTGAAAACAACTTAGTGACAACAACAAATAACTCATCATTTTAACCATGTGATTCATTTTCTAATGATTCAAATGTTTCTTTAGCCCAGTCCCATTACAAGATCTATCACAACCATTCTTTACAGGTTTTTTATGTAATCTTTCAAGGGTACATTTATTTAATTTGAAATCATGAATTAACCAAAACTGTCAGTACTACAACATCAAGAAAGCCAGTGAAGATTATTTAGAATAGGATTTGTGATGTGACTTGTTTTGATATACTGTATCTTGCGGGTCTCACCGCTCATGGCTGTCTGGTGGTATTTGCAGTAGATCCACATGATGAAGCAGAGAGCAAACAGCAACGGTTGGCCATTATAGCTGACCACCTGGGCTTCAGCTGGACTGGTGAGTCAGACCTTATTAGCAGTGATCAAGCTATCAAATACAAATACAGTGTTTGTGCTTATTTGCAGGCCCAAAGGAAACTTTTTTAATTCAAGCCAATTGGATTACATTACAATTGAAATTACAATTCAATTCAATTCAATTTATTTTATTTTGTATGGCCCAAAATCACAAATTACAAATTTGCCTCATCGGGCTTTACTGTCTGTACACATGCGACATCCTCTGTCCCAAAACCTTCACATCGGCACAGAAAAACTCAAAAAATGAAAAACCCTTCCATGGGGAAAAAAAGGAAGAAACCTTAGGGAGAACGTCAGAGGAGGGATTCCACTCCCGGGATGGACAGACTACAATGGATGTCATGTGTATAGAATGAGCAATGTAAAAGATGTCATATAAAACCACCATCCACAGAAGTCTGTGGGGAGGGAAAGCACAAAGAATTTATTTAATCTTTTTTTTCTCAACAGAGTTAGCACGAGAACTGGACTTCAGTGAAGAGAGGATCAACGTGATAAGGGTTGAGAACCCAAACTCACTGCAAGATCAAAGTCACACCCTTTTGAAACTCTGGGCAGAGAGGGAGGGAGAACATTCCACAGGTCAGTAACAAGCTTGAGTAAATATTTAAACAGTCGTTTTTTAAAAAGAGAAAAAATAAGCTCTTATTTAAATTAAAAGGTTGGAATTGTTTTTCTGTTTCAACAGAAACAACACTGATGAAAAGACTGACTAAGATCAACCGAATGGACATAGTTCACCTTATTGAAAACACAATAATCCAATTCACTCAAGAGGAGACATGTTCACATACATATGAGGAAATAGAAAGGACTATAGCATTGGATCATACTGAAGGTACACAACAGAATTTTAACTTGAGGCAGACTGAGGATTAGGTTGTGATTTAGTCCAAGTATAAGTTGTTTACTTTTTCTGTATGCCTGCATTGTATACTTTGTCAGGTTTCTCTGCCCTACATGAAGACATTGACAGCCCCAGGCCAAGCAGGTGTACAGAATCTGAATTTCAGACTACAGGCTCAAGACTAGAGGTACCCCTGGTGTCGGCAGAGGACCTGTCCTCCAGTTTGACATCCATTCACGAGACAAGTGGACGACCAGAAACAGATTCCCCCGCAACTGGTCTTCTTAGAAATGCTCAGAGAGAGAAACTACAAAAAGAGATGGAAGCAACATAGTAAGTTACCTGGAAAGTTCCTTTGCTTGCTCTCTGTCTATTTTCATGTTTCTACAATCATGGATACGGGTTGCACTTCAGCTCAAGTTGCTGAATGACCTACCAAACAAACATGAACTGTTATTGACTTTAGTTTGCAAGCTAAAAGTAATGAGTTAATCCACAGTTACATGGACTGTAACTGTCAAAGATCAACATGCAAACGTCAACATGTGGTGACGTTATTAATCAAAATAAAGGTTTCTTATTTTTAATAAGAACGATTTTTAATAACTTAAAATAAAAATGATTCACAATATAAATTAGATGTAAGTTTTTGATCTCATTTTCATCATCATTTATTTATTAATCAGCTATCCTGTGACTGAATCTAGCTTTTCTTTCACAGCTCATCAAATAGAGTATACGAAGAATTGACAGACAAGGTGCAAAAAGGCAGTTTTAAACAAGTAAGTCCTTTCTTCACATTGTACCGCACCCCTACCTACAATCTCCAGTCCCATGTGATAGACCCTGTGCTCAAAGGTGGACCCATGTTAGGCGACCAGATTATCCCGCTTCCTAACCCCACTATTGAACCAGGTGATGATGATGAGGGTGGTGCTGGATATTTTGGCACAGAGGGGGGAGAAGAGTGGAGCTTGGAGTGTCTACAAACCACCAGTTCTGAATACAATTCCCATTGTTCGTCATCATGGCGAGAGTCATCCTATAGTTCTCAAAAAGGTGTATGCCAGAGTCAACCATTGTCTGTGTCCTATTTTGACGAACGGTTGATCGGGTGTGATCAAGCTCAGCAAGACTTCAGGAAACTGTCCACGGAGCTTACGGAAACCGATGAGGCCCCTGAAAAGATTTGCTTAACAAAACAACCTACAAGTGAACAATCGCCTGCTGAGCTGACTTCTGTGCCTCCTTCTGGTTCCACTATTGCTTTGACAGAATTCATGCTGACTATAAAAATGCCAAGGAAACACATGGATGAGATTTCACATCGACTCATCGATGAAATCTTGTTTGGATATGATTTTGAGTTGATGGATTCAGATAGTGAGGATTTCTCTTTGTTGCCTATAGATGAATCATCTGAAAATACAACTCAGGATGGAGTCAGGAATGATGTGCTTGAGGAAGCCTGTAGACACACAAATATTGATGGTATTTCAAACTCTTTGCTTGAGATTGATGTTTCTCAAGTCTCAGTTTCACACAAACTTAATGTCAAATCAGGTAATGGCATGAATCAAATCGACACTGCCACTGTTGCAGGTCCCTCTGAGGTCCGTTGTACCAATCCAGGTTTAATGTCTCAAAAACCAGAGCTCTTAAGGTCAACGGTCTTCATTCAGGTGTCACATGACTCAAATGAATTTGAACAGCTAGATGATTGTTCTGTAGATAATACAATGACATGTATACCAGAAGCAGAATGCAGCCTTGAGAAAAGACTGTCATTAGGACATAATGATAATGAGTTTGTACTCCCTGTAGAGTCTGCACCTGAAACTAAAACAGCCAGACCCAGACCAGAATTCACATATGAGACCATTTGTGAATGTAGCTTGATTTACGATAGATCACCTTCACCTGAATGTTTGACTGATGCATCAATATTACTGAAAGAGAGTAGTGACACATCACTTGAATTAGCATCACCGGTAAATGAGCTGAATTTTCTTCAACCAGATTTTCCAATACCTCAGTTAAGGCCCTTGTTCCCCCTACCGCCGCCTATGTTTGCATGGGAAAGTGGTGATGTTGGGGCTTCTGCCCCAGTTCAACCATTACTGAGTTATACCCTCTTAACATCAGAAGCAGAGCAAAGGCCTTTGACACCAATGATTTCAAACAAAAGACCATTTGGAAGGCCATTATCTCTAGGCAGTGATTGTAGTAGTGAGAGATGCATCTCACCTCAATCTTTAACATTTGACATAGAAGATAGAGCATTGTCACCCAAGTCTGTCATTTTGGAAACAACGCTGTGTTTTTTTACATCTTCTGAGCGTGTGACTTTTCCCCCTTATTTCCATGAAATGAGACCAACCTCACCTGAATCTAATAGCAGTATCAATGCACATTGTTGGCTTCCACTGGACTCCTCTTGCCTGGAATTTGGACATGTCTCAGATTATTTGACCACTTGTCAATGTAGATCCTCATCACCAGAGTTGATGTCATCAGATTTGGAGTTTAAAACAACACATTTTAAGTCTTTTAAAAAGAGGCCATTATCTCCTGAATCTGTAGGATCTGTATATGAGTGTAAACCATTGTCAACGGATTCGCCCATACCTGAATGGAGTCTCAACTGGCCTGATTCGGTTATTGTACTGGCAGGGGAGAGAAAATTTCCTGAACCATTGGTGTCTGATGCACAGAACAAACCACCAACACCATCAGAATCAGAATCTATGGTTAATGATGATTCGGTCACTTTATCTATGTCAGACATTAAGGTAAAGCAACTTTCACCTGAGTCAATACCTGGCACCAAACCAGTCTTTCACTTAACTGGGAAGTCTGCAAGAAAAAAGAAAATTAAGATATCGGACAAAAATGACTATAAACGCGGGCAGAATTTCACTAATAACCAAAGAGAATTACCTGAGTTTATAGTAACACATGTATCTCCACAAGGATCTGTTGAAGCTCTGTCACCTAATTTGTCTCCAAAAACTGCATCTGATGATTTACCATTCCCTTTGGCACTACAAACTACCCCTAAAGATCAGAAGTTTATACAGCAATCAGTTTCTACACCTCAGCATTGCATATCTTCATCCTTAACAGGATATTCAGGGCCAAGGTACAGTTTAGTGTATGGTGGCAAACTACAGGTAAACAAACTCATCGCTCAAATCTGCGACCGGCAGTACAAAAGAGAAATCTTCTTGAATAAACCAGGCATACTTCTGTTTCCAGAAACAATAACAGAGCCTAATCAGACAAGGTCAGATGCAACAGCTGAAGATGAAGCTGCTAGTTGGCAATCCCAAAAAGACCAAAGATCACTTTCATTTGATGTTTTTGATTTTCTGGCAGAATATGGACCAATGATAACGCTGGTAATGCTTGATTCCTCCCAATCAGGGAGATCTGCGGATAGTCAGCAAGTTTTCATGTTGGATTCCCCTTTACCTATGTACTTTTCCTCTTTCTCCTTGGTTTCAACCATTGGGCACAGATCATCTTCTCTTGAATCAGTGGTTTCTGAATATACACATTCCAGTCTTGATAGAAGTATATGCAGTCAGAGACTTGACTCTCCAGAAACACAAGTTTTGGAGACCACAGAGAGACCATTGGTTGGTAGACCTGTTTATAATGCTGAACTTTGGAAGCTTATTTCTCAGATATATGATCCTCATTTTGTTGGGGAGTCTTTTTGGAGTAAAATCTGTGTTTTTGAGTATGCTGGAACAATAAATAAGTATCTTCTAGATGATTTGTGTGTGAAAGAGGGAGAATTAGAGGGTGGTATGAAGTTGGACATTACAGATTCCTCAGATACAGATGTTTTACATGCAATACAAATTGAGATTGAGAGGGAAGAGAGCCCCGTGCCATTTTACAGGCCTTCACTTGGGGCAGTGACAGCTGAATCAGCTGTTTCCATGCTTAAAGTAAAGCAATCAGAAAAGGCAGATCCAACAATTAGAGCAAACCATCTGATATGTCACCTATATGAACCCATGTATGTAGGAGAAGGCTTTGCAAGTAAACAGTTTGAATATGAGGAGACAAATAAAGAACACCTTGAATCGTATGCAGCAGAGACAGGTAGGACGATTTCACCCTATCTTGGGGCAGAATATATATCTCCCTCCCCCGAGTCCCTGAAGTTACCGAGGCCGGATTTAAAGGAGATGGGAAACTATGTGGATAAGTATAGAAGACCTTTGTGTCCAGCAAAATGTTTTCCGCCATTAGAACTTAAGGAGAAACTTTTTACACCTAATGCTGAATTAGAATATGGATCTTTCTCACAGGCATCACTGATGTTAATGTCAACTTTTAGATCATCCTCTCCTGAATCAGCTGGCTCTCTGAATGAATTAAGACCTCTTTCACCAGACTCACCCATTCCTGAATTTACACAGGGTCTTCAAGAGTCAGCTATATCTCATATGGACATGATTTCATGTTCGCCTGAATCCTTGTTGTCCGAATTCGATGAGGAGTTATATTTCTCAGTGTTGATAGAAGAGTGCTTGTCTCCTGAGTCCTTGACGCCTCTAAGTAAATACAGAAGACTTTCTCCTAATAGCCCTGTACCTGACTTCAGACAGGCCTTGCTCGAGACGGATCCAGAATGTAATGCTTACACGACATGGTCTTCTGAACCAGAGGACTCAGACCTACAATATCCTCATCATTTGATTTCACAGCTGTTGGAATTCGAGAACAGACCAGAAGGGATGTCTGACTCTAATCTTAGACGTTTGTCTCCTGACTCTCCCATACCCCAGTACATCATAACTGAACCTACCATTTTGGGAGTAAGATATAGATCAACCTCACCTGAATCCAAATATTCAGATAAAGATGTGTTAAGTGATTTGAGTGTCCCTCCACTTTTTGAGGACAGAACAGCATCTCCTGGTTCAAGGGAATCCAACAATGAATTTAAACCGCTTTCACCAGACTCATCCATTCCTGAATGTACACAGGCTCTTCAAGAGTCAGCTGTATCCCATACAAACTTGATGTCATGTTCACCTGGACCAGTGTTGTTAGAATTCGAAAAAGAAATGTCTTTCCCAACATTCATGGAATACAGAACTTCATCTCTTGAATATCAAGCATCAATGAAGCTTTTACCTGATTCACCTTTACTTGACTTGCAACCTACGTCTAGATTACCTGAAACATTTTATGGAGATAGATCAGCATCGCCCGAGTCAACCTGTTCAGATATAGAATACATTGTTTTAAGCATTGGATCAGAAGCTTATGACAACAGACCTTCTTCCCCGGGCTCTAGTGCATCTGGAGATGAATACCACATTCTGCCACCAGACTCACCCATACCTAAATACAAGCCAATAGTAACTGGCCATGTTATGGGGATTGCTGGCTATATAACACCCTCCCCTGAATTCTCTGAATTAGATGTTGATTATGCTTTGAATGACCCTATGACTTATGTTGTTGATGATTTTACAGATTCTCCCAAATCATTAGGGTCCAAAGCACAAGAGATGCCACAATCAGTTGAATCCTCAATAGAATACAAATCCATGTCTTTTTTGGAATTCACGTTACTTGGAAACATAAGAGCAATGTCTTCAGAACTCAATCAATCCTGTGATGAACACAAGTGTTTTTCTCCAGACTTACCCCATCCTTGGCTTGTTCCAGAGACTAACACAGAAGTAACTCACACCAGGCTTTCAAAGCCTGATTTAATATTGTCAGATGTGGAATATGCTTTGACTTCATACCGCACAGAAGTCTCTGACACGAGACCACTATCCCCTCATTCAGAGGGATCGGAAGATAAATGTAAACACAAGCCACCCGAATTGCCAATAGCTGAGTTAATAAAAATGTTTGTAAAAGTGAGAAATATCTCACCTACTGAATACTCAGGCTCAGATGATTTGTCACAATATTTCCTTTTTGGTGCAAGAGAAAGGTCATCATCACAAAACTCTTTTGAATCCCATAAGGAAGAATTAAAATTTCCAGCTAAATCATCAATACCAGAAATAAGAGTTTCGACTGCCAATGGAGCAACCATCCATAACCATCCAACAACAATCGTACCTTCCTTACCTGAGGAATCAGCCATCATCTTAGCAAAGTATAATCTCATTCATGACGCAGGGCTGTGGAAGCTCATTTCTCAAGTACATGATACTCAGTACGTAGGAGAAACTTTCAGCAGTAAAACGGGATTCATGCAATTAATTCCCAACACAATAGAACCTGAAATAAGTGTTCAAGATGAAGGCCAAGATACTACAATAACAGATAAAAATGAGCATGATGTCCATGCCAAAGTACCACCTTTAGAGGAAACACATGAATTTACTTCAACAGACAGAGCCAATGATGGCTATCTTTGCACTTCAAGTGCACAAGACATATCTGATGTACCTATTTCACCTCTACCAGTGATCAAACACGTGTTATTGTCAAGTGCAGCTCCATACAGACAGGCTAAGCACACATTTGATATACCTGTCCCTAAGACTCAAACTGAGTCTGATGTCGGTTTAGTTGTAGCATCTGTATCTGAGAATGAGCTACACTGTCCAGAATCCTTGATGGACTTTAGACCCTTATCCCCTGGTTTAGCCATGGTGATAGAATCAAGAACATCATCATCACGATCTGTAACATCAGTCAGTGAGTTTAGGCCACTGTCCCCAGATTCTACTTTACTTGAATTTACAATACCTGTCCCTGAATGTGTATTGTTCTTTAGATCACCATTATGGTTACCTGAAACTTCACTATCAGATATTGGTAATGTGGCATTGGGAAATTTGGAATCTCAGTTCACAGGATGCAGACCATCATCTCCAGTATGTGCACTGCCAGAGTATGAGAATGAGGGAGAATGGGTGTTTTTGTCTCAGTTACTGCCAGAATACAGAACAATATACCTTGAATCAGCCATGCAAATGAATGACAAAGGAGCATCATTTCCAGAATCAGGCCTTGAGTTCAATGAGAACAGGTCACTTTCCCCCAACTCTCCCATACCTCAATTTACAGTATCATTGGAGTACAATACTGTGCATAGGTTATCATCACCTGAATCAATGGCTTCAGATTCAGAGTGCAAGCTTTCAGTCAGGGCAGCAAGAGATGCTGTGACTTACAGACCATCTTCACGTGAATCAATTTTTTCTGTCAATGAGTTCAGTCAACTGTTACCTGACTCAACAGAACCTGCTTTTATGAGAACACTGTCTTATTTTATGGATGCTAGACACATTGATAGATCATCTACACCCGTATCTTTGTCATCAGGCTCTGAATTTGTTGCCCTACCTATTGATTGTTGGATTGATTGTCCAAGGCCACTGACACCTCAAATTGTAGAGTTAGAGGAGAAATTAGGCTTTTGTTGTGAAGGTACTAAAGTTTTGAGTCATGTGACGTCTCAGTCTTTGTCATTACCTAATAAAGAGCCATTAGATGAGTACTCATTGTTTATTCAAACTAGTGAAACAAATATCAGTCCTGACAGGCAAAAAATAACAGAACTGCAATCACAAAATTTGTCATACAAATGGAGTCAGCATGGGTATGAACCTGAAAGCATCTCAACTTTACAAACTACAATACTTGAGGAAGACTTCCAGAAAAACGTTCTTGTGAAACCCTCACTAGTTCAAGTTGCAAAAAGAAAGAAGAGGAAGAGCCTACACATCAGTTCTAGAGAATTAAAGAAGAAGACAGTCTCACAAAGGGTAAGACTGAAGGCATGACAAACAAGTAAATACTTTTTTTCATACCTTTTGTTTTGGACGAATTCATTAACATGTCACTTGGATAAAGCAAACAACTGATTTGATGAACTAATAACAAAATGAGGAGGACATTTGCAAAATGTGTCTGGAATTTGTACAAAATGTCAGTCAGTTCTTTTTAAATTATAGTTGCATTAAGTAGCATGTCGTGGTTCCACAATAAACTTAAATTATATTGACTGAACGGAAAATAATTGTTACACTCTAATGCTAAGCTGGTGATATGTTGAGGTTATGGTTGCATATCGACCGGATTGCAGACACAGTATTTTTTTTGTTAACTTATTTCAATCCTGTTGATATTCCCTTACAGGGTCCTACACCAGAGGAAAGACAGTTTCAAAGAGACATTGAGTTGTATGACACAAACTCATACAAAACCAATAGAGCTGTTACTCCAATTCTACCAGCTTTTGGGAAAACATCATGTTTAAAGGTGGGCTTATCCCAGGTGCACCCAGAGTTTATGTTCGGCCTTAACAAAGAACAGCCCAGTGAGCTTTTTTCACCAATGTCAACCAAGTTTTTGGTACCATCAGAATATGAAGCTGTATTTACAGGACACCAAACTTTGAGAGTTTCTGAATTCAGCCAACCTTCTTTGAAGGATTTGAGTCCAGTGTCTCCGGTGTTCAGTGACTCAATTCTGGCTCTGAATGTGACTGATGCCACCACGAAGGGAGAATTTGACAATGCTGAAGCCCTCTCACAATTTGAGAAAACAATCTCTGAATTTAAATCAGAGAATCCAAATGTCATATCGAAGAAACTGAGTAAAAGATTGGAATCTCCACAGCAATCTGACTCCGATGTGGAGTTTTTTGAGTGCAGACAAGCCTTCTCTGACTCCTCGGAAACCGAAGAAGTGAAACTGGAACATGAGATTACCCATCATATTTCGAAAACCCCGTCCCCAATGCCCGGGTGTAGCCCTGGTTACAGGCGCTTTTCTTTTAGCAGTGAAAGTCTCAGTGAATTTGCTTTTAATTCAGAGGATTCACAGGGGATTCAAAAAGAGGGCAACCTCCCCTTGTGTGAGGAGCTGCCTTCGAGAGATCAGGCAGGGTATTACGATGATGACGACTTCGTGGGAAGGGTAAGGGTTTGTGTTGAGCATGAGCAGAGTGCTGCACTGGCATTTTTCTTGCCTGGCCATACTTGTTGCTGTGGTGCTGCAGTAAAGTCTAGGAAGATAAACTGTTCAAATTGGTACTTAATTAGGGTGATGAGTGCTTTTGTGTGCATGACCTTCCTAAACTTTCAAAGAAAACAAAAAATTAGCAATGCGATGATTCTCTTCAGTAAGTGAAAAGGCTGTCGCCATTGGTATTCGCAGTTCCCAATGTTTAAGTGAGCATTGGTGACGTTGATGAGCTGCTAAACAGAACTTATTTCATGATACATATTTACTTTGTTCACACACGCACCTTTCTTGATTTATGCTTGTTGCAATCAGTATGCAAAAATACTATTTTATGATTGGAGGTTCTAGTGCTGTGCTATTTAAAAACTAGAGCTTACAGTGAATCTGGAAAGTATTCACAGTGCTTCACTTTTTCCACATTTTGTTATGTTACAGCCTCATTCCAAAATGGATTAAATTAATTATTTTCCTCAACATTCTACACACAACATACCATAATGACAAAGTGAAAAAATCTTTTTTGCAAATCTGTTAAAAATAAAGAACGAAAACATAACATGTACATAAGTATTCACAGCCTTTGCTCAATACTTTGTTGAAGCACCTTTGGCAGCAATTACAGCCTCAATCTTGGTATGATTCCACAAGCGTGGCACACCTATTTCTGGGCGGTTTCTCCCAGTCTTCTTTGCAGAACCTCTCAAGTTCCATCAGGTTGGATGGGGAGCGTCGGTGCACAGCCATTTTCAGATCTCTCCAGAGATGTTCGATCGGGTTCAAGTCAGGGCTCTGGCTGGGCCACTCAAGGACATTCACAGAGTTGTCCCGAAACCACTCCTTTGTTATCTTGACTCTGTGCTTCGGGATGTTGTCCTGTTGGAAGATGAACAGTCGCCCCAGTCTGAGGTCCAGAGCGCTTTGGACCTCGTTTTCATCGAGGATGTCTCTTTACATTGCTGCATTCATCTTTCCCTCAATCCTGACTAGTCTCCCAGTTCCTCCCGCTGAAAAACATCCCCACAGCATGATGCTGCCACCACCATGCTTCACTGTAGGGATGGTATTGGCCAGGTGATGAGCAGTGCCGGGTTTCCTCCAGACATGACGCTTAGCATTCAGGCCAAAGAGTTCAATCTTTGTTTCATCAGACCAGAGAATTTTGTTTCTCATGGTCTGAGAGTCCTTCAGGAGCTTTTTTGCAAACTCCAGGCGGGCTGTCATGTGCTTTTTACTGAGGAGTGGCTTCCGTCTGGCCACTCTACCAAACAGGCTTGATTTGTGGAGTGCTGCAGAGATGGTTGTCCTTCTGGAAGGTTCTCCTCTCGTCATAGAACAACGCTGGAGCTCTGTCAGAGTGACCATCGGGTTCCTGGTCACCTCCCTGACTAAAGCCTAGTTTATGCTTCTGCGTTTTCAGAGCGACGCAGACGCAAGCCCCCCTTGCGTGTCCCTTAGGTCGCTTTTCACACCTCCTTGCGTCCTTGCGTGTGTTGAGCCATTTTTCTAGGCTTGCGTCGAAAGCGACGCAAGCAACGCAAGCCTCCCGCAGCGCACAAGGCTGCGATTGGTCTGCTAACTACATCCTTTACAGAGTCTCACATTTCCGCTTTCATAGCCCGATAGCGCCATTATTAAAACGAAGAATGTTTACGAGAGAACGGATCAGATTGAAGAGCTTTTGTCGGAAAAAATGCGTAAATATGACCGCTTATACAAGTAGTCATTGGCGGGTTGTAGAAGCAGGTTGGATTAATGGAGGGAGATCGCCGCAAACGCCGGTTTGCCGGTCGAGAGGTGCACAAAGTTATGGAGGAAAATACAGGACAAATGTGTCCGCAATGAAAAGCAGCAGTGGCGATGCACGGGCCAATAAAGTCTATGATAAATAAATAAATAAATAAATAGACGTGACTCTCTAGGTCGTCTTCAACAAAAACACGTTACTCCGCCTGTTGTTCTGGCGGTGAATTGCTCTGCAACACACGCAGAACCATGAATGGAAACAAGTGCGTCGACGCAACGACGCAAACGTAGAAGCATGCGCCAGCCTTAAGGCCCTTCTCCCCCGATCGCTCAGTCTGGCTGGGAGGCCAACTCTAGGAAGAGTCCTGGGGCCTCATTTATAAAACCTTGCGTAGAATTTGCGCCAGAAGTGGCGTATGGATGAAACGTAGGACGTGCGTACGCACAGAAATATTCAGACTTATAAAACCGTGCGCACGCACGTCCTACTAAGTTTTCCCTTAATAAATCACAATCACTTCTAAATGCAGCGCAGCTTTTGCGGCTTCATGTCACGCCCATAGTTGCCCATATATAGTCTGTGGAACGCCCACAAATGAATAATCATCGATTGCGAAGAAACATAACTTCGAAGTCGAAATGATCATTGGCGAGGTGGAAAGAAGTCTAATGCTTTTTGGAGGGCACAGTATGGACTTTACTAATGCCAAAAAGGCACTTGAGTGGCAAAAGGTTGCAGAGCAACGCTGCAGCCTCACAAACCTCGTACCGTGGCCGAAATAGGAAAAATGGTCTGACATCAAAGTGGATGCAAAAAAGCGTTTAGTGCGCCATTGCCAAAGTGTGCACGGGTGGGCACTTGATGAGAGACTGGCGGCAATGATTGGGAATCGGGGGCAGGGTCTAGGCCAACACAGCTATCGGCGTCAGGGGGGGGGGGTCGAGGCACGTTTGGAAGCTGTGCCACATTATGTAGCACAGCACATGCCAGCACGATTTGGCACACCTTTTCAGGAATAAACAATAACCCCCCTCCAGTGCAGTCGAAACGAACTTTGCCATCACTAGAGGCCACTGTGCTCATTGGGACTTCAATGCTGCAGAAATATTTCTGTACCCTTCGCCAGATCTGTGCCTCGATACAATTCTGTCTCTGAGGTCTACCGATAATTCCTTGGACTTCATGGCTTGGTTTATGCTCTGACATGCACTGTCAACTGTGATGCCTTATATAGACAGGTGTGTGCCTTTCTAAATCATGTCCAATCAACTGAATTTAGCACAGGTGGACTCCAATCAAGTTGTAGAAACATCTCAAGGATGATCAGTGGAAACAGGATGCACCTGAGCTAAATTTTGAGTGTCATGGCAAAGGCTGTGAATACTTATGTACATGTAAGTATTCATTGAAATGGGCAGTAATATGTACATGTTTTCATTCTTTATTTTTAACAGATTTGCAAAAAACGATTTTCCCTTTGTCATTATGGGTTTTTGTGTGTAGAATGTTGAGGAAAATAATGAATTTAATCCATTTTGGAATGGAATGGGCTGTATCATAACAAAATGTGGAAAAAGTGAAGCGCTGTGAATACTTTCCGGATGCACTGTATGTTGTTCAGCAGCATTAAAGGTAAATAAGAGTATATTTTTACCTGGCATATTTACCATAAATACTATTTTGATTTACTCTTTTGGTTATCCTAATTATGCCCTTGCCAGGCCCATTATAGAGATTTGGGGTACCAAGGACTCCTACCGCTTTTGTAAATTATTATTACATTTCTAGCCCCTGTCTGAGTAAATACAAAAAGTAAAGCCCAAGAATATTCATGTGGACTAACTACACATGGGTCTTCATACAGGGAAGATATTGTCTCCCTTGCAGAGTTGTTAAAACGCAGGCTGCATCTGCAAAGCGCTGGAACCAATTTGTTACCCTCAATTACCTCTAAAAAAATGTCAACTTTAGCAACCTGTCCCGCAATCAAATTTACTACAAGCTTGGCAGTACAGGCAAAAGCTATAAAGTTGGACAACAGCCTGTGGATTGGACTAGCAAGAATCATTTTTCAGGTTTTCAATGGATTCACCCGCTCAGACCACAATGTGAAGCTAATACTCACATAATTTTGCATATTTAATTTTTTATGTTTAGTTGACAATACACATGAAAACGACTGCAAAATTTAAATATATTATCCTGCCCGCTGCACTAGTTGCCTTTTCATTCTCCACAGCATTGTTCTGCTCATAATCTATTAAAGTCTAAAATGCAAAAAGCCTTATAGCCAATATAGATCAATATTAAATATTTTTCACTCAAATACAATTGTTTTTTTCCGGGAAGGATAGTACTGAAGGGGTCTGAGACATCCTGTATTTTGCACAATGGTTCCCATCCTTGCACGTTTATTTGTTTTGAACATTTTTAGTGTAACCTTCTCTTCATCTCACATCACCATACTCATACAGAACATTGTTTCATTCAATTCATTTTCTGTACATTAACCTCTTTGGCAACCGATTTGTAAAAAGTAAGATTCAGAGAAAAGAAGGACAAGCTGCTGTCTGTAGCAGGTTGCTGTGGTAAAACTGTGTTACCTGACACATTGACCCATGCTGGTTGTGTGCGTTCTCCCAGGAGATAGCAGAAGAGCTAGGTTTGCGGTCTTCTGATAGCTCAGAGGAGGAGGTGCTGACGACTAGGGTGGTCCGACGCAGAGTTATCATTCAGGTAAAAAAGCATCAGCGGCTGCAATTGTGCAGCCTGAGTGGCTGTGGTTTGGGAGTAGTAGGGGTTTAGTGCTCCTTTGTGATTCTTCAATATATTTTACTTGCTTGGCACAAAAGTTACACGCGGCAAAAAGCGAAATTTCTAAGTGTGTAAAATGGCCTTCATGACACTTTTCTTAATTTGTCCCTGCACACGCTGTTTTCAATTGTTTCATGTTTATATTATTTTCTTTGTTGTTCTAGCAATTAAAGCCCCAACGTGTCCTTTACTTCAGAAATCCTTAATGCTAGAGTCAATAAATAGACAGGAAGACAACAATGCAAGAAACCACTTTAGATGAATTTAAACTATTTTTTAATTTTTTTACAAAAACAAATTTGTGCAAGAATGATCAGAATGATTTGTATAATTCTATAGTTGCATCAAAGTCACTGTAGATCTGATGGTGTTAGTCATGAATTATGCTTGAAATACTTTAATAATAGCATGTTGGTTCTTCCCTTGTGTGCATTAACATGCTAACTGACAGTATGTGTTTTTTCTTTTTACAGGCTGATACCCTACATGATATCCAACCACAGACTGTCACAGAGGAGAAGTACAAAGATGAGCATGGAAACACGGTAGTTAAAAAAGTAAGGTTTCATTCAAAGATCTCCAGCATATCCTGCATTCACAGTTCTATTTCTTTGCCTGCATGGCCATAGATCCTTACCAGTTAACAGTTTTCACAGAAAAGTCATTTCCTCCCTGTTTTGTCCACCAGATCACTCGAAAGGTGATTCGTAAATATGTGTCAGCAGACAGCATGGATACACAGGAAGTGACCATAGAGGGCACACACCAGGAGACGGTACAGATTGAGGAAGGAGACACTGTCTCCAGGGTACTGAAGAGAACTGTGCTTCACAGTGAGGGAGATCAGAAAGAGGTCAGCATCATCTACTTTGTACTACTTTCAAATGGTTTTATAGAAGCAGCAACACTTTAAACTTTATTCATGTGTTAAGACTGCATTTACAATGTTAATAATTTGATCATGAAAATAATTCTTTTGCACATTCAAATGTTGTACAAAGTTCTAAAATACATACAAATAAAAATGCAACCCTGTCATTGGAAAATAAGAAAAATGGCCAGTTAGGGTTCCAAGATGTAAGTCACCTCATAGTGAAACAAACTTAAGCTGAATCCGTTACAAATACCTGTGAGGCATATCGAAAAACTGTACGTCGCTAACTAACATCATATTCCATGTAAATATTTCCCTTTAAATGAGATGTAGCATCTATCAAACATCAAACAGTGTGCAAATCATCCTTATTTAGGTGCTTAATTCTCTGTATAATTTAAAGAGACTAGCATTACCTCGCAAACATAAAATTTGTGAGGTCTCACAGCTGTGCTTTGCACTAAATGCTAAGATCACTCAATGAATCCCAGTGACAACACTGCATGCATATATTTAGTAAGATACTTTTTTATATATAATATATATAGCTGAATTAGTCGTCACTTTAGTAGCACTTATGATGGCACTTACTTATAGCACTTTGTAGTTTGGCTTTCTTGAAGAAATTATGCTTTCTTGATTCTTGTTGTTCTGATACTCCACCCTCTTGTTTGAATGCAATTATTGTGAGTCGCTTTGGATAAAAGCATCAGCTAAATGAAATATGTAAATATTGTTTGTTGTCTTAGTGTGCTAAAAGTAGCCAATACGTGCAAATAAGAGGACAATTGTGGGTGATAGAAATAATACTATTTTTATAGCAGATGAAGTCTGGCCCCAATAACCAACCCGATAAAACATAAAAGTACATATTACATATTAGTACAGAATTATACATAGCAGATAACATTGTTGCTTTGACATCAACTAATGTTCTCTCCAGTTGACCATTTCGGAACCCCTGGCCGCCACTGTGTCAGAGTTTGAGGTTGAGCCCGTGCAAGGTCGAAAGGTCAGCAAGGTTGTCAAGACAACAGTGGTACGAGGCGAGAGGACAGAGAAGCAGACTGGAGACCCCTCACTGGCTGCAGATCTCCCCTCAGCTGGACAGGACTTTGAGACGGTCTGTGTTTCCAAAACTAAATATCAATGCATTCTATGAAAACAGATTCTATGTTCAATGTGTCTTGGAGATTATCTGCTGGTCATGAGAAGAAATAAACAAATGTGGAGGTGCTGATGATCTTTACAAGTCCTTTCATTAACTGCTGCTACCTATGTTCAGTAATATCTCGTCAGTAATTACTGTAGAGCTAATCTTTATGTCCCATTCCCAGTGTCTCTTCTCTTTCCTCCCTCTGATCTGCCTCTCCTCCCTCATTCTTTACCACCCAGGCATTGAGTTATGCTGGAGGCTTTGGGAAAGTGCTCCTGCCTCATGTAGTTGAGAAAGCTTTTGTGCAAGACGACGGTTCTGTGGTTAAAAGGTCGGACATCAGCATGGGAATGTGTCAACAATGACCACAAAGAAACTTAACCTTCGAAGCATGGCGTGATTGCACTCGCTTCTCCCCATTAATGTTAAAGACCAAACTTTGATTTTAATTTGTACACTGACTGAGTAAGTGACTGAGATATGAGTGTTGCTGCTTCATCATGTCTTAATCAGAAAGTTGCAATCTTTTCACTAATAACTAATCACAAGGTTGAAATAGAAGTATTGCATTTGGTTAATTAATTTGTGTTCAAACACACGTGTTTCCATAAAGAAACTTAAATTTAAAAAGTCAGGCTCCTTTCATCTTCAGAATTTTACCAACTCATCAAATGTTGTTTGTTGCTGAAACAGACTGACTAACTTGGAGTGAATGGTATGAAAGTCTACAGCTGCTCATATTAAAATGTAATTATCGAAAACCAGAATTTTGCTTTTGAAATATCATAGTTAAAATTTGGAAACTCCAAATTCCATCTATTGTTTACAATGAAACATTTTATGATAATTGTCAGGAGAAATTGGGTTACGACAGGCTTTATTGTTTATCGCCATTTTTTGCCTTTTTTGCCATATCTATCTCTCTCAATATTGTAATGCAACATTCAATCAAATACTCTTGCTTCCCTGTTTCCTTCCAAGAAAAGAGTTTGAAAAAATTGAAAAAAAATCAAAAGCCTGTGTTGGTGTGCATTTTAGATTATACTGTGGGCACAATAAGAACCTGATGGTGCAATTTTTAGAAAATGTATCAAGATAAATTAACATTAATATTAAGTTGAAGGTTTTGATTATTTCTCATTTTCATTGTTATACTGTATTTTCTGTTTGTATAATTTCTATCAACTCACTTTCCGTTGGGAAGTAATTAGGTTGTTTAACCATGAATTATATAGAATTAGTTTTGTGAATGTAATGTTTTTTTATTTGATTCGATAATAAATGATGAATCATTTTAAAATTTCCAGTCGTGCATTTCCACTATCAAAGATAGTGAGTACTGAAATACGGCCCATTCAACCCTGATCACATATGAACTTGGAACAAGCAGTATCTGGCTAGTCCATGCCTGTAAGTTAGCCTGGATATGGCGTGACTTTTCTTTCTGCTTCTTGCAGAAGCCACATGCTTAAGTCACTAACCCAGCAGAAGACTGTGGTGAGGGACGGCCAGGGGAAGCACGTGCACCTGGAGCGTCGGGACGACAGCCGGGATCCCCTGCAACCCGACGCACTGCAGCAGCACCTGCACCAACTGCTCCAACGCTACTGTGAGGACCACCAGACAGAGAAGGAAGATGAGAATTTTTACTGACCTCCCTTCTACAATTGATTAGATTTTTATTTTTATTGTCCCGAAGGAACTTTGTCTTGGAAACGTACAGTCTTAGCTGTTTAGAAAATACAGAATAACATAGAGCATAAAAAAAGTTAAACAAACAAACAAACAGCTGCACAAGCATGTGTCGGTGTCGCCTGGAGAGCAGCGCCACCTGTTACCTATTAGTGTGTGAAAGCCTTTGGTGTCGTACGCTTCCTCTGATCAAGATGTCCCAGGTCCCCCTCTAGTTGTCCTCACCAATCACTGGACTCAACTCTTTGTTGAAAGATTGAACAGTCTGTTATCCTTTCTTCCTTCCTTCCTTCCTTCATTCACATTGTGTTTCATTTTCTTTTTTGTGACCGAAGATGGAACCCCCCCCCCCCATTTTTGATGGATGATTTTTTTTTTGGCTGCTGTGGTGTGGTATTGGTACAATGTACAGAAGTCGATGAAAGACAAAATAAGGCGTCTTAGACGTTTGATCTCACGCACAGGCCTCATCTCGATAAAAACATTTGTACATTGAGGAGCTAAGAAACTCATGATTGGATGGTGTGAAACTAAAAGAAATGCAAAGCATTTAATAGAATCACTCAATAAAAATGTTGTACACGCTGTATATTCAACTGCAGAATAGCCCCCATCCATCCATCCATCTTCAACCGCTTATCCGGTTCAGCTCCAGCAGGGGACCCCAAACTTCTACCAGCTCTGACTGGGGGATCCCAAGGCGTGTTGAGATATAATCTCTCCACCTAGACCTGAGTCTTCCTCGGGGCCTCTTCCCTGCTGGCCATGCATGGAACACCTCCCTAGGGAGGCACCCAGGGGGCATCTTTACCAGATGCCCAAACCACCTCGACTGGCTCCTTTCAACTTAAAGGTCTGTTCACAAAGACGGCGTATTGCTGCTTATAGTGTGCCCACTTCCTGCATTAGACCTTTTTTTTGTCTTTCTAATTTGTGTTCTGCATTCACATTTATCTTTCACAGAGCTGCCACTTTGTTGTGTGTTTATATACAGTGTGTCTCCTGAGATGGAAAGTAGAGATGTGGGATGTTTTGACACAGATTGACCTCTTACCCCCTCTGTCCTCATAGCTACTGGTTTCCTTCGGTCACCCTCCACATGCTGCTTCTCCTCACTTTCTACCGCATCAGTGATTATGTAACTGTCCTCATTGAGCTTTCTAAGGGAAACTGCTCGCCAAGTCTTCTTGTCAACCAATCCCATGTGCGGAACCAGACCAACAATAAATGTGGTGCACACAGCTTTTTTGTGTTTTGAGCTAAATCTGCCGTAGAGCTCCATTGTTCAAAAACCCATGAAATGATCTACATTACTGCCCATTTCAATGATGTCCATCATGACATGTTCCTGTTTTTAGGTGCAGTTATCATGACAAAGTCTGATTATAAGATAACCTTTTAGTGCTTTTCACTCTTTCAAAACAGTTGTCACTGTGATATCATCAGGGTTTTATCTGACGAAAGGGACGCAGGGGATCCCAGTTCAAAACTGTGTTTCTTGGGTTTCAGATATCTGCAGTGAATAATGCACTTAAGGACCTTGCATAAGTGTTGTAATTTATTAAAAGTCAATCTATATACAATGTCAAGAGTTCTCACCACAGCACCAAATGTGGTTTCGGAATCCCTGACAAAATATAGTCCCTAATAAAATAGTGTATTTCCTACGGCAAAAAATTTGTGACTTTATTATTTTGAAACAATGAAATGGAATTTTGGAGCAATTTTGAACCAATGGGTTTGGGGCTGACAGGCAGTTAAACACAAACTAACATGCTGTTGATTTTGGTCTTTTTCATATGGTTTCTTGACAATAATAAAATATGGAACAACACCAGACTTACCCTTTAGGTTTTTAGAAACCACACATAATGTTGAGATGCTTTGCGGTTATTGTTTTGGCTATTGTTCTCACTACTGGCAAAGGTTTGACACATCAATTTCCAATCCTAGTTAAGTCTTTCCAGTGACATCAGTCATCACACCTTTCCTGTTTTTCCTTATTTTATTGTGCTCCATTTGTAGTCTCTGTATAGTCTAACGGTTGAAGTGGTGTGTGCGTTTTAGTGTTTGAATTTTTTCTGCACCCAAAAGGTGAAGACAAATGAAAGACAAACAGGATTTGTACGACGAATAAAAGAAATTCATTATCAATTTGATACGTGTGCATCTTGTTTCCATGTTATTGATAATATAGACATATTAACAGTGCAAATATCTATGCGGGGATGTATGACTGCCTCAAATTATTACTAAAAATCAAACGCTAACAAGGCACAGCAGCAGAACAGTAAAACTGTACACGAGTCAAACATGGAGTGATCATTCTTTCTCAGAGAGATAAATGAAGATTGGTGGTGTCCACACTTTTGAACAGTCTTACAGCTAATGACTAATAAAGTACAAACTGATTTCTCTACGAAACTCATTCAAAGAGACCATATTTGGACGAGAGCATGGCGTCGGGAAGGAACGAGGCCCCCTTGGGGCCAGGTACCATTAGTACCATAAACGCTAAGTTAGCAGCTAAAGGCTAACTAACCAGCTAGCAGGGTTAGTGAAATGCTGGTGGGTATGTAAAACAGTACAGCATGTATTGTGAGATGCATGTTATGGTAAAATATGTTATAACATTGTCTTGTGCTAAACCCGTGTATCAAGTGTGTGTATTTGACCCTGAGGTGCAAAGTGCAGGATGACAGGGGTTGTCGTGGCGCAGGGGTAGGGAGGGTGTGCTGGGAACCACAATGTTGGTGGTTCGAGTCCTGGCTGCCCCATGTCGAAGTGTCCCTGAGCAAGACACCTAACCCCTAATTTCTCCCCGGGCAAAATGTAAAAGCCATGGGTTAAAAATGTAATGTAAGTCACTTTGGATAAAAGCGTCAGCTAAATTACCTGTAATGTAATACAAAAATTTAATTTGCGGCTGTGTCCTGAAAAGGTAGGGCGGTCAACTCAATCTCATAGACGCTTTATCAAATGGAATTCTGTTCATGGCCTTGGTTCATATCTTATTTAGTATGAAAGTTTTCATATCTGCGTTTCTTCCTTTTCGGTCTTAATTATAATTCGCACCTGCCACTGAGAGGATGACCTTGTTGTGTGTGTATAAATGCTCTGTTTTCACTGCTCGGAGACGCCATTTACACAGAATGTAATACGTGCTTGTGTATTCGACCTCCTGCTTGCAAGCAATAATTCAACTATTTTGGTACAGCTTGAGCCAGATATATCTGCGGAGAATTGCTCATGTAATCTTTTTCTCTTCTAAATAAATGTTAACTTTTTGACTTTAATTGATTAACTTGTCGCGATCATCAACCAACTCGGGGGGATCGGAGATCCCGACAGTATACACACAAAAAAACATTAAAGGGAAAATAAGCAAAAAATAAAATCCAAACAAAGTCCTTTGGCATATACTGAAAGTTTTATTTGATATTTCTTAAACACACACATACATCAGACTTGTCCCTTCATGGTAACAATACTATATATACCTGTGTCCCATCACCAATGCCAATCCATCTAAGAAACAAAATGTGGTGTGTGAGGGCAAAATGTCATTGACAGAAGAATGCAAACGGTTTTCAAAGCAAAAAAATTAAGCATTAAGCATTCGAATCTAAAGTCTTTTAAATATGAACCTTAAGATATGAATCTGCAAGTGAAGCAAACCATTCCTTTTTCCTTTCATTTAACAGTGACAACTAAATAGCATAATTGTCACTGTTATGACAGGAACTAGAATAGTGCTTTCGTGCCTAGTAATTCCACTCTAAAATTGTAATTCTCTCATTAGAAAAAACAGGCTCATAGGAAAGCCTTAATATAAGTGAGAGAGACAGGCAACAGTATCACAATATAAACAAAACAACAAATTTGCTGATAAAAATTACCACCTTAGTTCTCTACCCTATGAAAATATGATTTGACTGGAAAGTCACAGAATGTTTTTTAAGAATTGTTTCATGTAGTCCAAACACTATTATAAGAGACTCTTGTTTTCACAAGCCTTGTGACGTATAACACATGTTTGAATAGATTTTTGCTTATAAAACATGAAGTTAAAATTACTAGTAAACATATTGGTACCAATCGCAAACCACAAAACATATTTTTTAACTGAGCAGGCCCAGTCATATACATACATATATATATACTGCTGAAGATTAAGCAAAGAGAGCCATTCACATCCATAACCAAAACAGATACACTACCAAAACAAAAGCAAGCCTGTGACAGATCTTTAACAGACAGCAATTGTAGTAAAAAGCGGTTATGTTATACATTGGTCATTGTGCCAAAAAACAAACCCCACAACAGCTCAATGTGTGCACTATTCAAATGAAAAACGGTCAATATGCGATGAGTGGTTTCATAAAAAATGAATTAACCGGAACATCTGCCTCCTCTGAAAACCACTTCTATCTTAAACACACTTATCTAAAAAGCACACTCTCTACAGAATTATATAGTCAAGATTGGACGTTTCTCCATGGTTTTTATGTTTTTTTCTAGACAGAGTGGGCAGGGAATGGCTTAGGGATTCGACGGCCACTTGGTAGGTGGGGTCTGTTTGTCTTACTGTAGTAGGCTGTAGGGTGTTGTTGGGAATACTCCCATCAACTGAGAATCAAATCACATGCAGATTAATTACAAGATAAAAACACACAAAAATTTCCAATGTAAAATATGTTGTCATTTACTTGTGCTTGATATTTATTTTTATAAATTGGAATTATACATTTTCAGCCAACACGTATCCTTAAGTATATAAGTAATCAAGGTTCCATTTGGCACCTCACTTTTTCGAGGTTGGGATGAAAGGTTTGATGCAAGAACGTGGACCTTGAGTTTAGTTTGTTTTATCAATTACTCTTTTCAAGATGAAGAATGAACTGTCAAGCTCTTGTTAAGTCAACATTTAGAATACTGATTATTTATTACAGTTTGAAGTTGAGGGCAATCCCTCTAATTCATATAGCCAAAATGACCAAGATAACAGAATTCTGTCTATGGAGCCAAATCCAGGTCAGAAATTTTGTTATTTGAAAATTTCAAAACAAATGTGAAACTGAAAGTTCAAATTTTTGGTTCTTGAACATTGAAAAATCTAAATTATGAAAAGTATTTTGGGTTGAATATAGTTTTGACTCAGTTTTAGAATTTCTTTGAATAAAATGTATTTTTTCATTCTTCACTTGTATTTATTTTTTGATATTCACTGCATTATGTTTTTTGGTTGCAGATTTTATATTCACGATTGCACGCCTCACTCAGTTGATGCCCTGCCCCCTACTCGTGGTCAGAAGTCTGAATGTGAAAAAAAAAGATCCAAACGCGAAAAATATCTGAAATTGAAAATATAAGATTTGAATCTGAAAACATAAAATCGGCAACCAAAAAATACAATACACCGAATATCAAAAAATATATATTAGTGAAAGTTTTTTCAATTAGTAAATATTTAATGGAAAAAATATATAGAATTGAGTCAAAACTATATTCAACCTGAAAATAATTTTCGGCCATTTATTTTTATTTTGAAGACGTTGTATTTTTCAAACAAAACTTAAGCCTAGTTTATGCTGCGTTTTCAGAGCGACGCAAGGAAACGCAGACGCAAGAGCCCCTTGCGTGTCCCTTGTGTGCCTTTTCACACCTCCTTGCGTGCGTCGACCCATTTTTCTCGCAAGCCTCCTGCAGCCCGCAAGGCTGCGATTGGTCTGCTAACTACATCCTTTACGGACTCTCACATTTTCGTTTTCATAGCAGAATACCGCTATTATTAAAACAAAGAATGTTTACGAGAGAACGGATCAGATTGAAGAACTTTTGTCGGAAGAAATGCGTAAATATGATCACTTCTACAACCCGTCATCGGCGGACTATAAGGACGCGCGGATGGCCTCCGATTCATGGAGGGAAATCTCCGCAAACGCCGGTTTGCCGGTCGAGGGGAGCAAAGTTGTGGAGGAAAATACAGGACAAATGTGTCCGCGATGAAAAGCGGCAGTGGTGATGCACGGGCAATAAAGTCTATGATAAATAAATAAACAAACCAACGTCTTCCACAAACAAAGACGTGACTATCGAAGGTCGTCTTCAACAAAAAACGTTACTCCACCTGTTGTTCTGGCGGTGAATTGCTCTGCAACACACGCACGACTTTTAGAACCATGAATTGAAACGAGTGTGTTGACACAACGATACGTAAAGACGCAGAAGCATGCGCCAGCCTGTCAATTTTCAGGTTCACATTTGTTTTTCAAATGATCAAAACTTTTGACCTGGATTTGGCTCCATACCTGTCTACCAAAGAAACTGTACAGAGTTCTGGAGGTAAAGAACTGAGAGGTGGTGAGCTCACTTGGTGGGAACGGTTGGCGAGCCAGAGCGGTGGAAGTGGATGTTCTGCCATTTGCTGTCCCGGCGGTGCCAGATGCGGGTCTCCTCTGACTGCATGGTGCAAGGCATGCCGTTGCCATCAATATACTGGGTGAGGCGGATATAGGCGATGCAAGCAGCCTCCTCCCCGATCAGGTGGACATGGGGGTTGAGCAGGATGGTGTGTATGGGCTGCTTCCCCTTGGACAGAGCTGCAGAGGATGTTATTGATATAATTTTTTCAATAAAAATAGGAACCTTTTTCTGACTATCACATTGGTTTTGTGAGGGCTTAAAAACACAGTGACATGAAAAATACTTTTCTTTTGTACTCATTCGTACCATTCTCAAAGTAGAAGCGGTGGAAGTCTGTGCCCTCCACCAAGTTGCCCATGGCTTCAGGCTCAAAGGATGTGAGGCCGGGATCACAAATCTTGCTGAATTAGAACAACAGACACAGAGCTATCAGACTCACAGAGAGATTTGCTCAAATACATCAGGTCAAAGTACATTTAAAGAAGTGGACTAACGTGTAGGCTTCAAAGTCTCCATTGTTGATGGCCTCAATCAGTTGCTCAGTGACTTTAATAATCTCCTGTTTACGAGCTGAGAGGGGAATAAAAAAGAAAAGGTTAGATTAGATGGAAAACACAAGCCTTAATAATAATATGACATGGGGCACAAATTAACGGAACCAATGCAGAACATGAGTAGGATGATGCAACACCCTCCCTGGCAAACTGTGTGTTTATTTTGGATATTTTCATAAAAAGCCTGACACAGCAAAAATAATGTGATGGACTTCACTTTGCAAACAGTCTTAGTACCGATGACCTTTACTGACACTCAGTAATCAGATTGCTGTTATCAATCAGTTTGCTAATGGGGTCCCATATGCAAACCGTTTATCTAACTGAATAATTATATAAGATTATGTATTGGAATATTCCCATATTCCAATACATAATAAGCCTTTACTATGTCTGAATCTGTAAGAGTCTCTGAAAGAGTAGATGCAAGAGAGGATATTGGATTACCTGAACAATATAAAATAAGCCTTTAAAGGCTATAGTAACTTTATTTATTTCAGGAAATGAGCTATGACCGATATTCCCAAAAATGTGTCTATTTTTTCCTTTTTATATTTCTGTTCTCAAGTAAGGGAGTCAGTTGACCATTTCATTATATTTTGTCAATTAATCTGGCGAACATCTGCTCTTTGGCCAACAAGATGGATGAGCAACTGCTCCTCTAAAAAGCTTAAATGGGCCAGCAGATCCACGCCTTGTGCTTCACTGAAACCTGGCTAAGTGAGCACATCTCGACAGAGCGCTGCATCTGGTGGGTTTCAACTCCTCGGAGTACGAACGTAACTGCACTGTAGGGGATGAAGAGGAAAAATGTTTCTATATTCCAACATATATTAGTGTTATTATGTTTGTTGTGTAAATCTGGATATAGATTTAGATATATTTAGGTAGAAAATTAGGGCTGCAACTAACAATTGTTTTGATAATCGATTAATCGGTCGATTATGTCAAAAAATGAATTGATGAATCGGATTAAAAAAACAGCATTAAAAAAACAGCATTAAAAAGCTTTAATTCAACCCTTTATTCTAAAACAGAACTGCAAATTCACATTGCAAAAATACTTCAGCAAGTACAGGTTGCTCCTTGCACATTATAATAAAAAATTAAGATAAACACAAATGAGGAAATTTAACAAGATTTATTTTAATGTCAGAACTCACAGACGCACACTGTCGCAACTCTCACACTCAAGACACACTCGAAACACACACCCATGTTCACTTAAAGCTTATTCATTACATTGAATTGTTATTATCATTGCACTACAATGATAATTTACTTAAATGTATACACCACATCTAAGTACAGCTAAAAAACAACCAAGTGGAGGCTTCTTAATTGGCTTTACAGCAGGGCTCTTCAACTAAAATGTGAAGAGGTCCAGTTAGAGAAAATTTCTAGAAGCAAAGGTCCAGAAGATCATAATGTGACTACTTAGTGTGATTAAATACAGGAATAGAGTTGTATCAACATTTGCATGTAATCAATACACGACATTTGCATGTAATCAATCCACGACTAACAAATCAAATGAATTCAGTACGATTCTAAAACTCCTTTGACAATATTTATTGTCACGTAACAAAGAACTGAACATATATGTATGACTGCAAATATAAATCATGTTCTCTCAAATAACTAAATAAAAGTATGGCTGCATCTAAAGAAAATAAATAAAATGTCTGTAAAGGTCTTCAATTCAGAAAAAATAAAATACCGGGAAGAGAAGCTTGAATTTCACCTTTTGACACATTTTAACTAGGGTGACCAGATTTTAGTTTGTGAAAAAGAGGACACTTCGCCGCAAGGGGGGGGGGGGGGTAGTGTATAGCATGCCGTACCATGACCATGTGAATGCATACAAATGTACCAAATGAAATGACAAAAATGACACAAATGACTATATGAACATCTATTTATTGAACGTTAACAAAACTGCAAAGTGCAAATGTAAAACAAATCTTTTTTGTGGCATTTAGTCTAGCGCTCCTTTAATGTGTCTTAGTCCATATATTGAAGCAATAATGATAACAAATAAAGAAATAATAAATACTTTATATAGTCACATATTAAAATAAGAAAAGCTTCCAAAGGATCACGGCCGAGGTGAAAAGATGTTTTTTTTTTTTTTGTCTGTCCGTAAACTTACAGTTACGTTACGGCATGGCTGCAGATGTCATATGCTGTAAACAAAGCAACTAGTGGAGGCGGCAAGGTGCTCAGTGTTGCCAAATTGGAAATGGTATCGTACCAAAGGCTCAAAATGGTCGTATTTGGAGGATAATTAACGTGTATGTGGCAACATTGAGGTCGGTCGACCAATGACTGTTCTCTCTACAGTCAGAGCTCGCGAAAGAAGGTGGAACGTAAGGGAAATACCATTTCCAAAACTTGTAAGGGCGTAATAACTAGTTTGTGAAAGAGCCAGAGAAACACAAATATCCGACAAAGCAAAATCCCGGACGTTTTTGGAATCGCTGCCGACGCATTTTTAGGTCTCAAAAAGAGTCCGGGGAAAAGAGGACGTCTGGTCACCCTATTTTAACAATTGAACAGTTTAATATATATATATATATATATATATATATATATATATATATATATATACACACAATATATATATATATATATATATACACACACACACACACACTCTCCCACTTTTTTGGTAAGTGGAATTAAGATCTAGTTTTTCCTGCCAGGATGTTAAACCTGGTCTTAATGCATCAGGGCTGTTCTCCTCCTCACGTGGAGGAGCTCATTGCGCACTTGTTTCAATTCATGGTTCTAAAAGTCTTGCGTGTCACCTCCAGAACAACATGTAGAGTAAAGGCTGGCGCATGCTTCTGTGTCGACGCACTCGTTTCAATCCATGGTTCTGCGTGTGTTGCAGAGCAAATTATTGCATTACATTACATTTAGCCGGCGCTTTTATCCAAAGCGACTTACATTACACGAGTCCATTACAGCCTGGACTCGAACCACCAACCTTGTGTTTCCCAGCACACCTTCTCTAACCCCTGCGCCAGATCACCGCCAGAAAAACAGGCGGAGTAACGTGTTTTTGTTGAAGACGACCTAGAGAGTCACGTCTATTTATTCATTTATCATAGACTTTATTGCCCCGTGCAGACACTGCTGCTTTCGACGCAAGCCTAGAAAAATGGCTCGACACACGCAAGGACGCAAGGAGGTGTAGAAAGCGACGCAAGGGACACGCAAGGGGGTCTTGCGTCTGCGTCGCTCTGAAAACGCAGAAGCATAAACTAGGCTTAACGTGTTTCTGTTGAAGACGACCTAAAGAGTCACACAAAGGTGTGTGGAAGTCGTTGGTTTGTTTATTTATTTATCATAGACTTTATTGCCCCGTGCATCGCCACTGCTGCTTTTCATTGCGGACACATTTGTCCCGTATTTTCCTCCACAACTTTGTGCACCTCTCGACCGGCAAACCGGCGTTTGCGGCGATCTCCCTCCGTGAATCCAACCCGCTTCTACAACCCGCCAATGACGGGTTGTATAAGTGGTCATATTTACGCATTTCTTCCGACAAAAGTTCTTCAATCTGATCCGTTCTCTCGTAAACATTCTTCGTTTTAATAATGGCGGTATTGTGCTATGAAAGCGGAAATGTGCGACTCTGTAAAGGATGTAGTTAGAAGACCAATCGCAGCCTGGTGCGCTGCGGGAGGCTTGCGTTGCTTGCGTCGTTTTCGACACAAGCCTAGAAAAATGGGTCGACGCACGCAAGGACGCAAGGAGGTGTGAAAAGGCACGCAAAGGACACGCAAGGGGGTCTCTTGCGTCTGCGTTGCTCTGAAAATGCAGAAGCATAAACTAGGCTTTAGTATGAACAGAAACCAGTGCGTCCATTGAGGATTAAATGTTCTTGTCCATTTGTTCCTCATTTTTCTCACCTGTCCCACTCTCTCCCTTTCTCCGTCTCACTCGTCTCGTTGTCTCAAATTTCGCTACCTTTCTTTTCTGCCTACCGTCTTTTTATTTGAAATTTGCTGCTACCTCTCCGGCTGTCCGCAGTATAGAGAAGTTATCGTCTTGCCTGGAATGCAAAGGCTCATTTGGTCAAATGGTATCACGTGGGATGGTTTAACTTGAATGCAATTGGTGCTGGGCTTTAAGGCACTACCGTAAAGACGACCAAAGCTGCGCCGGCCGAAAAGTGCGCTATCACGTTTAAATCACAACATTGGTCCAGGTGGGACGGCTTCTGGGTCCGGATCCGGACCGCGGTCCGCCAGTTAGTGACCTCTGCTGGCATAACATCAACTACTGTAAAACCCACAGTATATGCACAAGCGCACTAGACTACCGTAAATGACAACATTAAAAACTACATACAAATACATTTGTCAACAATAACCAAGAGCGCTTGTTGTCAACAATAACCAAGAGCGCTTGTTGCCTGCTGGAGGCTCCTTACGTTCTTCAAGTCAAAACGGGACAACGTGGTGCTCCTGTGCAATGTTACGTTGAATTTGCATATATTGTATTGACACACTGTTTTAGTTTATTTAGTGTGAAATGCTCGCACACCTTGGACGACTTTACTTGAACAGACGTCTTTGCCTGCGGCATGTGACTCAGAACTGGGGCGCTGCTGGCTGCGCTTTCCTCTACGTCGACTCGGCTCTTTTTTATTTTTGCTTTGCGCGCAAATCCGCAACTCATTGAGTGACGTAATGATTGCACGACACAATGAATCGATAATGAAATTCGTTGCCAACACTTTTAATAATCGATTTTCATCAATTCGTTGTTGCAGCCCTATAGATAATGATTTACAGTCAGAGGGAAAGGGAAAGCTAGAAGGAGGCCCACAGTTAGGCCAGCCATAATAAGACTCCAATCATGCAAGGTTGTAGAGCTACAGAGACAGAAGAGTGCCATCTTAAATATTGCAAAGGCCCAGGAAGAGTGTAGGGCTACTAGCAGTGGGGCAAAGGTCTGATGAGTGTAGGCGCTACAACACCGAACCAGGGGGGGCAGGTATGAACGTATATTTGTGTCTTTATTATGCAACCAAAAGAACAGTTTTGAGAGCAAAATTCTTGCATTCCATTGGTCTCGGAACAAAAACTTTTGAGTTTGGACGTAGTGGGCGGGGCATAAGCTGCAGAATGAACCAGGAGTTTCTATTGTTGGTTGTAAATTGAAATGTTTTGAAGTTTTGAAATTGAAGTGTTTCCAGGACTCCTACTCCTACTCCTACTAACTACATAGATATGTTAGCTTAGTATTATGTAGGCAAAAGTTAATTTGTTTTGTTGCTTTTGATTCAATTATTACATTCAGACATTACATTGATACCGTCTACACTACCTCAGGTAATAGCTTAATGTTTCAATTGTTTCAATACAGCCTGTAGAGTACACTGTAATGTCCTTTTACCATGTCCATACATCCAAAATCCCTTTCCAGAATGATGCACGTGAAGCCACGGAGGCTGCACGACCCTGATTTTCAATGTTAACGGCCACACCTGAAGAACCTCAGGGACAACGGCAGGGACAGAGTCAGATGATGGAGAGATCTTCAGTGCAAACTGAAACGGCTGGGCATGCACTCAATGAGGCAGTTAAATGTGTCATTAGTCTGTTTTTTACCTTGATGTGCAATTACGCAACTGTCATGTAATTGTGCCCTTTTGGACCATTTGAGTTTTGTTGAGTTTATTAGAAAGTTATTTGGTTATGGGCAACTATTCTTTACTTTGGAATACTTGGATGAGGTGTGCTTGGCTGAGAGGGCAATTGGACTTCATGTGAAGACTACACAAGGCACAAGGGCCTGAAAGTCTATGACCTCATCAAAATGATGCAGACAAAGCGAGAAGAGTATCGCAGTTTCTGTGTTTATTTAAAAAAATTAAAAAAAATCGCAAATTACGCATTTGCCTCAGAGGGCTTTACAATCTGTACACATGCAACATCCTCTGTCCCGAAACCCTCACATCGGCACAAGAAATACTCCCCAAAAAATGAAAATCCCTTCCATGGGTAAAAAAGGGAAGAAACCTTAGGGAGAACGTCAAGAGGAGGGATCCCACTCCCGGGATGGACAGACTACAATGGATGTCATGTGTACCGAATGAACAATGTAAAAGATGTACAATACATTCAATTCCTATAACAGAAATTATTCAAATAATTTCGAGTAGCAAGCCAGACGCACGGCAGGACCACTGCAGGGACAACCACTCTGAGTAGGTTGACTCAGAGTTGATTGAATCAACTCTAAACAGCTGTTCTGAAACCGAAAACTCAGGGTTTCCTATCTCAGGGTAAATAAACTCGGAGTTTATGGTTTGACTCAGAGTTTGTTAAACCTCCTACTTCAAACGGACCCTGGTCTGCGATTGAGCCATTACGGTGAGAAAGCCTAACAATTTAAGTCCCCTGCCTCACACAAACACATTGCCTGATTGTTCTTCCGCTTCATGCCAGACTCTCCAGCACTTGTTTTACGACGGATCACCTGTTGCCAACCCTGCCTGCCCCTGTTTAACCCGCTATCCCAACTCCCGATGAACCTACCGGCAGGGCGGCAAAAGGTGATCCGTCGAAAAACAAGTGCTTTGTCCTATCGTTATTCTGCCTGCTGTTCTGGAGCTTAAAATAAAAGGTCAAACATCCCCTGAGCCGTGTGAAGTGCGTTTGGGTCCACACAAACCATTACAGTGGGCTAATGTTAACGTCAAATGCACACAGAAAGAGGGGCTTCATGTCAACACAGCAGCCCACCATATCGTTCTTTAATAAAATACTATCAACATGAAAGCAAAGTGCTGCTGCATTTAAATACTTTTGGCAAAATACAAGGTCAACTTACCTCCATGTTGCAGGGGGCAGTCACCTCCCGTCAGTGTTTAATGGCGGAAGCAAACACCGAGTGCCCAGTCAAACCACCAATAGAAACTCCTGGTTCATTCAGATCGCCAAAGTTTTTGTTTCGAGACCACGACACGTTTATTTTTATTTTTTTTGAGCAAAGGTTTTTGTTTTGCAGCCAAAAACAAATAAATAATTTATTCTCAGTTTATATATTTTTACTTCCAAACTTGAATTTGGTTTGTGATTTAAGAAATTTGCTTTGTTTGCATATTAAAGACACAAATATACCTTCATACCAGGCTAGCATCAACACACACAAGACAGTTATGGGGTTAAGATAAAGGGGGGACATGTTTTGTGTCGCGTTTAGTGAGTTCTGTCCGATGTTCACTCTGCTCATTGTTGTTGGTTACTTCAATGGAGTAAACCTCAGCAAAGAACTGCCCAAATACGGATAGCATATTAAGTGTAGCCCAAGAGATAAAAACAGTCTGGACCACTGCTACACTGTAATAAAGGATGCATTTTAATTAGCTTTCAAAAGTACTGGACTACTCATACAATACTGAAACAAGCTGGAAAGCATACCCTCACACGGGGAACGATTTTGTTGGGAATGGCATAGGGGTTTTAGTTAATAGCTAGTTTGAAATAAACACTTAAAACGAAGTTATACAAAATTCCTCTTTTTGACTTTTTTTAAATGAGGAACTGACTGACATTAAGATTACGTGCTCAATGTGTGGTTGCACATCATGTGTGTCAGACACCTCTTTTCCTTCATTCAGTGTGGAAGTTCATTAACTTTTTTATCATCTGTGTCTTGAAATATGTGAGTAAGTCAGACATAATCAAACTCAAACCACAACCTGTAGCTCGTAGTATTAAAGCCCTTAGATATCCTCTGAGCAATGAAACAAATCATAACCATAACTCTTAACAGACAAAGGCCATGTATGACCTGTCCACTAAGAGTCTATTAAACCTGTTTCATCCTGCTTCATCCTGCTCTGAAAATGGCACACCTATGATAAAAAGTGTAATAACTCTGTAACTGCTTTGTCTATCTGGACAATTAGTTTCTATGGGGATACAGGGGAACCCCTGTGAATGTTCTGATGTGTAATCAGTTTATATGTTACTGGTGAAGAAATAAATCACTATAAGACACAAAGAAAACCATCACATTTTTTTAATCGCCTGAAATCAAATCACTATCAGCCCTCTAAATCCTATAAAACATGGAGATACCAGGCTAAAGGTCCATCTACGTGATAGCACAGTGTGTGGGCAGTACAAATGTTTCAACCAATGTACCACAAACAGGTTTAATAGGGGCCCTGAGCTAACGTTCGCTCCTGAGGCCCCTACCGCGGATCGAGTACATGGCACTGGGCCAGCCATGACTCACTAAATGTAGCAATAAGGCCCATGAGAAATGACATACTGAAACTGATAGATAATAATACAACATGTAATGCATTTATACAATAGACAGAAGGAGTAACACTGTTAACAGAAAGGTCTGATCATCCCTACCTCTCACGTCTTCGTCCTCAATGGTTGTGTTGGCACTATCACTGGACTCCTGTGAAGAGACACATTAAAACACATTAAGTGTCCGCAGACGCGAAAGCACATCAAACAGCAACCTCAAACATACAGGATCATTGCTGTACACACTACATACAAATATGCCAACACCAATTTACTGGATCTGCTGTAGCTCAAGTCAGACAATATTATTGCCTTGACCAAATTGATTGGTTGATGCAGTCTAAAAGTTTAATGTTGAAGCAGGAAATGAGTCTGTAGATTACAGGTCATTTAGCTGACTCTTTTATCCAAAGCGACTTACATTGCATTTTTAACCCATGGCTTCTTTTCCATTTTTGCCCAGGGAGCAATTAGGGGTTAGGTGTCTTGCTCAGGGACACTTCGACATGGGTCAGTCGGGGCTCAAACCACCAACCATGCGGTTCCCAGTGCACCCTCTCTATCCCTGCGCCACAACGACCCCATGTAGAATGTGTTGGTAGTTTGGAATAGATCTTTTTAATAGTAGTGAGTTTTTCTGTTGTTCTTAATAAGTGTGGCATACCTGCACGTTTAAAAAACTGTCTGAGTATCTATTTTTAGAGTATCTTACGTTGCATGACATAGTACTTGTTGAATGAGCTTAATGACATTAAAAGAGCAGAATATTGCATTGGCAGAATTAATACATTCAACAAAATGCTTTTTATATATGATGCTAAACAAAACACTATGCACAATAACTCATAGTGTATTTGTACAATGTCATTTCACAAAGCAAAAAATACAAGCATCCACGTATTCCCACAATGTCATCGGATGCTACATGCCATACCTGCACATAGACATGGGAGATTGCAGGCTATTCACACCTTTAGTGTCCATGGTTTTGCATGGTGTTTATTTTGTTTCAAAAACATGCAAAATCCCTTATGACAAAACCATGAAACATTTTAAAATGACAATACTGGCTTTTTCAGAAGACCGATAGGAATAATGACAGAACCTCATTAATTAATTATTATTGTTAAGATCTTACAGGGTGACAATCACAAACATATCCAAAATGTTATATTATGTAGTATAGAAAAATGTATAAATGATGATTAAGTGAAAGAGTTGATAACATGCAATATTTTACAGAAATGTCATAGTCCCTTGTAATTATCACATGTGGCGAGTGTACAAAGACACACATATCATCATCATCATCATCATCAGAAGCAACACTGAGGCTCCATTAGAGGCGCAAACATTTAATGCAAACTACTTGTTCACACTGATCAGCTGTGTACCTTGTTTCCATCAGCTGGGTTGTGGATAATAGTGGTTTGAGGCTCCTTATTTGAGAGGACCAACATAGTGAGAAGAGAAGATGGTGCAGAAAGGAAGTGAGTTAGAAGTAATGTTGCAGAATTTTTTTAAGAGGAAAGGAAAAGATTTGCAAGTTTCTACTCAAACAGATCACTACAGCACGACTACAAACACACACACACACACACACACACACACACACACACACACACACAGGATGTGATGGTTAGTGGAAGGTGAAATTGTTCCGTGTACATCAAGTATGCCAAGTCTTTCACATAGATGATCGAGTCTGACAATAACATGACAATCACTGACATTAAACACAGACACCATGAAAATTATCCCTCAACACATGTATATGTGTCTTTTCTGGCAAACCACCAAAGAATTCCCATACACAATACACTGGATGCAACAGAGTGTGTTACATTTTCAAAATGCTTTTACAAAACTGTTTGCTGTAGAGCAGGGGTCTCAAACTCATTATAGGTACGGGCCAAATGCAGCCCACTTCGACCGAACACGGTCCGGACCATCACGGTCGACAGACAAATGGGCATGCCATGGTGCAGGAAGAAGACACGGGTGAATGGGACTTTAAATATCGCCCTCATCACGTTTACAATTGTTCACACCTCGCTGAGCGCGGCAGTTTCTCTCACCAGCGGACAGAGCCCACTACTACTACACTACCGAAAACGAATTACTGTCAAAATGCGCGCTGTTTTTCAAACAATCAAACATTCACGTGGAAAAGTCGGTTTTGAGAGAGCAATTTGCTCGTTCGCAAAACCTGAATCTGCACGCTCAAGATGGTATTTTCTGCGCACTTGCAGTTTTTGACACTAAGGGGGCGGACCCAGTCACCATGGTATCTCTACATCTAATTGGTTACAAACCCTGCCTTTGGATTGGCTGGAGTTATTCAATTCAATTAAACTCATTTTATTTAGTGTAGCCCAAAATCGCAAATTACAGATTTGCCTCAGAGGGCTTTACAGTCTGTACACATGCAACATCCTCTGTTCCGAAACCCTCACATCAGTTATGCATTCACAGAACTATAGAAGCCCATTTCCACAATAAAGAAAGATAGAAAGTTGAAATTATGAGATAAAACGTTGTCAAAACACAAATGACACCGCTCTGTAACCGTAGTGCACCGTAGATGACAACCAGCTACAACCCTAATTTATAGGGGTGTAACGATTCATTCACTGAATCGATTAATCAATTTATATTCCTGCGATCCAACTGAATCGATCTGTGCTCCGCAAATCGGCATTCCGGACAACATATATCAATTACAAATCGATTGAAATGGTACATAATCGATTGTATCGATACTTGGAAACTGCACATTGGATTTAAGTACAAAAACGGTGTGGATGTGTGTTTGTTTGTTTGTTTTTTAGCACTTTAGACACGTTAAACGATTCAATCTGCCTGTCTGTGACGTCATCAGTACGCAGCGGCAGCCGCGCGAAACTCTGAACAACAACAAACACAGCGTGGAGGAGACGACTGCGAGCGAGACATTTACAAACCAACTTATCGATCCAGCGTGTGGAAACATTTCGGCTTTTGCAAACACTGAGGTGTTCTAAATAAGTCGGTCGCTGTTTGTAGAATATGTAGAAGCTAAATAAAAAAAAACACGGAAACACGACGAATCTTTCCGGCCATCTACTAAGGCGCCATGGGATTTAACAACGCCGACAGTCAGGCACCTCTAGCAGCGTTACCGCTGCAGCAGCAGCAGGTAACTCCAGCTCTGCAGACACCTCAGGCCTCGCCAGCACGAAACTCAACATCACAGTAACAATTTCCAAGTTTAGCTGTGAAGACATGCGACCCTACAATGTGGTTGAAAATCCAGGGTTCTGTGAATTGATCCAAACATTGTGTAATTATTGTGTAATGTTTACATTGAAAATGGCACTTGATTCAAATAAAAGGTTAATACATTTACCATCAATTGTTTGCTTGTTTATAATATCCATAATTAATTTAAACCTGATTTCCTTACAAGAAACAACAGGGATCTCAGAGACTTTGCCTGCACTGTCCAGTAAAGTCACTGAATCGAATCGTTCTAAATTAACCCAGATCGTCCATGAATCGAATCGGCAACCATGAATCGCGATTCGAATCGAATCGTTGCTAAAATGAATCGTTACACCCCTACTAATTTACCATCATTACTGGCACTTCAGCCGCATATTAAGACCAATGCGTCCGGCTCGCAGACCGGTCCGTATTGGTAAAATAAGGTTTCGCTGACGAGCTATTGAACCGAGAAGTCTGTGAATATCTTGCCAACTTTCCCGAAATACGAAGTAGCCTGCGTATATGTTCTCATCTTCCAATTGATCCGTATTGAAAGTTGGCAAGATATTCACAGATTCAGACTTCATTTTACCAATGTGAACCGTGTGTGCCTGATTTGAACAAGCGGGTTTTACTGCTTCCAAGAACTAACAGCAGCAGATTCCAGTTTGGCTCATTAAACGGGAGATCCAAATATTTTTGATGGTAAATGTAGTCTAAATGATGTAATATATTTCTCAGATGAACAAAGATTGGATGTTCACATAAAAATGTGGCATATGTTCCTTTAATTCAATTGAATTAATTTTATTTTGTATAGCCCAAAATAACAAATTACAGATTTGTCTCAGAGGGCTTTAAAGTGTGATGTAACAATCAGTAAAACTTCACTTCACACTGTGAGGATTAACTTTTAATTGTGTAATTCGTCTGTGGTTCAAATGCCTGCCAAACCATGAGGGGGGATCCGTACATATTACCGACCAATAGTGGTCTGGAACTACACTTCTTAGAAAACAACATGAAATCAAATCAATATCAACGTTGATTTATTAGTGCTGAGGGTACACTTTCTGCCCTGTAAAAAACTCTGAATGCAGCTGTAAATAACATCGTTATCTTGTGTGGCTTTGTTTCTATCACCTCCCTCATTGTTATGTTGCATTTCGTGCTAGTAAATTGTCTACATTTACATGGTGTACTCAATAACAATGACGTCAAATCAGCATACCAGACATACCTAAACGGAGATTGTCCACATTTAGTACCACCACTTAATTGGAAACCGTTTTACTTTTTTAAGACTAAACAAATTATTAATTCATCATTAATTATTAATTATTTTCTTCTCCATTGTATTGGGATGTTGGCTTGAGACACAACCTGAACCTTTACCCTAAAGTTGATTCTCTGCATCTCTTGATACCTCAAGGGTTACCCGTGAAAAAGCCATTTCTGATGTTTGGGTGATGTAACAGAGGCAGCATGTCTGGCTTCTAAACACCGTAAACAAGTGAAACGGAAAGACACATTTACAAGTCGTGGGTAGTGATAGGAGAGGTACAAACACATTCCTTGGTGGTGTCAATGGAGGATTTTCATCACATGACAGCAGAGTGGAAAATAGCAGCAATGAAGCCAATTTCCTACCGTTTACTCATCATTTACAACAGATTCTTCAGCTCAGACAGCATATGTAGCTTCTTCTCTCACACATTGACAATCCAGGAGGGGAATCATTATTGGCTAAAATTTTTAATTTTAGAGCAGTTGTGTTGCTTGACTTCATCGACTACAATGAGTAGAGTATTCCGAGAACCTCCTGCTATCTTTGTTGAAGGAATGAAAACAAAGCATTGTGAAGAGTGCGATAAGAACGCAACTTACTTTGACTCCATCTGCTTTTTTGTTCAACAGGCTCTTGGCTGCTGTTTAGAAAAAGAAAGCAATGCAAAGTCTATTAAAAGCTAGCCAGTTACGATTAAAAAATGTAGTCAGTCTGCGCAGCTTAGCCTCTCTTTATCCTTTTCTCTACACTTTTCATTTCAAAATGTTTTATACGATGAATTACTGTATACTAATTATTGTTTAATTGCCATCAGTCTAATTTGTAGTCACAAATTTTAAACTCTGGTGACCCACATACAGTTGTGGTCAAAAGTTTACATACACTTGTAAAGATCATAATGTCCTGGCTCTCTTGAGTTTCCCGTTATTTCTACCAGTCTGCAAGATTTTTCTCTGAGAGTGATTGGAACAGATACTTCTTTGTCACAAAAAACATGAAGTTTGGTTCTTTTATGACTTTATTATGGATTAACAGAAAAAAAGTCTGCTGGGTCAAAAATATACATACAGCAGTGCTAATATTTGCTTACATGTCTTTTTTCACTTCAATTAGGCACTTTTGATAGCCATCCAAAAGACCACTCCTTTTGACAGAATTGGTGCAGTTCAGTTAAATTTGATGGCTTTCTGACATGGACTTGTTTCTTCAGCGTTGTCCACATGTTCTCAATGGGATTTAAGTCAGGACTTTGGGAAGGCCATTCTAAAACCCTAATTCTAGCCTGATTGTCCTGTTGGAACACCCAACTGCGCCAAAAAAGACCAAACCTTCGGGATGATGATTTTAGGTTATCTTGAAGAATTTGAAGGTGATCCTGCTTCATTATCCCATTTACTCTCTGTTAAGCACCAGTTCCATGTGCAGCAAAACACAGCGCACACACAGCGTAATACTACCACCACCGTGCTTGACAGTAGGCATGGTGTTCTTGGGGTTAAAGGCCTCACCTTTTCTCCTCCAAACATATTGCTGGGCATTGTGGCCAAACAGCTCGATTTCTGTTTCATCTGACCACAGAACTTTCCTCCAGAAAGTCTTATCTTTGTCCATGTGATGAGCAGCAAACTTCAGTCGAGACTGAAGGCTGGCGCACGCTTCTGCGTCGTTGCACTCGTTTCAATTCATGCTTCTAAAAGTCTTGCGTGTGTTGCAGAGCAATTCACCGCCAGAACAGGCGGAGTAACGTGTTTTTGTTGAAGACGGCCTAGAGAGTCACGTCTATTTATTTATTTGTTTATTTATTTATCAGACTTTATTGCCCCGTGCATCGCCACTGCTGCTTTTCATCGCGGACACATTTGTCCCATATTTTCCTCCACAACTTTGTGTACCTCTCGACCGGCAAACCGGCGTTTGCGGCGATCTCCCTCCGTGAATCCAACCCGCTTCTACAACCCGCCAATGATAGCTTGTATAGGCGGTCATATTTACGCATTTCTTCCGACAAAAGTTCTTCAATCTGATCCGTTCTCTCGTAAACATTCTACAACATTAAACATTTTAATAATGGCTGTATCGGGCTATGAAAGCGAATATGTGAGACTCCGTAAAGGATGTAGTTAGCAGACCAATCGCAGTCTTGTGCGTTGCGGGAGGCTTGCGTTGCTTGCGTTGAAAGCGACGCAAGCCTAGAAAAATGGCTCGACACACGCAAGGAGGTGTGAAAAGGCACACAAGGGACACGCAAGGGGGGTCGTGCGTCTGCGTCGCTCTGAAAACGCAGAAGCATAAACTAGACTTTAAGGTGCCGCTTTTGGAGCAAGGGCTTCCTTCTTGCATGGCAGCCTCTCAGTCCATGGAGATGCAAAACACGCTTCACTGCGGATGCTGACACCTGTGTTCCAGCAGCTTCTAATTCTTGGCAGATCTGCTTTTTGGTGGTTCTCTGTTGACTCTTCACCCTCCTGACCAATTTCCTCTCAGCAGCAGGCGATAGCTTGCGTTTTCTTCCTGATTGTGGCAGTGACAAAACAGTGCCATGCACTTACAAACTGTTGTTTGTGCACTGTTGCTCTTGGGACCTGCAGCTGCTTTGAAATGGTTCCAAGTGACTTTCCTGACTTGTTCAAGTGAATGATTCGCTTTTTCAGATCCATGCTGAGCTCCTTTGACTTTTCCATTGTAGCATTTGTAGGCGTTTGTGTCCAATGAGCCCTATTTAAATGGCCTCAGAGAAGTCACCAGCTGTAGTCACTCATAATCACTCACAAGAAGTTAAGAGGCCATGCTATGAAGCTCATTTCATTGATCACCAAAATTGCTAATTCATGTTGCTGTATGTATATTTTTGACCCAGCAGATTTTGTCACTTTTTCTGTTAACCCATAATAAAGTCATAAAAGAACCAAACTTCATGAATGTTTTTTGTGACAAAGTAGTACTTATTTCAATCACTCTATCAGAGCAAAATCAGTTGTAGAAATAACTGGAAACTCAAGAGAGCCATGACATTATGTATGTAAACTTTTGACCACAATTATACTTTACATATTCTGTACCAGAGGTTAGAAAGTCTAATAAGGAGAGCAAAGTACTGACACCTTAGTAAATATAACCTGCCTCAGTACCAGTCCCAGTGTGAAGAAGCGGTCTTACCTTACAAATGAGTTACCACATGGGGGGGAAATAAGTTAACACTATGGTCACCCGAAACTGATTGTTTTGAAGGTACAAAAAGAAAGTGTTTGAACATTTTGCCTCTTGTCTAGTCCTTCAGTCAGGAAAAGGCCCTCAAAATAGCAGTATTTCAACACTAAGTAATAACGTAATAAAGACAGGAGTCAGCACCGCCTAAAAGTACAGCATGTACAATGTTGTTGTTATGGATCAAAATTCACTCTGCAATAACAGGATTAGCATGACATTACCATGACATCGGTCTTCATTGGTTCAGTCATACCTGAGAAGTTACGAGTGGCCAGCATAGTAGTCAGGATAGCACCCTAAGGAGAGAGACATTTACACTTTGAAGGCCAAACTTCATTAAATTGTTTAAATTGGCTTAGCGGTTAATGATTTTTGATTAGTAATTACGATGATTATGATTCTAGATATGACCACATAGCAGTTATTAGAATTAAGGGGACCAGCGTTTTTAAAGAAAATACCAAATTGATTAACTTTCACATCAGAGTCGATTGACTCCTCCGACCAGTAGATATTGAAAGTTGTCACTTACCTTGAGTTTCCTTCTGGCATTGAATTTCTTTAGGCACTCCACAGTTTCCTGTCTGTGCATCATGGAGGCCACAGTGGAGCGTTGCTGTAAATACAAATACACAGTTCTCGGTGTTATAAAGTCTGTCCAGAGGCATTCATTTTATTAGGGGACAAGCTGTTTGACTACATATGGTGATGAATGAAAGAGCAGATGTGAAAGTGTATGTGACACCTACGCAGATCCAAGGATGTTTGAGTGCATCAGTGGCAGTCACTCTTTTGGCTGGATTAATGGTGAGCATCTTGTTGATCAGGTCTTTAGCTTCTGGAGTCACTGTGTCCCACTCAGGAGAAGGGAACTGTTCAAATAACGGCATCACAGAAATATTTTGAGTGTCACTTATTTGTTTATAGTATGCATCTCCACTGAACAGCAATCAGTGCACAGGGAGCTGATTCAAGAGCAACGGCAGCAGGATGCCCTTCTCCTTGCAAACATAAGTGACAGGCGGCAGCCCCTCCAGCACTAAGGGAAGCAACTGTTCAACCAAATCCAGGTAATTCTATTCTCAAAATGACATACTGTGGCGATATAAAAGCCTACCTCCTGATGAGTAGTATGAGCACTTATCACTAATTCTACTCACTACACTGGCTCCAAGTTTAGTTCTGGATTGAATATAAAGTCCTATTATTCACCCATAAATGGATAAATGGACATGCTCAAACCTCCATCCGCACCCTCAGATCTACAAACGGCTTGCTCCCCCAGGTCCCCAACACCAAGCTCCACACTAGGGATGTCAGGGTGCGGGGAAGGCAGGACTCAAACGCAGACTTCAAACCAAAAAAAGACTTTAATCGTCACAAACTCCAAAAGGGCAAAAAGGCAGGCAGGAACTAGGACCATCCAGAACAATCAACAATGATGCGACAAGTCACAAGAGACACACACGGCTTAAATACACTAGGGAGGTACAGGTGATTGGACACAGGTGGAAACATCAGACAATCACAGGGGATGACAGGACAAGGCAGGAAGTGAAGTTACCCAGGGAGACAAGAGGCAGAAAACTACAAAATAAGACAGGAAATAAACCCACACCGTGACAAGGGAAGTCCCCAGTAGGCCGACGGGGTTGGTCCAATACCAATTTAAACTACTCATCGCAATCTGAATTCACACTAATGGTTTCCATCTTCTTTACTCTTCTTCTATCTTCTGTCAGTCTAACTTTGTTTTAGATGTTGTTAAATGTCAATCACTTTAGCCTACTCAACACTTGCGTAGACAAAACCGCTTTTGAGCGTGAGCTGGCAGCAGTGTACCGGCACCAAAACGTCATATACGTTAAAAAGTCTTTAACGTTGGAATTGAAAAGCTCAGGGATGGCTCAGATGGCTAACATATATTTATTTATTTGGGAAACCGAAATTCTCCCACAATACTCCACTCTCACATACCATGTGCTCACATATCCTGTAAATGGGTCTGGTCCAGCTTACATCCAGGACATGGTCAAACCCTACATCCCAACCCGCACACTCCACTCTGCATCTGTCAAACTGCTTGTTCCTCCCTCACTGAGAGCAAAACACTCAACAAGATTACGACTCTTTAATGTACTGGCTCCGAAAGGGTGGAATGACCTCTCTGATGACATCAGGACCGCTGAGAGCCTTTAAATCTTCCGCCGCAAACTAAAGACACACCTCTTCAGACTATACCTAAAAGACAAACAAACAAATTGTAGCACTTAAATTGTACTTACAATGGCTCTTATCTATAGCAGGTTGTAAATTGGCTTATTTAATGAAATTGCTCTTTCTTGTTTCTTGTTTTTTTGAGTTTGTATCCTTATGCTTGAAATGCACTTATTGTAAGTCGCTTTGGATAAAAGCGTCAGTTAAATGACATGTAATGTAAAAGACACCAACTGGTGACAGTGATATTAAGTTGGCGTTGACTTGGTCAATGTCAGCTTGCTTTTCAGCCAAATTGAAAAGTATTTAATAACTAACAGAAACAAATAGTTACAAAATGAAATACGCTATGAATAGTGTAATATCCCCCGGAATAGAGAATCCTCCTTTACCAGTTTAACATGACCATCAATAAAGGTTATCAGGTGGCTTCTGATTGTCCTATCCCCAATTCAGTTTTTTGAAACTTTCAACTAATTTTATATGTCAAAATCAATCCGTTGCCAAGGAGGGCTATCTTATATGTACAGCTACGATATGCTATGCTCCTAAACTTTAGCCTGACTTCATTGGATAGAAAATATGGAAGAAATCCATCAAGGAAGGTTCAAGTGTCCCCCAAGCTGAACATTACATTATAGATGGATGTCATGTGTACATTATTAAATGACTTACAAGATATACAGTGTGTTCAATTCATATTACAGATATTAATGTAACATAATAATATAATATCTTATATCAACTACAATTCTACCACTAGTCATGATCACACATATAATAATTTCTACCGGTAGGCGTGCTTTACTGCTCTAAATCCTAACACTATCCATAGTGGTAGTTGTGAAGGGGGCAATTTAGCATGCAAGCAAAGCTTTTCTACGCTGAAATATATCAAAAAGCAGCTCTCTCTCAACAGCACGTGAAGGCTTTTATGTTAATGGGTACAAAGACAGATGTTTTGCAGATGCTGAATAGTGAGACAATCATAGACAGTGTTGCAGAAAAGAGTAAGGTGCTGCAAGAACTACTCATGTAGTGAGGTAATAATCAGAATCATTTATTTGCCGAGTACGTTGGACTTTAATTAAATTAACACTAGAATATAAAATAAAATAATAAACTGGAGAACATAACAATACTACACTTTACAGAGGTGTGTGAAGGTGTCAAGTATATTTGAACGTGTCAAGTGTCAGTCAGTGGGGTACCCGGGCTCTGTTGATGAGCCTGACTGCTGATGGGAAGAAACCTTTTGTGTGCCGTGAGGTCTTGTAAGGGACACAAACTGTTTCTGTCTGGGTTGAGAGGGGCATTCTAGCTCTCTTCAGGGTCCTTGAAGCAAACAAGTCCTGGAGGTACAGCAGATTTCAGCCAATCACCCTCTCTGCAGAGCAAATTATACTCTGCAGCCTGTCCTTGCCAGTGGCCCCACGTACCATATGGTGATGAGTATTGCTCATTTTGAGAATCGCCTGCAGAAAAAAGCTCCCACTTGAGGTTCTGGGTAATGATGAAGAAATCGGAATGACTCCACAACGTTGGCAGGGGAATAACCCAGGGTAATCGGGGAAGTTGGGCCTGCATTGTTCCTGAAATCCACTACTATTGCCACTGAGAGATTTAAAGCATAGAGCTCAACGCAGAGTTAGAGTGGTTTTGACTGCACCACATCACCAGACGGTCAGAATCCCACCTGTAGGCGGACTTATCCCCACCAGAGCTGAGTCCAATGAGGGTGGTGTCATGTGCAGGACGGACTGTTGACTGGAGCTGCAGCTGTTGGTGTACAGGGAGAAGATCAGAGGGGAAAAAAACAGCCATTGGTGGAACCGGTTTGGATGCACAGAGAGGCTGAGACATTTTTCCCCAGAATCACATGCTTCCTGTCAGTGATCCACTTGCAGACTGTTAGTAGCAGACCTGAAGAAAAAAATGAATCCCTGTCTGTGCAGTCCAAGCATGCCCAAAGAGCCTCCAGAGTCTTACTGGTCCACTTCTTGAATTCCCTCACCACAGATTTGCAGAGCTTTCAATTCAGCTTTCTTTGCCATCAGATGGACCATGATGTAGTCACAATCTTCCAGTGCACCACGAGGGATGGTGTGATAGGCCCCGCTTATTGTGGTGTAGCAGTGATTCAAAGAGTTCTCCCTGGTTGGGCCTTTAATAAACTGTCTGTAACTTTCAAAATAAATGTCGGCCAGTGGCTCGTTTTTCGATTTTTTTTCTTCTTTTTACTGGTTTCTGAATTGAATAACGGAAAAACAAATAATTTTTGGTTTATCAATAAAAAAACGAAAGAACGAATGATACACGGATTCCATACTTTCAACTAGAAGCAATATTGGAATCTTAAGGCAGAGGAAATCAATCAATACTGTCAATAAAAGCCTCAAAAGGCACAACACATTTATTAACTTGCATGCATGGACTTTCTTACCAAGCCGTTCGATCCGGCCCGCGACTGGATTCCAAAATTGTGAGGATCAAAGAGAAAATATGTAGGCCTATTCCACACTATTAAAGCAACTAAAAACAGCAACAACTGAGTCTCTTATCAGTAATCACCACCATTTATGACTCTATTTAGGCTACACTCCGAAATGAGGACAGACTGGTTACAGTGTTTTATTGTTTCTCACAGGGTTTTTTTTAAACATAACTTTTCCTCACCTTACTTAACATTCGGGTTTTTAGTTCAAAGTCTCAACAACATGCTTGGAACCAGCAGACTCCTCAGGACTAAAAAAGGAGGAAAAACGATCTGGCACAACTTAAAATAGCATGTAAATAAATAGCCCGGAACCAGAACAAAACAGGTCTCAATTAAACGTTAAGTGGGCGAAATCAAATCACAAGGCTGAAATGGACTACTAGTCACACTACTGAAGTTACATTTCCACTCTGACACCAACTTTTTCACATCAGGCTTGGCCGCTGTCGGACTTATGCGCAAACAGTCCTCCAACACTGTCCCCCCCACTGGGTTGAAAGTCGGTACCTCTCGTGCGGTTTAATCAAGTTCATCTTGGGAGAACGCAGCCTCACAGGTGTAGGTTGAACCGAACATGGTGAGCACATACATAGCCAGCGACCTCGGGACAAGATACCAAAATGCGCTCAGGCTTTCAGCACCACGGAGAGCAGCCTTCATGTCGCCTGCGGCCTGAATTTCAGCTAGCTCGCTCTGAATGGCTGCCTCGTCCACCTGCAGCATTTTCACCGTGTTTGTGGAGAATTCTCCTCTTGGGGTGATGGTGAATGGGTCACGCACAAATTGAATGACATTCCTGGAAATAAAAAAGTCATCGAATCTAGCAGAGAATTTGTCTTTTAATTGTGTAATAAATGTCTTCATCTTGTCTGTTACGTTGCCTTCTCCCACCGTCTTCAGTGTGTTGAAGTGCAGAAGCCTCCCTGACAACAAATCTGTGATGAACAGATCAAGTTTGTTCCCAAAGGCATCAAGGTTTTCCAGCAAATCCACCACTGATTTTTCTTTTCCTTGCAGCTGGAGATTAAGAAAATGTCTGTTAAAAACGCAACGTTGCACATGTATCCCATGTCTTGCATGATGCGGAGATGGTCAGCTGCTGCTTTGGACTTACTTTGTTTTAAAAAATCCACTACTTGGGCACGGAGTTCAACGAAGCACTCCAGTGCTTTGCCCTTACTAAGCCAGCGCACGTGATTGTGGAGTAACAGGTCATCATGAGAAGCCTGGGATTCCAGCACGAATTTGCGGAACAGGCGGTGCTGCGTGCTTGAAGTTCCTCTGATGTGGTTAATCATTTTCATTGTTTTCTCAATTACCTCTTTCAGCTCCCCACTTAGCTTTGCGCACAGCACGCTTTGATGGATGATACAATGGAGTGCGTTAGTTTTAGGAGCGACAGTCTTTATTCTGCTCACCAGACCCTTATCTTTTCCAATCATGGCAGGTGCACTACTCTGTCCATGGCTTTTAAAAAAATCCTCCAGTTTTCCAAAGATGATGTCAGCAGTGGTGTTGTCCTCGAGCGGAAGCAATGCCAACAGCTCTTCTCGGAAATCTTTTCCATCAAAGTATCTGACAAAAACTGTGAGATATCCATGTGGACTCAATAGCCAGCGAAATATATTTGGCTTCCTTGACCCAATCAATAACAGCTCGCTGGACTTGCTCCGTCAAAACGTGTACACGATGTGCATTCTTTCTTGAGGCAGATGGAGGTACTTGTTTGACAGATGCAATAACTCCATTGCTGTCCATTGATTTGTCAGTTCCTCCAGAATGGTGATCATGCACTCCTTTAAAACCTCACTTTCCGTGAAAGACCGGTTATGTCTGCAAAGCACCCAAGCAGCCTGCAGGGATGCACACGTTACTCTCTCTTGATCAGTTAAATTTCGAGTAATAATGCCACTTGCACAGGAGTAGGCAGATTTCAATGCCGCGATTTTTCTCTGACGCACCTCTGACTGCTCAGGATATGAAATCTAGAAATTTGAATGTTTAGTGTCGTGGTGACGGTGCAAATTGTATTATTTTGCAACAGCAACAGTTTCGTTGCAAATTAGGCATACTGGTGAGGCATTTCAGAAGGTTGGCATGATAAATGCGTACTTCTCATTCCAGTCATCATTGAAGGACCTGTTTTCAATATTAACTTTGCGTTTCATAGCTTTTCAGTGCCATTTTACCTCTGTTAAGAGACCCTTTCCTGTCACTTCCTCTGTGTTTGTTTTTACAGTGCTCTATAAGTAAAGTTGACGTATAGGTGATAGTAGCCTGACTCATAAAGGCCTTCAGTTTTGTAATGAAATGGAAAAAGTATAAACAATAAACATCAAATCAGAATGTTATACCAACATTTTATTTTTATTTAAGGGCCCCCAAGGAGACGGTCTGGTAAAATTCTGGCCCTCTGAAAAATATTGTTGATAACCCCTGCTCTACCGTTCAATGAGTTCAAGAATATAACCAGTCAGCACAGCACATTCCCAATTTGTATCGGCTGCTGCTACGCATAGAAGAGAATTAGTGTCATTATAAAACTCACATCATAAGCCCCAGCTTTGATCTGCTGATAGAGTCTGTGCTGGTCCTCATCCCAGAATGGAGGGTATCCCACCAGGAGGATGTAGAGGATCACGCCTATACACACACACACACACACACACACACACACACACAGAGTAAATGCCAACTGCCAAAATGCAAGAAGAACATAAAACAGACGGAATGTATTTTAGTTATCTCTAGCTGCTTCCCTCGGCTACCCCCCAGATCAACGAAGCAACAGTTTTTATTGTCTTACCACAGGCCCACATGTCTACTGGCTTTCCGTATGGATCTTTCCTCAGTACCTCTGGAGACAGGTACCCAGGTGTACCGGCAAAACCTGTGACACATACACTCATAAACACAGCTGCCCCTTTATTGTATCTTTGCTTAGCCCAACATTGAATTCTCAACCTGCTGTATGTCAAAGTCTATCAAAAACTAAAAAAAAAACATTTCCCAGTATAGCTAAGGACCAGTGGTCCCATAAAGTCAAGTTTATGAGCCAAGGTTAACAATGGCAAAATAAACCTTTATGGTTTGGCTACCAGCAACGCGTAGCCTCCTTAAACAGCTTCAAAGTTGCAGCAGACCTTTTGAGGCATAGTTTGAGTTGTACTAAAAGTCAGAAGATTAAGGGAACTCGTTCCAGAAGGAGGCTGCAGATTGGGAATAGAACAATTATTTTTCTGTTCTACAGGGAATACAGAGAAAAAATAGGTCTGAAATAAGTCCACTCCAAAGAGCCCAGAGAAGTGGCACACCTAGACCCTTTAGCTGGGTACACAGAGCATTAATGATACAATACATCTCTTCAATTAAAGAGGTTCATTGCATTTTCCAATTAGAGGGAATACAAAACTAGGACAAAATATCAATAGTTCTGTTTTATCGGCTTAGTAAGAACTTTCCGTCAAAAGAGTGTATACGCTATAACGCTATATTGTAATCTGAGAGAAGCTCAAGCATTTAGAGAGGTCCGAAATATAACTGTAAATCAAAGAGGATACCAATGTTTTACTTTTTTTAAAAGAGATGGATTTTCCCTCGAAAATTCCCATTGACTGATATTAGCATTATGCCGTAAGACTGTAATTAAAAATGAAAGATCACAAAAAGCAACCAGGCATTAATTTATTCATCACAAAATCATTTAGAAATTGTCATGTACTCACCGAACCATGCCTGCTGGTCTCCCTGCACCTCAATAGCCAGGCCAAAGTCTGCCAGTTTGACCGCTGCCCCCTTCAACTTGCTGGCTAAGAGTAAATTCTCTGGCTTGAAGTTAGGAGACAAAAAAAAAAAACTTGAGGTCCTTGCACAAATACAGCAATATCATTATAAAATTATAATAATCTTGTAGTGAACCAGTAAAGCTTTAAATATTTTGATGTGTTTTTGTTAAGCAGCAGCGGGACGGGCTGTTACGAGTTCACAGGGTGATAATATTAGGAAGACATGTTAAACAAAGAGTTTAAACAGTTAGGACTGAGAGTGGAGCTGGAGAACAATGGAAGCAGCTACAGGGTAAATGTAGGAATGATAGCTAAAGGGAAAGGAGGAGAGTGGGAGGATTATGGGTAAATGCATTCACCAGCATCATTGCAAACAATCTCCACCAACAGTTTACCCCAGCCCACTGAAAACACCCCTTCGCATTCACTCAACTTGTCAAAGTTTGTTGAAGAGGTCTTAAGGAGCGTTCTTCTGCATATGTAAGTTAAAAGTTCCGTCATGACATCACAATGACTTCCCGCACGAGTGCTATTGATGCTGCCAACAAGGAATCATTTAGACCTTTGTGTACACCACACGCTGCAGTTGAGCATTGACTGGCCCACAGACTATGAGGGGCCGTTTAGGGCTTAACTATTGAGACACTCTCGCGAACACTAATGAGACACACTTACACGTACATATGAGAAACACACTCGCATACATATATACTTCTGTGTCATATACACATACATATGAAATACATACATGCATACAAGTGAAACATTTTTACGGATCTGAAACACTCATACATGCACATATGAAAAGGTTGCATTTGTATCCTTAAATAACAAATAGTTAGTTAGTAACTAAAAGATAAGTGTTTGAGCACTACAAAGTGGGTTTCCTCCATGGAACTACATTGTTCCCCAAACACAGCCAAACACAATAGAAGAGTTTGTTTTCAATTAGATAATATTAATTTAAAATGCAACTATAAAAGGTGCACCCAGTGTATGAACCTTTGTTAGGTGTTTCTGTCACAGCCATTGCTGTTTGTTTGATTGAATGACTGCAACCCACAATGAGCGGACCCCCTCGTAAGGCATCAAAAATACACTCAATTAAAAGAAAGCGGCAGCAATGTATGAAACACACTATTCAAAGTAAACTGTTCTCCCCTCACTGTGTCTCTGACAGCAGGGTTAGTCAGCAGTATGGTTATATTGAAACTTCTGTCTGTTCTTTTTCATTACTACATAATTGTATTTAATTGTTTAAAACTTGTTTTTAACAGGATAACCATATGGGGACTTAAAAATACAAAACTATGGCTGGTTTTATGTAGTGCTGGAGTGTTTTGGGTCACAGGACAAAACGGTAAAGATATTCACAGTAAGTGCACTTACCTTGAGATCGCGGTGAACCACCCCCATCTGGTGGCAGTGGAGCACAGCCTCAAGGATCTGCTGAATGCAATGACTGCATGCAAACACCAGGGGGCCATGTGTTAGTGACTCACTGTCTGTGGCTGTCAAATAGCTTTGAGACTCAGGAGTGGCTGACCATGTTAGCAGAGAGACGATCCAGTAAAATGCCATATTCAGGGCCACTAAGTAGCCCATTAACTCAATGTCCAAAATATTTATCCGTTATTGCTATGTTCACCTACTGATATTTGCTGTGAGAAGTAAAGAATAAAAAACGTAGGTGTAATTTCTGTAGTTGGCCCAGTAGTGTAGTTATCTACAGCTGTGACAACACGGCCGTTCCCTCCCAGAGTCTCCAAACAGAAGTGGTGTTGCCCCTAGCCAGTTGGAGGCTGGCCACGGGGAGGCTGAAGAGGGAGACAAAGAAGCTGCAGGAAAGTTCTCCTTAATCTGAACACTTTTGATGAATGGAAAGTTTGTTCCTTCTTTATTCCATCAACAAATATCTCCAAGTATATTTGTTTCTCTCTCATCCTCCTTTATGTGTCTGATTTATTTTAATAATTGTATAATTTAATGTAATGGTGATGTTGGAGGGGCGTTCATTATCATTTGGAACAAACAGTTCATCCATTCATTCAAGTGTCTAAAGCCACAAACTCCTCCTCCTCTACTCCCAAAGGTGACAGGCTCTCAGTGTCTGCGTCAGAGCATGGAGTTGGAGAGATGCTACATGCACTTTTTGCCCTGACATACAGATTCCCCCCCATAGATTACACCGGCTACCACCTGTCCAGCCAACAATGCCCTGCCATAGGGGAATTTAAGGACACTGTCAAATTGCGCTGTGTGGCGTGACTGTTGGCGGTGAGGTGAGGTTAGGGAGGAGGTGGCATTCACTGAAAAGGTTAATTGCTCAACTGTTGAGGCAGTGGAGGAGCAAGGCAAGGTGCTGCAGGCGCCTTTGAGACGTTTCCCTGGTCACATACTAACCTTAAAGTCCCTGTGTACCATGCCATTTATGTGGCAATAATTTACACTTTCTAAAATCTGCTGTGTGCAGTGACTGTGGAGGAGAGACACCAGACCAAAAAAAAAGAAGAGGGAGAACAGGTAAATGTCCAGAAACAAGAACAGGCAGACAGAACATAGCATACGCATGAAACAAGAACAACTATTTAACAAACAGCTTGCCGTTCTGTGAAATACCACTATTCACTTTTTCCTCACGAGAACAACCAAATTATCTATATCAATATCATGTCTGTCTGGTAAGTACAGAGCTGGAGTAATGACGATGGAGTCATCTCGCCTGGAGATATAGGTGATGATCATATTTCTTAATAAATAGCAATGTATCCATCCTCATGGCACAATGCAACATATTAATAAGATAAGTATAATTCAGGCTGCCAGATACAGGGGAAAACAAGTTTGATGTAGGTCTCTGTCCATTTAAAGTCATACCAAAAAGATTCTCAGATTCAGCTGACAACCTGACAATTACTGGACCCAGACATTTAGCAGAAAGGGTAATACTTCAAACCTAACTTTTAACCCTAGAAACAATAATGAAATCCTCTTTATTTAAACGGTACATTAGCGCCGTAACATGTAAAGATGACAATGTTTAATCATTGATCTGTTTAACAGTTTCCCCATGGGATCCAGTGAGGCCCGCCGGACGACTTGCTAAGTGTGAAACTGACAGAAAGACTTAAATTGCATTTCTATAAAAAGTAGCTGCTATTCCTAGAAAGTCCACTGCGGGTCGCACTCTGAGTGGGCGCACGCGTTAGACCAGGTGGATTGCCTTCCTCCATTTAGCAGCAGCCGCTTGAAAATGACGGCGCGCAGGGTCATCGCACCCTCGTCGACCGGACCGTCGCCTAGGATTTTACTGGTCCGGCCCGCGTGCAATCAAAGTAGACAGTATGTGGTCCCCTACCTAAAAATGAATTTGACACCCCTGCCATAAGTAGTTAACACACAGATGATATTATTTATTTGTTACCCTTAAAAGGAAACGACATCGGGAACGGTTTCTTTAAGCAATTTCAACACAAAAGTAGGGGGAAATACATCTATAAAGCTCTTTCAGATTCTTACAAATCAAATCCACTTCAAACCAAAATCCAGACCAAACTTCGATAATTGAAGCCATTTGAAAATCTTAAACGGAAATGCTGGGATAAGGAATGTAACTTTACTGTACAAAACCCACCAGAGAGGGTTCTTTTCTGAAGTGGATTTCAATAGCTGGTCAGATGGTGAACTCAAGTTAGTCACAATCTAACGTCGTAATTCCAATAATATCAGGTAATATGCTCTATTGATATTAGGGGTGTAATGATTCATTTTAACAACGATTCGATTCGAATTGCGATTCATGGTTGCCGATTTGATTCATGGACGATCTGGGTTCATTTAGAACGATTCGATTCGATTCAGTGACTTGAAATCGATTCAGTAACTTTACTGGACAGTGCAGGCAAAGTTTCCGAGATCCCTGTTGTTTCTTGTAAGGAAATCAGGTTTAAATTAATTATGGATATTATAAACAAGCAAACAACAATTAATGGCAAATTTATTAAGCTTTTATTTGAATCAAGTGCAACCATTTTCAATGTAAACATTACACAATAATTACACAATGTTTGGATCAATTCACAGAACCCCGGATTTTCAACCACATTGTTGGGTCGCATGTCTTTACAGATAAAGCAATTGTTACTGTGATGTTTTTCGCCCGCGCTGAGTTTTGTGCTGGCGAGGCCTGAGGTGTCTGCAGAGCTGGAGTTACCTTCTGCTGCTGCTGCAGCGGTAACGCTGCTAGAGATGCCTGACTGTCGGCGTTTTGTTTAATCCCATGGCGCCTTAGTAGATGGCTGGAAAGATTCGTTGTGTTTCCGTGTTTTTTTATTTGTTTTCTACATATTCTACAAACAGCGACCGACTTATTTAGAACACTTCCGTGTTTGCAAAAGCCAAAATGTTTCCACACGCTGGATCGATAAGTTGTATTTCAGAGTTTCGCGGGGCTGCCGATACGTACTGATGACGTCACAGACAGGCAGACTGAATCGAGTAACGTTTAACGTGTCTAAAGTGCTAAAAAACTAACAAACAAACACGCATCCATACAGTTTTTGTGCTTAAATCCAATGTGCAGTTTCCAAGTATCGATACAAATCGATGATGTACCATTTCAATCGATTTATAATCGATATATGTTGTCCGGAATGCCGATTTGCTGAGCACAGATCGATTCAGTTGGATCGCAGGAATATAAATCGATTAATCGATTTAGTGGATGAATCGTTACACCCCTAATTGATATGTATGGATATTTTTTGTTCACTGCGTATCTGCTTGAACATACCTGGTCAAAACAAACAAAATAGCCTTCACTTCCCATTTATAAAGTAAATTCAGATATCAATATAACCGAGCTTCACACTAACCTGGCATCGGCTTCGCTGTAGTACTCCCTGGCAACAATGTCCTCGAACAACTCACCGCCGGTAACTCTGGAGGAGAGACGGATGAAGTGAAAGGAGAAAATCTGCGTCTGGAGAGTGCAAAGGGCTTGATAATGTGGCACACTACAAATGTTAGTTTATGCATTTGTTTTTCTTCACAAATGGGTTTAAAGTGGGATCCTGTGCTCTTCTGCCTGCAGAGTGGAATGCCTGCAATGATATATTTCAGCAGATTGTCATACGTTATATGAACATTGTTTATTCAGCTGGAAGAGGTTTCCATATCTTTCCAGAAAGTTATGGCTAAGAGCCAAAGAAAAGGAAAAATATCCTGATGATGTCATCAGTTCGTCAGTCTCCAAAGTTTTGTAGGCAGACTACAAACATTATTATTCTGGTATTAGGGAAAAAAGCGCTCTGGCTTGTTTTGGTCTCTTTAAACCAGGGGTCCCCAAACTACGGCCCGCGGGCCGCATACGGCCCGCCTCCACATTTGACCCGGCCCCCTGAACAATACAGAGACGAAAAAAGACTAATGGTTATGGTAAATGGTTGTGTCATACAAGTAATTACGACTGCTCGACGGATCGCGGTCCCTTTAAATGTTCTGTTGTTGTTGATGACGTAGAGCCCGTTGATAGGGACATTACAGGGCTGCGCCATCTTGTTTTTTCATCCGTTGTGAAAAATAAACGAGACACACGCTTGTTCTCAACTTTCTCAGTGGAATGCAACTTCCACAATAATGGCAAAACGGTGTGGTAAGAGAAAAATTGATTCAGAATGCAGGGTATTTAACCCGCAGTGGACACATTACTTTTTTGTTCAGTTGAAAGAAAAGGCTGTTTGTCTCGTCTGTCAAGAGACGGTGGCAGTATTCAAAGAATACAACCTGCGCCGACATTATGAATCCCGTCACAAAGACAAGTATGCTAGCCTGCACGGCCAAATGCGAGCAGAAAAAATGTCTAAGCTAAAAACTGGACTGTTCGCTCAGCAGACTACATTTGTACGGCAAACTCAGCTGAACCAAGCATCAGTTCGGGCCAGCTTCCGTGTTGCTCAGCTGATAGCAAGCTGCGGTAAATCTTTCACTGAAGGAGAGTTTGTCAAGAAATGTTTGAATGTTGTCGTGGAGGAGGTCTGTCCCGAGAAGAAAGATGTCTTTAATTCCGTGAGTCTGTCGGCAAGTACAATTACCCGACGTGTTGAAGAAATTGGGGGTAATGTGTATGCCCAGCTGCAGCAGAAGACTAAAGATTTTTAGTTTTTTTCATTAGCACTGGATGAGAGCACGGACGTGCAGGACACCGCGGAGCTTCTTATTTTTATTCGTGGAGTTAACGCAAACTTTTTGGCAGCACGTATATCTGCGAGCAAACCTTTTCACGCATGAAACTCCTGAAAACTCCAACGAGATCAAGATTGACAGATGAACATTTGCATCAGTGTTTGAGACTGGCTGTGACTAGAATGGAACCGGACATTCAACTTCTCTCCAGCCAGATGCAGGCCCACAGTTCACACTGATGAACACACAGTACATAGGTAAGCTCACTTTTCTGACTTATATCAGTCATTCTGTGTATCAACAAATGTAATCATAATAAAATCTATTGGGATAAAAATCCATCTCCACAACCATACTGGTATTGAAATGCATTGTGCTGTATCACTTAGTTTGGTTTCTTAGCCTGCTTGCTTTGTGCTTTTCAGGGGGAAGTTGATGAGAGGGAGCCTACAGTGGTGTCTACTGGGCTAGCCTATGGAACCTACAAAGAACACAAGAACTTTAAGAGACATTTGAGATTCTGCTGTGACAAGTGAAGTTTACCTTTTATCTAGGATTGTGCATGGCACAGCATAACTTTTCTTTCTGTGAAGAACCCAGAGAGGGTTATTTGATCTCAGAAAGGGTTATTAATATTTGTATATGTGTGGTGTGCTGGAGTAAATGAGAAAGAGCTTGTTTTCTGCTTGATGACAATGACCTTAACTAGCTAGACTTTTACATATTTGTTTGGACAATATAAAATAAAAAAAGTTATCATTCAAAATGACATCCCATCCAAGTAAACTGAGCATAAAAAGCTATGAAAAGATCTTCTGGAAGCCATCTTTCCCACATGAAGGATCTTGTTTTACTCAGTAGAGAATAGAACTTGTGACACATACTAAAGTAAAAAGATCTGAGTGAACGATTATATCTACTGTCTTGGGTACTTATATTTAAAGCGGTCATCCCAAATGATACAATAAGGTTCCCTTGCATTATCTCAGAATTGAGCAAAGAGTAGGCAAAAAACTGACGCAGGAGTCATGAGCACTTACAAGTCAAAGACCAGATAGTGGAATCCTTCCTCTGATATGCTGTCATGGAGGCGCACTGCAAGGAAGAGAGGAGAGTTTTATTGAGTTATGTTAAATACTACTAGATTGGCAGCAGAAGGAGCTGTGTGAAGGGCGTATCACAGTGGGGTATGTGCTTATTTCAACTGTTGGTAGAGATTTGTGTCCTTTTTTATACATAGCAAATGATAGAGAATCTAAATAAAACAAAAAGCAGTCCGTACTCATTCCAACAGTTATATACATGCAGTGTCATTAATGAATATTGACCTCTGCATTTAAACCACCCTAAATATTAAAAAGAGCATAGGACTAAGGTTTTTCAGTACTTAAGAAGCAACTTTGGTTTTGGTGTCTACCTCCACAAACCTTTGACACGTGGACAGACTTGCATAGTGACCAAACAACCAACCTAGTGGTGAAAAGACCGCCCGCTCTCTCAACTGAGCTAGAGCTGGGCACAAAACACAATGCAGCCTTTTCTTAATAGCGCCACCTAGCATGCAATTATATTTAGCAATATAATGATAACTGGATTCACCCAGTTACTGTCATGAAGAAAAAAAAAAACTGGTGAAAGTTTTGTAAATAAAGTCGTGCAGTTGACGCTCCTTGAGCTCAAGTCATGAACCTGAAATATCATTTTAAGTTATTAACATTTGAAACATTGAGAATAAATACATAAAGAATCTCGACTTGCTTTGCTTCGTGATTATATACTAACTTTACATTTAGTTTTGTTTTATGGAGCCAGGAGGAAGCAGCATCAAACTGAAGCGAACAATGTGTGTTGTGACATTCAGCTACTGTAGCTTGGACATATTCTGTAATATCTTAAGGTTTCAGTTAAAATAGCTCCTATACTAAGCAAGAAAAAAAAAGTCCTTGCATACGCGTTAATAAATGTGTTTGCTTTTGTGGTTTTTATTGACAGTATTGATGGAATCTCCCATGCCTTAAGATTGCATTATTACTTATACTTGAACAGAATTAGTACATGGCTTAACTGAACAGGAGTTGACGCATATCTTTCTAAATTAAATCAAATAAAAAGAAGATTATCTTCTCTATTTGTACCATTTTTTGTGTTTTATGGATTTTCTGTTAAGCACAGCACGTTGCTAGGAAACGGCAGCATTGGAGGTAAAGCTGATGACGCAAGCAGGATGTCCCCCTGTAGGGCAGGCAGTCCCATTTCAGAGACCGCTCGGTTCGACCTATGCGGCTGTTGGAGGATGTTGTCTCACGCTCCCAATTCTTATTTTAAACATAGGGGGAATATACAATAATTACACGTCTTCATGCTTTCAATGTGTGGCAAAGTCCTTACTGAGAGGCAATTATCATTTTGGGGCTCGTGCAGTAATAGTTCAGAACATCTAGTGTTTCACAAAATTTTACCGGCTTAGCTCAACATTGAGCGATTATGGAATGGCTATATTACAGAATTAACACTGACAGTGAACACAGTAAACACACCTAAGCTAACAGACTTAACAGTGTGAGCAGAGGAGTACAAAATTGAGGTAACATAACTTACATCATCAATGACTCAATCTAACGGATCTACTGTCCGTAGCATGTATTATTCGCGGTACCGGAAGCGGAAACAACATGCGCTGTCAAAATAAAATTTCAAAATAAAGGCATCAACATTCTCTCGTGAAGAATTCACAACAGCCGCCCCCATATTTGAACAGCAAATGTGTAATAACAGGAATTCTTCATGCATCATTAGCATCATTCTTGAACTCAGGGAGCTGGATTAGACGAGCTACCGGTCTGGTGTAGACCTTACCGTTCACCAAGACCTCTGCAGTCCAGATACATCCGTCATGATTAGGGACTGTCTTACAAACCTTCCCGATCGGCCACTGAGCTCTGGGAAGCGATGGGTCAACGATCAGAACGACTGCGTCAACAGCAATGTTATTAACGGCCTTCTGCCATTTCTGCCGTGTTTGAAGAGTGGGCAAATAGTTCCGTGTGAACTGGATCCAAAACTGGTCCACAAGTGCTCGACAGTGTCGCCATCTCAGTCTTCCTATGCATGCTGGAGCATAGGCCACCTGTGGCAGCGAGGCATCCCGCCGCCCCATGAGCAGGATGTTAGGAGTGATGGGGTCCGGGTCAGTGACATCAGCTGACACATACCCTAGTGGTTTTGAGTTGAGGATCCCTTCGCCCTCTACTAAGGTTGTGTAGAGGACATCTTCAGAGACTGACTGGCTCCCAACTGCCACTTGAAGGCCGGCCTTTATGGAACGGACCTCTTTCCCATACTCCACCAAAGTGAGGGGCACTAGGTGGGTTGAACTTGAAGTCGATCTGGTATTCCGTCAGCTGTTCCTTCAGCTGTGGTTCCATGGCTGCGAAAACCTCACGTTCCCGTTCAGCACCACGGAAATTAGTACCGCGGTCGGAGTGTAACTCTTTCGGTCTGCCTCGCCTCGCGATGAACCGCCGAAGGGCAAGAAAGAAGGCGTCTACATCCAGAGAGTTGAGAAGTTTTATGTGGATGCCACGGGTTGTGAAACACTTAAAGATGGCGCCCCAGCGCTTTTCCGTCCTCCTGCCTATTTTGAGCAGGTAAGGGCCAAAACAGTCGACGCCTGTTGAATAGAAAAGGTGGACAGAGAAGCCGCAGGCGCTGTGGTGGCAGGTCTGCCATCTGCGGGACCTTAGGTTGAGCTCGCCAGCGTTGGCAGGATGGACACTTGAGCTGATGTTGTCTAACAGCTTGTCGTCCTCGCAAGATCCAATACTGCCTTCGTAGTTCTGCATACACCCACTCCGTACCTGGATGTAGCAGACGTTCATCCATGTGTTTGATAAGGAGTTTTGTTGCTGGGTGCTTTGGATCGAGCACAATCGGATGGATCTCTCCTAGGCTTGTGTTCTGCAACCTTCGCAGCCTCCCTCCTACTCGAACCAAAGCGGTTGAAGGGTCCCATTCTTCAGGTTAGCAAACTCCTTTTCGCTGTCAATGGAGAAGTCTGGGATTTTGGGTGTTGGCACACCATATGCAGAGCGGTGTGGCAAACCGGGGCTGTATGTGGTCACTGTCTGACCTGATGGCAGATGCATCTGATGAGCTGAATATGAGTTATCCCTCGGGACAGATAGAGTCTGCTGAGGTGGTGGAATTAATGAAGGCAATGTAGCATACTGAGGCGGGCCATGGCTGTAGAGGGTGTGAGGTATCACTTGTGGTGAGTGGTAACGTTGTGCGTCTGGATGGCTGTAGGAGACTGCTGCAGGCTCATGTATCGGAGCCGTAGCACTCAACTGTCCACATACTCGTCTTGCATCACCACAGGGGGGAGGTAGCTCTGAAGCATGAGACTGCAGTGGTTCTGGCCTGGTAGAGCTCTGCTGGGCCCGAGTAGGTGTCATCATACCTGATGAAATTACAGAATACGAGGAACCCCAACGATCTGATTGGGCTGGAAGTACTGGGGTAAACACAGAATTTTGTCTCAGTTCACCTGCTATAGGGGTGGAGGTTCTAACCTCAGTCTCTGGTCTCCCAAACATACGTCCTGTTATAGTGCTACCAGCCTGAGGTTCAATGTCCCTGGCACGCTCTTCTGGCGGTGAAACCAAGTAGCTGGGGAAATGAGGAATCGATGAGGTTGAGGCACGGGAGACGAGGGCGTTGATGGTGGTGAGGCGCTCTTCTCTGTCTCCCTCTTCTCTTCTTCCCTCATGAAGGAAGCAATGTGCTCCAGCAGCTCCTGACGACGGCGGAGTTCATACTGCTGGAGTTTATGTGTTAGCTTAACCACTTCAGCATCTTCCTCCTTCTCATTCCTAGAGATGGATTCGACGAGTCATTTTAGTGAAGTGGTGTTCAGCATGTCATCAGAGTTGGTATTGTGTGAGACTGTGCGTCGGTCCGAAAAAGAGGCTGCATCCGCTCGGCTACCGTCCGCTGCGGCCGCTGCTCCTCTCTGCGCTTCTGTAGTGTGGGAGGAAAGGGCAGGTCGCTGTGGATTGTAGGCAAGGACGTAGTCCTCAAGATGTTTAGGGACGCGATGATGTCTCACATGACTCTGTTGCTCTTCATAATGAGGCTGATGGGTAAGTCTTTCCCCAGATGCCATCTTCTGTAGTAGTCAATATATATCAGGCTCGAAAGGACCATTTGTTGGGGATTCGCCCCCTGAGATGCTGTTTTGTTGTAGGACATTGACCACTACAGGGTTCCGTTCAGAGAACACGCAGACATCTGGTTGGTGAATATCCTTCTGTATTTATCCGTTGATGCAGGGTCACAGATCAATTGACAGAAGGAATTAAATTAAATATCAATCGTAATTTAAAGCCTAAATATTTTTATATTAATTTCAAACTTTAAAAAATTAAATTAAATAATAAAATAATGTTTATTTATTTATTGTAAATGACATCTCGCGGCGGCACACACTTTGGGAATCGCTGCATTAGACTTCTTAGTTGATTTAATGGATCACCGTGTGTCTCCCTTCACAGGCATAACATCAACTACCGTATAACCCACAGTATATGCGCAAGCGCACTGGACTACTATATAACAGCATTAAAAAGGTACAACACACACAAATATATTTGTCAACAATAATCGAAATGGGACAAAGCATGAAATATATACAAGACAACAGATTGAAAAATGAATGGTTCGGTCACGGGCGGTCCTATCTATATAAACTTGTGAGGGTGACACATAAGATTGTCAAAATGTTGAAAAGGATATTTACCGCTACATTACAATGTTCCCTAAGGTGACAAAATGGTTATGTGTGTGTGTGTGTGAGCACAATGTGTACCTGTAAATACGGTCAAGGATCAAGACGACCTGGATTGAGGAACACACATTCTGGATCCCTTTTGGATTGTATGTTGTCAAAAGCACAATGAATGAATGAATGAATGAATGAATATGTGACTCCAGTGCACATAATCCATATTTAATAAATCATCTATAAAACCATTTATGCCTAACGTTTGTAAATATTGAAATGCAAAGATCAATATATATGAAACATAATTCTGCCTATGGCATCCTAGGGTTGACAGAAAGACCGTAAATATAATGGGATTACTAGTTACCAATGTTGGGATGCTTGAGCAGGCGGCAGATCCTGGCCTCTCGCTCCAACTTCTGGTGATCTGTGAAGAAAATAAGACGATCCGTCGGTTATCACCCAACTGATGAGCTAGTGCACAAGGATTACACACATCAGACACCACCCACCTTTCAATTAATTTTATTTTGTATTGCCCAAAATCGCAAATTACAAATTTGCCTCAGAGGGCTTTACAGTCTGTACACATACAACATCCTCTGTCCCAAAACCCACCATCGGCACAGGAAAAACTCCCCAAAAACCTTTACCTCCACTCGAACCGTAGCACAAGACCGGTCATTTGCAGCGTTTTCGGTCTTTTTTTAGAGCTAAAAACTGAAATGTCAACTAACAATCATGCAAAATCTGTTATTTTGAATGCGCACTGATGTGGATGAAGGAAGCAGGCATCCAATATCAACTATCAAAATAAAAAAATAAAGATGTGGCATGCTCCTTGGTGTGATTCACACAGGAGATGGCTTGTTTCTATCACCATCAGGGTGAAGAAATTGAGGACAGCTGCTATTGCAATTCACTTGCATGTTTTCTAACTCTCCTGTCATTTCAGATCCTCCCACATCATCAGTTCATTACCCTCACCTGGTTCTCCTTGCCCTTCTCACCTGCAGCACATCCCCTCATCAGCCACTCATGATTTAGGCCCGTCACATTCCGTGGTTCCCTACCACAGCGGTTCCCAAACTCAAGAATGCCGCGGCCCAATTTGATATCTGAAAATCTTTTGCGGCCCACCCAAACCTTTAATCACAACTCTGATCAAAACATAATGATTAAATGACCGTAAGAATTTAACCGATTAAAAATGTATTAACCGACAATGTATGTTTTGTATACCATTTTCTCCAGAGCTAATGTGCCGTGTTTTCCGCACAATAAGGCACATAAGATACTGCTGTCTATGGCGGCAAATCACTGTCAAAATTCAAGAGAGCAAATCAGGTTGATGCGCTCGCGTCAATCAAACATCCGCGAGCAAAAGTCCGTCTCGAGATATTTGCTCGCTTGCGAAACGTGAACTTTGTTGCTCGCGAGGAGAATCTCTGCTCGCGCTCGAAGGTGTTTTGCTGTTGTTGTTTTTTACAGTAAGGAGGCGGAGCCAGTCACCGTCTTTGGATTGGCTGGAGTGATGCATTCACACAACTATAGAAGCCCATTTCCGCACTGAAGAAAGGGGATAGAAAGTCGATATTAAGAGAAAACGTTGTCAAAACACAAACAACACCGTTTATGTAACCGTAGTGGGCCGTAGATGACAACCAGCTACAACCATCATTTACTATCATTACCGGCACATTAAGACCAATGCTTCCAGCTCGCAGACCGGCTGGTGATTTGCCGCCATAGCAGTCAAACGTTTGACGTCAGGGCGGGTGGATGGGGGGGGATGTGGGGAGGTGGAGACGGTGCTTTCAGGGTCTGATCGATGCTGCGAGGTGCGTCCGCTCCCGCCGCCCCCTCGCCATCCATGCCTTAAATCTTCGGCTGCTCTCCAGCCGCGCCGCCTGCCAAGGGCCCCTTTTAGAATAACTTATTTTCCCCGTTAAGATGGTTTAGCTACTGTAAAGAAAAGGGAACCGTCTCTTGCTCTTTAATCTCATGAAGCGCTCGGCGAGAACGACAGCTTTGTTTCTCCGACGCGCCCTGAAACTATGGCGTTATATTTGTGCCACAATCCTGAGCGCGTAATTTTAAGTTTTGAGCACAGAGAACTATATTTTAGCAAAGAAAAACATATTCCGTGTGCGCAGTTTACTCCAGTGCCCTCTCCACAAACTCGTTTTCTGCGGGCAGGCAGCCGTTGCTGCGCTCTCTCCACCTCTTCACTCTGCGCTCACTGGACGTTTCACTCACGCGCTCACTCGACTTCCAGCAGTGTTACATTTGTGCCACAAAACCAACCAATCAGAGAATTAAAGAAGGTCAATTGTGACTTCTAATATCACTTTTTTTCATCTTCTTTAGGAGGCGTTGTGATTGGAGACCAACAGCCAATCACAATTGACCTTCTTTAATTCTATGATTGGTTGGTTTTGTGGCACAAATGTAACGCTGCTGCAAGTCGAGCGAGCGCGTGAGTGAAACGTCGAGCGAGCGCAGAGTGAAGAGGTGGAGAGAGCGCAGCAACGGCTGCCTGCGCGCAGAAAACGAGTTTGTGGAGAGGGCACCTGAGTAAACTGCGCGCACGGAATATGTTTTTCTTTGCAAAAATATAGTTCTCTCTGCTCAAAACTTATTACGCGCTCAGGATTGTGGCACAAATATAACGCCATATGAAACAAGCTCCATATCTCACGCGCTTGAGCGCCCACTCAGCATTTTGCCGGTGTACACAGAGCTCTGGCATGTTTGGCAGAGCGCCTTGAGCGGCGCGTACAACCAGTATGGATCAACCAATTAACCAATTGATCCATATATAAGGCGCTCCGGATTATAAGGCACTGTCATTTTTTGTGAAAATTAAAGGCTTTTAAGTGCGCCTTGGAGTGCGGAAAATATATATACTTTAATACTACAAGAGAGCGCCCCGTTTGACATTGTTTTGTTTGTTACATTTGTTGAACAACGACAGGCGGACCAGAGCAGCCGTTTCGAGGGAGAGCCTTATTGTTTTATTATTGTTATATTGTTTAAATTGTTTGTGCTTCATCAATTAATGTTTCACATAACTAATGTGCCGCATCATAAATATTTTTATATTAATTTCAAACTTTTCAAAATTGAAAATTAAAAACCTTTTATTTATTTATTGTAAATGACCTCTCGCGGCCCACCTGCATTACCTTCGCGGCCCACACTTTGGGAATCGCTGAAATATACCTTATGGTTGCAGATATACCCTCTTTTTTATCATGGGTATACCATTTTGCTAGATGACTGATGATTATAGTATTTTTCAACTCTAAAAGAAATAACATAAGTAACATTGTATTGCAGACCCTAAAAAATGTATTCAGCATTATCCCACATCTGGCAGTAAAGTGCATTACACCCTTAATCCCTCCTCACATTCATCGCTTATTTGTCATGAGGAGGGGCAGATGTGCATCAGATGAAGTGAGAAGACAATGAGAAGCAACTGTACGGTGGCCCTGAAGTGCAAAACACAACGGCAAATAGGAAAACACAACGAAATTAACTGTTTTACGGAAAGAGTAGGGCCTTATAGCAGACACCAGATAACCCTCTTAATCCAATTCCTTGGCGTGAGGAATTGGATGTGTGGCGGGAGTGCGCGTGACTTATGGGGCGCCGTTTGTAAAATGTTACACGTTCTAAAATCCTGTGCAGTTTTGCTACATTTAGCATAATCATATGAACAAAAAAGCACGACAATATTCATATGTCACTTTTTCAAACATTTAGAGAGAAATTCATGTAAATTCATGCAATAACTTTTCCTAGGATAATAACAAAGTTGTTAAATAATATAAATGTAAAATGTAAATGTAAAATGTAAATGTAAAATGTAAATGTAAAATGTAAATGTTAAATGTTATATCTAAATGTTACATCTAAATCTAAATATCATATCTAAATGTTAAATGTAAATGTTGATGGTGTGGTAACTGATTTCATTTTTACTTTTCTCAAAATCTATACATTAATATTTCATGGAAATGTACATGAGCATAGAGGAGGTCAACATGAAAGCAGAGCGTTACCGTTTTAGGATCTGGTTTAAAGACAGTTCAAAGATTGGCATATGACACTTTAAAAATAGGCGATTAATCCCTTTAAGGCTGTAAGCCTTTTTACCATAACACCTTAAATAGAGGCACATTTTATTTTGAAATGCGGTCCACATGACCGCAGTGGAGAAGGGGTTCACGGGCGCGGAGCAGACCCACGGTCGCCGAGCAGACCTATGGACAAAATATGGGACAAGTGGGACTAACAGGAATTGGGCTCCCATTGGTTTGAAGCTGAAACTATTTAATTTATCAATGGTTTGTTATCTCATTCTGTTAGTCAGTCCCTCTTTATTGCGCCACATTTTCAGGTTCATAATAGGTCGGTCATCCTTGCTGTTTGGACTTTAGTTATCTACTACCTGTGTAATGGAACATTTATATTCTTCTTCTACTTAGTATATTGTAAATACTTATAGTTGTACTTTTGCTCTCACTCAGATCTTTTGAGTGAGCGTACATACTTCTCCGTATCTTAATATTTGTTCAAGGGAAATATGGATATCTTACATGTGTTTCATATTGTTATAAAATAGAACTTGTTGTGTAACAGATGATCATAAGTTTGCATCATGGTCAAATACGTTTTTCCATCACACCTGTTCTGTCATGACCACAGCTCCCCAGGGTATCCTGCTTGTCTGTTGGTTTGTTCCGGTTGCCGAGCAATGACAAGGCGGGGGAACCAAGATCACCAGCGCCGGCTCCCACCTGTGCCTAATAAACACACCTGGCCCTGATCATCATCACCACAGCATTTAAGCAGAGACCTGACATCCAGTCCCTGCCGGATCGTTAGCCATACCCGTATGTGTGCTCGCGTATCAAGCCTCAACAGTGAATCGATTTCTGTTTACTCTTTGTAGTGTTTTGTGTACTGACCCATTGTTCTTATCTCCGTCTCTAGTCACTCACCCTGGATTCCCGCCACGCCCGCCTTTTTTGGTCAAGGAAAGCCATGCCATAAAAGGAGCTCCCACTGTAGTGTATTGTTCTATCAATTAAGCTCATTTCTATTTCTTGTAAGTGCATAATGGACATTCATATATTAGGAATATAGGTTAAGATAATTATAAAAATGTCATTGCTTCCTGGAAAGTTTTGCATCAGAGTACCATCCTTTGGTCACCTAGCAACAATCTTCTTTCTTCCGTTAAATGACCTCTGAGTTAATTGTATCCAATCCAATAAGACTATTCAAAAGTAGAATGCTGTCATGGCCTTCGTACCACACTATGTAGTTCATATAAGTTGTGCATTAAGCGAAGAAGTAAGAAAGCTGTCCACTGAAATCTTACATTTCAGTTTAGCAGCACTTCAGTGTAGCAGT